AGTCGCTGCTCGCCTACGACGCCGACTTCGAAGCCTGGAAGGCAGCTGTCGACACTGACGACAATGACGCGCCTCTCGTCATCCCGGCGGAGCTGCAAGTATATCTCGAGCCTTCTCTTCTTGCTCCCTGTGCTGAATATGAGGCCTGGAAGGCTTCGAGCGATGCTGACTCTGCCATCTTGGATGCTGCAGCGCTTGCAGAAGTTGCTCTGGCGATCCTCAAGGATGGCTTCTGCCGGCGACCTTTGGCGATTCGACCTGGCAACAAGTCGGTCTTTCCTGGCGGACTCATAGCGCAGTCTTCTTGTGCGATGGTCAGTCTGCTCCTCTTCAGTCCTCAACGCTTTAGCTGATCTAACCCCTGCAACAGGAGAGAGTCTAGATAGCGAGGAGAGTGGTCTACGAGGGTCAAGACAGCGCCTCGTCTTGTCTTCAGGGTCAGCTTGTGCTTCACCTGCACCACTCTTGCTGACTCTTACTGCATACCGGTCGCGCGTCTCGATACGAATATAGGTAATGCACGCAGGGCATCGCAGAGCATCGCAGGGAATCGCAGAGCATCGCAGGGAATCGCAGAGCATCGCAGGGAATCGCAGAGCATCGCAGGGAATCGCAGAGCATCGCAGGGAATCGCAGGTATACAGGTCCAGCCCTCAAGATCTTCGACTTCGACGTGGCTTGTGTGCGCTTTCGCTTTCGTTGGTCTGCTTATTGGCTTGCTTTTTGACTGAGCTTGGACTCTGGCATTGTTGGATAGATTGCAAAGACGCTGGTCGTTTCTGCTCGCTTGCTTGCCCCGTTCAGCTTGACTTTGAAACCGAAAGTCGCGTGGCGACAGAGGAGTGACTAGGTGACATGTGACAATGAGTGTGTTGATGGCATGAAGGTGAGGTGCGAGACGTTTCCAGTCGCCGAACCGAGAGATCATCGTTGTAGGCTGCATCTGGCGCAAGCATAGATGCGCACTTCCAACCGTCCCAAAGCGCGGCTGAGAAGCTTCGAATTTACGGTCCTCTCCACGCTACCAGAGCGTTGCTTGGTGCAATCACCAATCCGGACGGCCGTCTGGCCATCTCACGTGTATCCTGATACGTTCAGGGTTGTGATCGCGCTATGTGAGGTCTGAATGGAAATTGCGGTTCGGAACAGAAAGCAGGACGTTGGACCGCAAGGGTTCTAGCTTGAAGTGTTCAAAGCGCTGAGTACGACGGATGTGCGCTTGCCGGCGAGACTGTATCCGCGCGAAATGGAGCCTGCCTGTGATGAGGTCGCCCGCACGCGTGCAGAGACGGACAGATCGGCGAGAAGGAAGATGGACGGTCCCAAGTTGCACATAGGAGCGTCTCCAACGTAGCAGTGACGACTAGACAGAGCCGTGGCTCGGCGTGCCGTGCGAACGGGCGGCACGCATGCAGGGACGCGACCAAGAGAGTGTTGTCCGTAGTGGCGGCAAGGGTCGATACCGTTTCGCGATTGAAGTCATCCGAGCCGAACTTACCTGAAGCCCCGTAGAGGGTGTTGCGAGCATTAGCTTGCTACCGCCTGTCGTCTGATCCACTTCGATAGCTGTGCGCTGGTGGTTGATGATCATCGACTGAGCCGGTACAGTGACTTTGCCGCAAGAGTTATGACCTTGACCTGAAAGCGCTGGTGTTGGTACCCCGCTGCGCGTAGTTCGGCTTATTATGGCATCATTCGTGTTTGGCGCAGGTGTGGAGCTAGTCCCACCGTACTATGAAAACCTCCTACTTGTCGACGCTGAATCGCATGCCGTGAGCGGGCGGTAGATAGCGTGATGCTTGACCGAATCGCGGATTGGGTCCCTGCGAACCCCTCAAGCAGCGTTGTCACATTCACCGATGTTGCAACATTGTGGTTGCTGGCTCTTCGTGATGGTTTACAGCCAGTTTGGGGGCGCTGTGAACATTGGGGAAGCATAGAGATGGGGCAAGGTCTCACACCTCGCTCGAGCAGTCTTCTTGCTACAGAGGCCTGCTCTCCAGAGGACGTTCCCTTGTGGGTGCGACAGTCGTGCAAGCAGCTCTCAGGGGATGGTCCCTGAGGTTCTCACGCTTTGATATATGGGTGAGATCATGCATTCGTATCGGGTCTCAATGACACCGCTCAGGTTGACGCATAGACAGCGGGTTTGCTATTGTCATTCTGAGCTTGCTGGCATGTCAGCTCGTGACATTGAGCCGCGTGAACAGGGCTAATTTGTGCACGTTGCTGCTCGTGGCTTGAGGATGAGTGTCGGGCTTGGTCAGTACTAGTCCCGATCGTCGAGCTTCGGAAGCATCTGATTCGATCTCAGGGGCTTCCAACATCTGTGACCGAGACCAGAGACAGCTATCCACTGAGCGACTGAGCAGATGAGGCTGAGAGCGCTGAAATCAGAGGCTATAGCGATGCTAGCGAAGTGGACGGGGCCAATTTTAGAGTCTTATATTTTTGTAGGATCGCAGCAGCTTCATCATCATCGATGCTAGCTGTCAGACGACTTCTAGACGGGGCGGGGCCAGTTCATAATGCGCAGACGCAGGCTAGCCTAGGATCATGATGTCAGGGCTCCACGTGCCGGTCCGGCCTGTCATCGACTGGTCGCGTAGAGAATTCTAGAAATTTGACGGCTTCGTGGCGAGGCTGGCAGCAGGTCTGACGAGCATGGCAGACGACGGCAAGGCGGGCGCAGATGCAGAGAAGAAGCTGGGCAACACAGCCTACCAGTCACGCCAGTTTGAAGCAGCGATCGAGCACTACCAACGAGCCTGGGAGCTGCACAAGGACATCACCTACCTGAACAACCTGTCGGCCGTCTACTTTGAGCAGGGCAACTACGACCTCTGTATTGCGACATGCCTCGATGCAGCCGAGCAGGGAAGAGATCTCAGGGCGGACTACAAGACGATCGCAAAGAGCTTCACCCGGCTAGGCACGGCTTACACCAAGAAGGAGGACTGGGATCAAGCGATTCGCTACTTCCAGAAATCACTGACCGAGCATCGCACGCCCGACGCACTTGCCAAGCTCAAGGAAGCAGAACGAACGAAGCTCGACAAGGAGAGGCAGGCCTACGTCGATCCTGCCCTGTCGGACAAGGCACGCGACGAAGGCAACACGCTCTTCAAGGCAGGTCATCCTCGTCTCGTCGCAGACATCTCGTGCTGAGAGGGGTAGGCTTGCAGGCAGGAGACTGGCCAGGAGCGGTCAAGCTGTACGAGGAAGCCATCAAACGAAACCCCAACGATGCAAGGGGCTACACCAACAGAGCAGCAGCACTGGCCAAGCTCATGGCATTCCCCGAAGCGCTCAAGGATGCAGAGGCGGCCATCAAAGTGGATCCTGCCTTTGTCAAGGGCTACATCCGAAAGGCGCTCATCTTGTTTGGCATGAAAGAGTACTCCAAGGCGCTCACTGCTCTCTCGCTGGCCAAGGCGGCCGACAAGGACGGCAAGTCGGAAAAGGAGATCAGAGGTCACGAACAAAAGATCGTGCAGGCACAGTATGCTTCAGAGGCAAACGAGACGGACGAGGAAAAGCTGGCAAGAGCGCAGCGAGATCCGGAGATCCAGAGAATCTTGAGCGACCCGGCGCTGCAGCAGATCCTGCAGCAGGCCCAGAGCGATCCACAGTCCTTGGCGAGTCACATGCAGAACGCAGACATCAGAGACAAGATTCTCAAGCTGGTCAACGCGGGTATCATCAAGATGGGACCTCGTTGAGCTAAGTTCAGCCAAGCCGAGCCGATGAATGCATTGCCTACTGTTGACCTGACCGTCTCACAAACGGAATCTTGAGACCCGACAACAGTGCGCGAGCACGATCCTGGGCGCCCTTGCCCTTGGCAGAAGTGGCATAGCTGACCTGAAAGCCGAACTGCCTGGGATAGGCATCGGCATTGATCTCGATCTGAGGGAACAACCCCATCGATTCTCTCGGCAGACCCAGATTGACGACGCCGCCCAACGCAGAGGGGATGTTCTTCTGAGCTGTCGCAGGCGGCAAGGCGATCCCCGCAAAGTCTTTGAGACGAGGCAAGACAAACTCGACGAGGGTCTCGTGGAAAGTCCACATATCTGGCCCCTTGAGCGTCACTCTCAGTCCTGCGGGCATGCCTGCTCTGATCTTGAACGAAGCCGAACCTGATCTGCTCTTGGTCACATGGATCCCGCTGGCAGACTTGGGCGAGTTGGGACGGGCGAGAACCTGACCGGTTATGGCTTGGTAGACTGCCAGCAGAGGCACGAGGGCTGCCTTGTTGCCCGATGCTTCGGGCAAGTGGGTCGTCAGATGGATAGCTTCTAGCTTGACGACCGAAGAAGGTGTGGCCATCTCCGGCTTCGGCGCAATCGGCTTACCGCCCTTTTGCCGTCTGGCGGGGCGATTCTTCGTGTAAGGATCGAGTGGATCCCATTGAGCTCTCACTGGGTCGGGCATAGGTTGCGATCGACGCTGCTCGTAGGTCATGTACATCAAGTCGCTCGAGAGCGTGTTGGTGTAGTATTCCTGCCATCGACTGCGCTGGGTTGGCCCGGCTCGGATGGCAGAGTACGAGTCGAGCGAGCTTGACGCGGCAGTGGGCACGTTGAGCAGCGTCTCTGTCGCTGCTGCTCTGCTGCTCGACGACATGCATCGTCTGCTCACCCTGCACAGACATGGTCCCATCATCCCCAACAAGCCGCCGACCAGCCGACAGTCGACAGTCGACAGCGCTGGCAGCAAGAAAACCTTGACAGTCGCGCGCGTCGTCGATCGCTTTGGCGGATGGATGAAGCATTCGGTGGCTTGGCTCTTGACGATGAGAGCCAAGCAGGCAGGAACGTGTCAGCCCGCCAGCAGCGGATAGATGCCGCTCGAGCAGCTTCCAAGTCTTATCAGCCCAAAATCGACAGCGATCATGTACCACCTCGTTTCTTGTTCATCGACCACCTTCGCTTACTGCGATGCTGCAGTGGTACGAGAGTGACAGGTACGCGGGCAAAGGCAAGGAGAACGAGTACAGGATCAATGCACTCTACTTCAGTAAAGACTACGCAGCCTGCTTTCGACTCTGCATCGAATCACTCGACCGAGTCTCGCATATGACAGAATCAGATCTCGCAGGCAGAGATGAAGCGCAACCACAACACAGCGCCAAAGCGTCAGCGGCATCCGAACGATCCGCAGTCTGTGCTGCTCTGTGTGACACTGCGCTGCGCTGCGCTATACATCTAGACTTGCGCGACGACCAGCAAGTCGCCAGACTGCTGGCCATGCAGCGTGATCGCTTCTGGCGCTCTCAGCCGGGCAGTGTCCTCACAAGTCTGGACTATGCTCTTCTTGTCAAAGATGACAGACGGGCACTGCAAGCGTTGATCGCCTACCTAGGTAAGACTCCCGGCGCAATTCCTGCTTACCTTGCGCTCTTCAGCAAGCTCGTTGCGGCGATCGTGCCTGATGAGACGGCCAAGTCAGACGAAGAGCTTGCCAGCTTGCTCCATCTGTCGAAGCCAGAGATTGTGACGCTCGAACGTATCCTGACGGTGCAAAACGATAGAGACGCTCGTCAGTCCAACAGCAAGGCCGGCCTGCAGGTTGCGCAAGAGTCAGAGAAACAGACACTCTCTGCAGGCTGACCGTCTAAGCTGCATTACTCGACAAAGCTCTCGCAATGCTAAACAGTGTCCTTTCGTGTCCCCACTGGGCGACGAGCTGTGCACCTATGGGCATCCCGGTCGCTTCCTCTGTATCTATGGGAATCGCTAGCGCAGGTACGCCTGCCAAGCTGGCAGGAACAGTCAGGACGTCCTGCACGTATGCCGACAGATCGCTTTCGTTCTTCTGTGCATAAGGCGGACAGTCTGTCAGTTTGGGCGCGGTGCGGATAGCTGCCGGATGCAGTAATACATCGACACCCTTGTCATCGCCTGTCCGGTCGACAAGCAACGCATTGGAAGATCGAAAGACCCGGTCGAAATCTGATCTGATCCGCAAGCGAGACTTTTGCGCTTGCAGGTAGTAGTTGTCAAATGCACTGCTCTTGCGTCAGATGCGTCGTGTCTGCGTGGCTGGAACCTCACTCTGCGGTAAGAGCAAAGGTGCCCAGCAACAGCCGCCTCTGTACTTCTTGTCCGAAGCCGTCTGTACGCGTTTGCGCGTAAAGCGGCGTCGACGCCTTGTCCGCTGCCTCCCTGTCCCGCACACTGCGATGCCCTGCTCGCCCAGTGTCAGCGCAGATATAGCGTGCCACTGGACGTGACGAACCGTACTGAATGCCGTCGTATTTTGCCAGATTGCTACTCGCTTCTGCGCTGGCCAGGACGTAGTACGTGCTGAGCGCATACCGCGTGGCTGGCATAGAGACAGATACGACGGTTGCGCCCAGTGATCGCAATCGCGTAATCGTCTTTCGCAAGCTGTCTGCAATACCGCTCGCAAGCTCTCGAGGGAAGTACTCCTAGGATGAATGAGTACGAGTGATGCCGATTTTGTGCCAGTCACGTACTGACGGTACGCCCACTCGTACTTTACTAAGATCGTCGTCACTGAGCCCCAAAGCATCAGCCTCGGCTCTCACTGCGAATTCGTCGTCTATCGATGTAGCATCGCGTTCATCGTGACCCTTCATGACGTCTGCTTTGAGATGAGCCCAGGTGAAACTGCAACACGTTCGACAAACCGTATGCACGTTCCGAAAGGTCGATGTCCCGAGACATGATGCCTATACAGTCCAGGCTGCTGGCGAAAGAAACAAGGCCGAACCGAGAGAGTCGTCCGTACGATGGCTTGAGTCCGTAGATGCCGTTGTAGCTCGCAGGCAGGCGTACTGATCCTCCCGTGTCTGACCCGAGCGCGCTGTCCGTCATCGAATGAGCCTCTTTCGTCGCTTGTAGGGATACAAGCGTACAAGTCACACATGTCAGCAGAGACCGCGGCCGCGCTTCCGCCTGAGCTGCCTCCTGCAACATACACAGGGCCTTCTTCGAGGCTCTTGGGGTGGAGCGCCGCTCCGAAGGTCGAGTATGTGTTGGATGACCTGCCCGGCGGAGTCTCATAAGCCCACGCAAACCCCCCTTGAGATACTCGCGCTTACCCCATGCCGAATTCGTCCATGTTGGTCTTGCCGATGATGGTCACGCCTTGCTCCTTGAGCTTACTGACGACCGTCGCTTCGTACGGCGGGCTAAAGTCTGCGAGATTGCTCCATAAACGCTGCGTTCGGGACAGTCGCGAGCTGGGCGAATACCTTTGAGCATTTTGGATGCGCAGGTCATGGGAGCCCCTCGAACGGCGATGTTGTCCTTGATCGCCACGCAGAGACCCTGTAGCTTGCCATCGCTATCCTTTGGGGCACCGGATGGGCTCTGTCGCGGCGGCAAGAGGTGAACAAATGTTTGGAGGACATGATTGTGCGTTTCGATGCGGGCTCTGTATCGCTCCTCTGCGGTAGCCGAGCTTTGACGGCGTCGTCCGAGCACACGCTGGCCGAGTTGCAACTGTGACCGACAGCCTGTGCATCGTTGCATCTAGGTCCGAGGTCGGGCCAATCGTCAAGAGGTTGCCTCGCGTCCAGACATGACATCCCGTTGCATTCAAACTCGAATGGCGATGCCAGTCTTTATCTCCTAAGCAACGTCCCCTCTTCTACTCAAAGCCGCTCGTTGCATTTCCTCGAGCACTCCGATCGGTAGCCGAGAGACCGTTCGGCAGCTTCTCGATCAGCCAAGAGAAGACCAACAGTATGCTCGTGCTTGCCCAATTGTTCCTCTGCTGCTACGCCTCAATGGCGCTCGCTGCGTCTCTTGCTCGACGAACCAACATGCGCAGAGGCGCCGTCGATGATCCGAGTGCTACATTCGCAGACATGCAGCTTGCCGATAACCTCTGGTATATCGTCCAGATCGAGAACCCAAAGCTGACTATTGCCAATCTTGACTGCACCACTAATATGTGGCTCAAATGCGTGTAGGCTTGACTACGCCAAGACCATACTACTAGCTGACGCAGACGATGCAGCAAGAACGCTCCCGATGCGCCCTTTGGCGTCGTATATGATGGCTATACGTACGTCATCCAGTCTCGCGAGGTTTGTTTATACTCACGACTTCAAACAGTGGCAACCAATGGGACATGGCTGGCTCCGGCGCTAATCTGCATTGCTGGCTCGGCCCAAGCGGCGGAAACTATGAGCCTGCAGGCTGCAATGCTCCCGTCGATGGAAATGAAAAGGCGGAGAAGCCAGTTTGATGATATTTGACTTGTCCGTTACCGACACTTATACCCCTGTTGTGACCTTCCCCGTAGTTGCCCCTCTGCGCGTAGAAAATCTCGCGACGAACGGCAACGAGCATAGACGGGGCAAACAAGAGGCGATGCCTCACCTGGAACCGCTCGCAAGGGTCTCACATCGGCAATAGGAAGAAGAATGTCAGCTGATCTGAGCTCGAGGCTCGCCTCGCTCGATATCGATAGCACTTTTGTCTCCTTGCCCCGGACTGGCGCGACGACGGCCACGAGCTCGATACCGCCCTCACCGATCGGTGGTCATCGATTCTCAGGCCAGAATGGCTCTGCGAGTCAGACTACCGCCCTGCCGCCTGCTTTCGATCTCAACGGCAACGCCGCGCCTTTTGTTGGAGGCTTAGCCAGCAGTCCGCGCAATAGTTCGCCTGTCAAACGGGCGGTGTGGGATACTCAGGGCTTGTCCCATGGCTCTGCCTTTGGCCTCAAGCATGTTTGTCCTTTTCTTTTGCGTTCGAGGCGAGTGCGGCTGCTGACAGTCAAGGTCGTCTGCAGAAAACATCACAGGCAGCATTGATCGCCGCCTCGAGCTCTTCCTCCGAGGACCAGCTCTCCTCCTCGCCCGCACATTCGCCTTATTTCTCAAACCTTTCTTCTCATGCCGGCGCTTCCTCCTCGTCCAATCCGACCACGCTCGGCGAGGGATCGCCTCCTCTGTCAGCCCCAGACGCGACGCCTCAGGCACAGACACATCTTCTCGACAGTCACGCTCAGTATGCATCCATGCCTACACGAGAAGCCTACAACGTACCGCGTTCGGCGCCTTCACCTCAGCATGGCTATTCAGCAAGTACAGACAATCAATTCACGACTTCACCTTTTGACGCCATGCCATCAGCGCAGTACTCTCATTTCGCCCACATGCAAGCGCAGCAACATCGTCATTCGATGCCTGTCGCACCCATTCAGTTCAGGCAGCCTTCTCCGTTCAGTTCTGCAGTGTACCAAGACTTGCCGAGGCCATCGGACTCGCAAGCAGGCTGGCCAGCATGGAACAAAGCCTCTGACTTTGGTGGTATCGGTAGTGGCAGTCCCCGAGTGAAGCCTCTCACCAGTCCTGCGCCTCTCTTGCCGACTGGTCAGCCTGCACTGGACAATCATTTTGTGCCTCAATCACTCTCGAATTGGCATGCGGCTCCCCATCTGCCGTCAGCGATCGGGCACGGTCAGGATACCCGTAGAATGGCAAGCACCGCTCTACCCCCACACGAACATATCAATCCAGGGAACGCGCCAGAGGACACGATACCAACCGCCATTGTGATCAAGAACATTCCTTTCCAAGTCGAAAAGGACGTATTGCTCCAGATCATGGCAAGTGACACTCGATCTCATCGCCGCGCTTTCTAAATTTATATATCTTGCAGGAGGAACTTGAGCTCCCAGCGCCCTACGCGTTCAATTACCACTATGACGGCGGCATATTCCGTGGCCTAGCGTTCGCCAACTTCAAGACGCCAGCCGAGACGGATGCTTGCGTGGCTGCACTCAACGGCTTCGATATACACGGCAGGAAGCTGCGAGTGGAATACAAAAAAGTGTTGCAAGCAGGCGAGAAGGAGCGGATCGAGCGCGACAAGGCAATGAAGCGGATGCGGAGTATGCAGCTTGAGAAAGAACGGGAACGATTCACTCGCGATCGGCAAGAGAGCTGGCAAACGCCTGCGATGGAATACCGACCCTCACAGGGCGAATCAGGTATCGCCAATCCGTGGTCGATCCTGGACACTGGTGCACAACAAATGCCGGCCAGTCCAGGCGGATCTGACATTGGTCTGCCGGGCTCCGAAGTAAGAGGTAGGCATAGGTTTTGACTCATTCGATCGCGCTGACAAAGGCGCCACATATCCAGAGCTAGATCTCAACGATCCTCAGACTCTCCAGATCTACTCTCGCGTGCTCAGCTTCAAAGATGATGCCTTGCGCGACGAACTCGCTTTCGCGAGATCTCTGCAGCCGCTGCAAAGAAGAACGGTCCACCTGGTGGCTCAGCGACTCGGGCTGAATCATCAGAGCGTCGGCTTGGGTGATGAGCGATATGTCGTCGTCATGAAAGATTTCACGGGTGTCAGCAACCCTGCAAGTCCCACGAAGGTAGGTTTTCGTATTTTCCGGAGGAATGAGACATACTGACGGGCATGATAGCCCGATACACGTATCGCGATGGGCATCAGGCAGCCACACAGTCAGCAAGAAGCTGCGGCGTACAGCTCCTTCCTCAACGGCGTCAGGCCAAAGAAGAGCATGCCCGACATGCGATCGCGCACTTCGACTTCTTCGCTCAGCAGTGATGCTGCAGCGGCCGCAGCCGCTCTTCCCGCCCGACGATCCAATGTTGATCTACGATCAGCTCGAAGAGCACCATCGAAAGGCGACATGTATGGTGCTTATCGATCCCATTCGCCCACTTCTATACCTCCCGTACCAGTTCTGCCCGACATGTCGATGTACGAGCACTTTGCGCCGGAATCACCCCACGCGGCAGCAGTGAGAGCGAGCAGGCAAAAGTCTGGCGTTCATGATGATGGCACGGCAAGATAGCTCAGTCTTCGCACACACGCACACGATCTCACGACTTAACGTTGATGACCCATGATGGATCTGTAGCAACATTCTAATTGCAGCACGTTTGTGACTCTCTACCAGCGATCGTTGACGAAGTAGTCTGTGCGGTCGAGGCTGCAGCAGTCCATCAGCGCGGCTCAGAGACTGGTTTGGCAGACTGACATCATGAGAGCTGCGCGCTTGTGCGGAAAGTCAAACTCTTTTTCCTTCCTGAAACCGTGTTTGATGAGGTAGTCGATCATCTTAGTATTGCGTGCATCCGGCTCAGATACGATCCGCATCGTCCTGGGATCGTCTATGAAGATGTAGTGACAAAGCGAGACGAGCCAGGCTCGTACGCGATGAGGTCCTCTGTGATCTTTGGATCCGACGAGCATATGGATGCCTCTATCGTAGTCGCCCGCATCGTAGAATTCGCCTATGCGATCCTCCTTTGCCCAGTAGATGTCAAAGTAGCACGCAGGACTGACGCCCGATCTGTCAGATCTGTATGAGCCAATGACAGGGACATTATGCAGGTCATCGATCTTGGCGCCAAGGTACTTCTTGTGATCTTCGAGCGTGCCCTTGTCTTGCCAGTACTGGTCGACCCGGGGATCGTTGAGCCAGCCGTGCATGAGGTCGAGTCGCGCGTGGTCGTAAGGCTCGAGTTGGAAATACTCGTCGAGATGGGGTATATAGCGTGAGTAGACGCATCCCAGCGGCTGTGGAGGCCGCAAGGGGTGTGCGATGGTGCCCCTCTTTGACTCTGTGTGGCTCGCAATGTTCGGGAAAGGCTGCTGAGGGGCAGAGAGATGAAGAGCAAAGAGTTGCATGACGTAAGATCGTGTTATTCGGCTTTGTGTCAGACTGGAAGCACGCTGTCGGACACTCGCGTCCTGGGATGATGAGTCGATGTCAAAGGAAGCACCGGTCTCACTCGCGAGGTAGAATGCGGCCGTATAGGCCAACGCCCAGCTTGTTCTCTGACTTTGCCAGATGTCATGCTTGTCGGCCTCTTTCAGTGTCGCTGAGGCATGTGCAGACTGTAGGATGAGCTGCATCCCATTGCACGAACACACTCGTTGCTCCTTGTCGTAGTTCACATCGAGGCCATCGCCAACAGAAATCGTCGGCATCGTCGACAGGCTTGATGCCAACGTTGGACTTGCGCGCGCTTGCCAGGTCGACCGCTGTCCATCCTCAAGATGACGTCCTTGTGCGTGCCCATCAGGTCATCAGCGCAAGCAGAGCTGACTCGGAGTTCGGCATGCACAGTATGGCAGTCGAGCCTCCGACGGCAGGCCGGGTCACGCTTCACACGACAGTCGGCGACATTTCTGTCGAACTATGGTCAGGCAAGAAAGAGGCTCCTCTGGCTTGTCGCAACTTTGTCCAGCTCTGTCTCGAAGGCTACTATGACGGTCACATCTTCCACCGCATCGTCAAGGACTTCATTGCCCAGACGGGCGATCCAACAGGCACAGGACAGGGAGGAGAGAGCATCTTTGATGAACCTTTTGCCGACGAATTCTCTCCCAGACTGAGGTTCAACCGGCGCGGACTCGTCGGTATGGCCAATCCTGGCACAAGGGACACCAACCTGTCACAGTCGGTGTCCGCCATACGTCAGTCTATGCTTGTTCGTTGACTGGGACGCGCTAGGTTCTTCGTGACAATGGACAAAGCAGACGAGCTGACAGGCAAGCACACACTCTTTGGCAGAGTATGTATATCACTGCATGACGATATGATCGCTGAGGAGGTCGTAGCTCTACGGCGACACGCTATACAACGTCCTCAGACTGAACGAGCTCGAACTGGAAGAAGGCACAGAGAGGCCTGTCTATCCGCCGCGCATACGAAGCGTGACAGTCGATGACAATCCGTTTGATGACATCGTACCTCGCATCACCGCATCCGAACGCAGAGAGCAAGAAAAGGCGCGCTTGGCATCACGACAGTCAAAGAAAGGCTCGAATCGCAAAGGCACAAAGTGAGACTCCTCCGTCGCTCGCAAACATCGCGACTGACAGGTGGTCCCCCAGGAATGCTGGCCTACTCTCCTTTGAGGAGGAAGCTCAGCCTGCAGCCGCACCAAGAGGTCCCAAGACCTTATCTGCACACGATGTGCTGGACGACAAACGTTTGTCCAGTCGCATTGTCGACGACAGAGCCATGCACATACCTCAGCTACCCGATACTGACACTTCTCGTCCGGTAAAGCGGAAGATCGCATCACCGGTGCCTGAGCCAGTCCAACCCAAGCGAGCAGCTCCCAAACCCAAAGAGCCTTCGCCCGATGCGAGGTATGTACGTGCTGGACAGTCTGATCATTGCTCATTCCGGAGCATCAGTGCCAAAGTACAAGCGCAGATAGAGAAGGTACAGGCTGAGATGCGAAGGATGAAAGACCGCAAGGCCGACCAAGCAGCAGAAGCTGCGAGAGCGCAAACGAAAGCAAAGGCCAGCCTGCTCGCTGCCGAACGAGAAAAGTACGCCCATAAGCGCAAGATCGGCAAGAAGCTCGAAGACCGCGCGCTAGGCGCTAGCTTGAACGATTTTGATCAGCTTTTGCGCACCAAAGTCAAAGAAGTCAAGCAGCAGCAGCCTGCAGCAGACTCCCACACAAACCCAGAGGACAACTTAGAGGAAGACGTCGACGAGACAGACCTGACATGGCTCGGCCATACTCTGAAATTCAGAAAAGACGCAACCCTCGACCGCAGCCTAAAGGCCGAATACGAAGCCGTCGATCCTCTCAACCGCAAAGGAATCACCCTGGAAGAGGCACAGCAAGAGGCCACGCGACAGGCACGCATCAAGCAACGCGAGGCAGGACCTCGTAAGGCATGAGGAGACCTACATTACATCCTGACTACAGTGCACAAATCGCATATCCTACAGAGTCGTGTCGTGAATGCAAGCTGGACTAGCGAGTCGACCTCAGCACGGCGACTTGCTTTTCGATCTTCTCGTTCGATGCTGTTATGGCGTCTTCGGCAGCACGCATCTTGGCAAGCAATCCGTCTACGCGGCTGGCAATCTCGACGGGTACCGCCGACGAATTTCCGAAGATCCACCTGCCCTTGTCCTGCGAGAAGAGCTGTCCGAGACTGACGAGATCTTTCTCGGCTGCCGCGATGTCAGCCTCGGCGGTGGCGATTGCCTTCTCGGCAGACGCGAGCTCGTTCAATGCAAAAAAGATGGGATCGCTCGTGAGTCGCTGGAAAGCTGACCGGTAGACGGGTTTGCCGGGCTTGATTGCGCTTGGCCTGCCGTCGCGATGGACGATAGAGATGATCTCGGACTGCTCAAGCGCGTGCAGTGCCTTGTCATTGTCTTTGAAGGTGTTGTGAAGCGTATCACTGTACTTGAGCTCGTCATTCGCACTCAGTTGCTTACAGATAGCCCAAGCGTGACTGCGTGTCCATGGCAGATTGCTCGCTTCTTCGTTATCGTCTCCGAATGCGTTCTTGCGAATCTCTGCCGCAGAACGGCTGACAATGTCGTCGACAGCTTCGTCCAGATCGATGCCACCTCGGACCTTCTGTATCAAGATCTCCAGATCCTGCACTCTTTGTCAGTCCCGTTGTACCATCAGCAGCTCTGCACTCACGGTCAAACGTCCGCCAAGTTGCATCACGGCAGCTTCCGTCGACTTGTTGAGTAGATCGCCCTTATTCAATTCCGCTAATTTGGCAGAAATGTACTGGAGTGCGTTGTCAGACGATGCATCGGTGAGGTTGATCATGGAAGACATAGGCTTGCTGGGCATAGCCTTTTGCAGCGGTTTCGTGACCGAGACCGAGTCTGAGGTCAGTACCACGTGCGCAATCTGGTTCTCGACGAGTAGAGCGGCCCTACTCGAGCATGAGCACGTCATAGCGAGAGCTGAGGGCAAAGAGACTTACCAGTCTGCTAGTGCGGTCCAAAGCATGTCCTGCTTTCGGCCACCTTTGTTGTAGAAGCCTCGAATGACAACGATGGGGATCTTGTCGAGATCGGCAGATGCATCAGGACTTGCTCCCAGGATGTCATCAGAGATCTTTCGAAGCTCGTTTGCTGCGCCGGGACCTTCCGCAACGCTGCAGACTGCTCGGTCAGCTCTGCTATTGATTCAAAGCACGACATACATTTCTTTCTCAGAGTCTTGACCGGGACTGACGCCAGCTTCAGAGATGCTTTCGAGACCGCTAACGGCCTGCAGACGACTGTCGCGCACTTCGCCCTGCATGATCGCAGTCTCGACCTGCTTCTCTTTCTCGGTCTTGGTCTGCTTTGAGGCCTCAATCTTCCGAAGGGCTTCTGTACGCTCCTGCTTCGCTTCGTCTGAGAGTTTCTTGAGTGAAGATGCGGTGACTTCGAAGATCTGCTTGATTTGCTGGTCGACAGAAGTGGCAAAGCCAGCTTTTGTACCTATGAGGCCGACCGCAGCGAGATCGAGCATGCTGTTGAGACTGGCGAGGAAGCCAAAGACAGGCCAGTAGCCGGTCTGTCTGGCTATCTCCGACACGAGCTGATTGTCGTTCTTTGCCGAACGGACGATATCCTCACAGTTGATCTCGAGCACGTTGCGTTGGTTTGCAAGGGCCTGGTCGAGAACGGCATGCTTGCCGGAGCCTCGGGGACCGGTGATGACGATGAAAGTGTCTGGCGTGTCCCGTAGCCAGGTGGAGAGTTGGGCAGCAGCCTCTTGACGTTCCTTTTCGATGCCCGTGCCAGGACTGGCAGACTGGCTGCGAGTAGAAAAGCCAAGCCTGTCCAGCGTTTCGACTTTGAGCCACTTGACAAGGCGATACTCGTTGAAGTCGAACATGCCGCAGACATGCGCGCGGACGAAGAAGCCTCTGATGGGATCAAAGACCAAGTAAGAGAGGCCACCTAGCAGGACCGCAACGATGGGCAAGACGATGCGAGGATGGGACGAGATCCAGTCGCGCATTGCATGGCTCCTCAGTCTCTCTTTGTAGAGAATGCGAAGGACGATACTGCCCGAGGGTGCTTTGAGGCGCAGTCCATGCAAGCAATTTCGCGCGGCCGCTGCACTTCTCGTCGTTCGGAATTGTACCTCTGCGTAGCGTGGCAAGTCTTTGCTCGAGGGCGGCTGAGGCGTGATGTCATGGATACGTCCGTAGGGTCTGAGCATTTCCCATAGCTGCTCTTGTGGTATATCTGAGGATGTGCCTTCGAATTCGATGCGGATGACGCTATTGGGGAACCGGTTCATGTCCTCGAGCCAAGGCTTGCCCCTGACGAGGAAGACCCGGAGAGGACTGAAGAGGTACCATGGCTTGAGGTTTGTTTGCTTGGCAAAGTGGGCACGGATGAGATCTTGAATATCGACCAGGGACGGATCAGGCACGTCCTCCTTTGCCTCTGTCTCCTCGACATTGTCGGCCTTTTTGCTATCTGCTTTGACTGCCTCTGCCGCTTGCTCTGCCTCTGCCTTTTCCTCCTGCTCTTGTGCTATCGCTCTCGAGGGTGGTATGTAGCTGAAATTGACAAAACAGCCTCCATCCTTGCTCCTCTCGAGTACATTCTCCACTCTGAGCGAGTACTTTGCGTCATTCGGCACTGCTACGCGCAGTCGATCGAGCAGAGCATCCTTGAGCATCTCTGCCACCAAGTAGCGCACATCCCACACGCCCAGCCTGATCGGAAAGAGTGAGTCAAGGTAGAAGTAGGCATAACGTCGTTGTGAGTCTGTCGCTGCCGTGTCGAGCGAGGCCAGTCTGCCCCGGGGACTGCCGAGCGAGATGTCCTCGAAGGGATAGGCAGTTGCCGAGTCATGCTTGGCGGGTGCGCTCCTCAGAGCCCGTACCTGGCCTTGGTGACTCGCATGCTCTGGCCATGTTGCTTGTGCATTGCTGCTGATGCGTGTCGTGGTTTGTCTGCGTGTCGATGTGAGGGGCAGCCGGCGAGCGTGTCGACAGGCTGCCAGACGCAGCATGGCTGCCTGCTAGCGCTGTCAATTGCCTGTCAGGTGTCAGCCAAGCAGCGCGTCATCGCGGCACATCTGCCTGGTATTTATTGCGCCTAGAGCTTAGAGGCGCCGGCCAGATGCATTTTCACAAGCGACCCGATAAGTGCTCGAGCAAGAGCCTTCGAGAAGGTCTGCTCGTCAGCGTCATGCTCAAGTGAGTTTGGCGTGCGATGGCTGCCCTTCAGGCCTGGCACAGCTAGGCACATTCAGATTGGTCAGATGTCCTGCATTACTTGGAGAGATTGCGAAAGTCAAGCTCGAGCGAAACATGGGCTGCCAGCAGCAAGATGCGATGAGTCTTGCTCCATCAGTCCGCAACAGGCTCAAGCTACTTGAGATCAGCCTCTGCGCTATCAGGATTCCACTGGGGCGAGAAGACGAGACAGCCAGGCTTGTTGACCTCTTCTGCGATCTGACTGAGGATGGAGATGATGGTCTTGCTCTTGCTGAAGAAGTGAAAGGTGCCCTTGGGTTGATCGAGTTCGCCGCCTAGCATGATGGCGAGGGCGATGTCGACGAGCATGAGTTCGGCAATGAGGAGACTGGTCGTGTCCGAGGACGGGATGGTAGCGATGACCTGACAGTGCTCATAGGAACGGTCGGGACGAACGACGCGATAGGCACCCCCGCCACCGATCGTCTTGTCGCCCGGTTTGACGCTCGTGTACAGGATCGCATCCGTCGTCTTCTGCGCCTTGACGTAGGCATCGTGAGCGGTGTTGGCAATCTCTGCATCGTATGCGCTGAACGACTCGTTGAGACGGATCAGGTTGAGCGAGCTCGCCTTGCTGGCATACATCTGCTTGAGCTCGTTCACTTTCTGCCTGAGCAGACGACTAGGAGGTTTCCCAAGCGAGTCAGCACAAGGCAGGCAAGAGGGTGGACAGAGGGACTCGCTTAAAGTCAGAGACTGCGCAGAATTGCGAGGCCATACTCGACATGGCTCGTCCGGATTGGCGAGAGAGTTGGCTTTCGCGCTGCACTGCTTGCGCGGTTCGATGGAGTGCGGGCACGTGAGAGCACTAGTACTACTCGTGATGGAGCGTGCTGGACGTTGGCGCTGGATGAGGATCAGATGAGACGCTCTGCCTTCAGCATCCTATTGGCCTGACGCGCCGAAGCCCGTTGATCGGACGGACATTGCCTTCGGTGCACCGTCCCGTCTCTCGAGAGACGATCGGACGGACAGGCATCCCCGTGAGCTGGATGGCAAGATTGGCATGTCTGTCCGTGCAGGTCATTGTTGTTCGATACGGTTTGCTTAGGGCACGGGCACGTTGAGGACGCCAGATCCTGGAGCTAGGCATGACTAGTCACCGAAAGAGACTCCGTTCGAAGATAGAGTGGCTGTGATGACATCATGCATATGCTGCAGGACTGATCATGAAGAGCAACACGCGCAAACCCACGCGCCTGTTGATGCATTGGCTGCTGCCGATAGATGACCAGCGATCCTGTGGACGACTTGCTCCACCTTCGTCAGCATGCCCGCCTGACTCTTCTCCTCGATTCGCTCGCACAACCCGCAACGGCGCTCTTAGGAACGCTTTGGCAGCAAGTTGCACGATCTGATACGTAAGACCTTGAGATGAATTCACTTGGCTAGCTGACAGGCAGTCCGAGTCTAGTCAGCGTGCGCTTCTGATCTGTCTCGAGCATGAGCCGTCGCTGTTTGGGCCTGTCGGCAAGCATTGCGCTGTCATTGATGCCTTGTGCGGTTCGAAGTACAATGCCAGGCAACAACCGTGTGATGCTCTGGAAGCGCTTCTCTCTGCACTACAACAGCAGCTGCAGCACGTGAGTCAGCAGCTCGGTCTTTGCGCGTGTGTTGCTGAGCAACGCCGGCAGCCGCTGCTCGTGTTCATAGACGGCATCACCAACTTTACCTATCAGTACGGCCAGAAGACGCTGTTCAAGCTTCTCAGAGCAATCCTAGCATCCGATACGGCTACTCGTATCGTACTCGTCCACCATGTCGATCTGCCGAGTCCAACAGAGCAGCGGACCGACATCGTCGCGCTTTTGCAAAGCCCGAGCATGTGCGCGAGCATACTGAGAGTCGCACTACATCCACTTGCGCTCTTGCAGCACTTACTCGATGACCTTCATCTCGCCCCTGAGTCCGAACAGGTCTATGCTCTACTGCAGACCCATCTCGCCCGAGGCTGGGGATCTGGCTTCTCCTACGCAACCGAAGAACCCCATGCGAGCGAGGAGAACAGCACAGCAGATGGCTTGGGCGAGCGCAGACTGGCTCGCTGTATCCTGAGCTACGATGCTCGAGGGCTGTCATCCGCTGAACGGGCTGGCAAAGTCAAGGAAGAGCGCGGTGTCGTTGCTCTATTGCGCAAAAGCGAAGGCGACGCGGCTAGCTACCAGACTGCCGCGCTCTCAGAAGTCCTGATCGCTCGCTCGCGTCGGGAGGTCAAGACAGCCAGCATCGCAGCTGCTGACAAAGACGGCCTACCCGCCGACCTGACGTTCAGCCTCAGTCTGACGGACGCCCAGCGGCAAGCACGGGATAGCGTACCGTTGCCCTTTGCTCGCGACTCGACCGAGCAAGGGAGGATCATCTACGAGCCAGACTCGGGCGATGATCTCGATGAAGACGAGCCAGACGAAGGAATGGAGATCTGATTGCAAGCTCTCCAATCCCTCATCATCATGATCGGCGCGAATGATCTGCAACCGTCAATCTGAGCTGAGCGCGTCATTGATTTTAATTTATTTGGCCTTGGCACGCGCAACGACCGGGAAGGGGAGGCTCAGGAGCAGACTCGTGTGACACTACCTTGTACATAGCCCGACACTGCCCCGCCAAATATGGCCCCCTTCTCCAAACTGCGTGATCGCGCCAGAGGTGTGCACGAGCAGAGCTACAAATCATGTCGGACAGCTCAAGGAGTAGCACAGACATCACGAGCGATATCGGCCAGGACTTCGGCCGACTGACGACTGCTGCGAGCTATGCCTTCAATCCAGACCATCGCCACGATGAAGCCCACGAAAAGGAAGCAGATCGCAAGCAGGCAGAGATCTGCGCATCCCACAGATGTCCGTCCTTCGTGCTCGTCAAGCTAACGTGGCTTGATCATCTTGTCGAGCCACGCAGTCAACTCGTTCGCTGCTCAACGGCAGAACAACAATGTCAAATGGTTCGTCGACGGCAAGGTGAGCTCGACCGATGCTTTGGCAGCGCGTCATGTCTCACCGTGGCATCGTGCAGAACTACTTCTGGGCGCTCTCAGAGATTCTCGAAGAAGCCAAGGAGTCCATCATGATCCTCGATTGGTGGCTGACACCGGAACTCTATCTCCGTCGCCCGCCTGCAGATCACGAAGAGTACCGGCTCGATAGACTGCTCAAGCGCAAAGCAGAGGAAGGCGTCAAGATCTACATTGTCGTCTACAAGGAAGTGACGGCGAGCATGTCCATGGGATCCAAACATACCAAGAACTACCTCGAATCGCTCCATCCCAACATTCTCGTCTTCAGACATCCCGACCATTCGGGCGGCGAGGTTGTCCTCAGATGGTCCCATCACGAAAAGGTCGTCATCGCAGATTGTGCCGTAGCTTGCATTGGTGGCCGTAAGTCTCGAACTCGTCTCACTGCAAAACGCCAGATTGACGCGTTCCTTGGATAGTCGATATCTGCTTTGGCCGCTGGGACACGTCAACGCTCCAGCTCGCTGATTGTCATCCGCAAGACTTTACCCGTCAGCTCTTCCCCGGTCAGGATTACAACGATGCTCGAATCGCCGACTTTGTCGATGTTGCCCATTGGCTGAGCAACCAGCAATCGCGCTTGACTATGCCACGTATGCCCTGGCACGATGTCCACACCATGCTCGCCGGGCCCGTCGTACTCGACATCGCCCAGCATTTTGTCGAGCGATGGAACTTCATCCGCTTCCTCAAGTATAGAGGCGGTCACCAGTATCACGTCTTGGCTTTCCCTCATCATCCGCTAGACGAGATGCCAGACGAATCCGTCCATCGCCATCCTCATCTGGATACCTTTATGCAAGGTGTACACTACTACAAGCATGCTCTCGACCGCGACGAGACTCAGATGCGCTACGGCGGCAACGATGCAAAGGGGAACATGAACGTCCAAGTCTTGCGATCTTCGGCGGATTGGTCCCATGGCATCTTGACGGAGCATTCCATCAAGAATGCCTACTTGCAGCTCATCCGCGAAGCCAATCACTTCATCTACATCGAAAACCAATTCTTCGTCTCCAGTGGTCAATCTGACAGTCAGAAGGGACCCATCAAGAACGAGATCGCGGCTGCCATCGCGCAGCGCTGCATCTCCGCAGCCAAGGACGGCAAGAAATTCAAGGTCATCATCGTCATCCCCTGCGTGCCTGGTTTCGCTGGAGATCTCAACGGGTCGGAAGGAACGCTGTCCATCATTCATTTCACCTACCAAGCACTCTGTCGCGGCAAAGATTCCATTTACGGTCAGATCGAAGCGGCTGGCTTCAATCCTCGCGACTACTGTCAGATCTTCCACTTGCGATCATATGACAGGCAAGTCGCGTCCAAGCAGCGCAGGAACATGCTGACATGAGCCGGATGCAGGCTTCCGAGTGATCCGAAACTGATCGATGGCATGGAGTCACGCTCCGGCGTCAGCTTTGCCGAAGCTCAAGCTGCTCTTGCGCGCATCTACATGGGTGATAACACTACCAAGACGGAAGCAACAGCCAACTCGATCGTCAAGATTGCTCAGCCCAGCCGTGGCGAGTCACTCGCTCCCGGAGAGACGCAGCCAGATCAGGTCATTGAGGTCAAAACGCCCGCGACAGTCAAGGAAGCTCACGATACGCTGCGTCGCTGGCACGATGCTGCTCCTTCCGAGCCTCCCAACCCACACGTCAAGAACAGTGTTGCCCATCACGCAATGCGTCGCAGTGGTGGCAGCCTTCGCGATGAGCCCTGGTATGGTGATGAGGAGTCCGAGCTCGAGGCCTTTGTTACGGAAGAGAGCTATATCCACAGCAAGCTCATGATTGTCGACGTAAGCTCCGCCTTTCTGCAAGATTTTAGCCATGCTGATGTTCAGCAGGATCGTATCGTCCTGTGCGGCTCGGCGAACATCAACGATCGCAGTCAGCAGGGCGATCGCGATTCGGAGATCGCCTGCGTCAGTACGTCGAACTCAGAAAGGCCACATGAGCTGGGCTGACACTGTCCTGCAGCTGAGGATACCAACATGATCGAGAGTAAGATGGCCGGCGAACGATACATGGCATCCCAATTCGCTGCAAGTTTCAGACGACAGCTCATGAAGTATCACCTAGGCATCATGCCGCCCCAGGACTGCCCATCCGAATCGGATCCCGATCCTGGCATGCGCCCAGTCGATGTCGAGCATGACCGCGAATTCATCTCGCTCGATGATGCACTCGTCGAAGATCCGCTCAGTGAAGATTTCGATAAGCTCTGGCGAGGAACAGCAAAGAGCAACACTGAACGCTTCCGCAAGGTCTTCCATTGCGTTCCCGACGACACGGTCACTAATTGGGACGAGTACAAGGCAAGGCTTCCAAGTCCGTCATTCTCTCAGAGCTAAGATCTATCGACGGCAGGCTTTTGTACCCAAAGCACCTGTCAGAGTTGGCCACGTCGCAGAGGGCGTCAGTCTCGAGACTGTCAAAGAAGAACTCGACGGCGTCAGAGGCCACCTCGTCGAGATGCCTATTGATTTTCTCGTAAGCCTCATTGATCGCTCTCGCACCTGGCATCGACTAACGACCCACCGTAGAGCAAGGAAGACCTGCTGGGTGTCTCTGTGGCCGTCAATCCTGCCACTATCGAGATCTATACCTGAGCGCGTCGTCTGCCTCATGATTTCGACACATGATCTCATTCACTGCGCTAAAACTTCGCTGCCATGTTGTATGACGACGCTCATCCTACAAGTACATAATGCATTCCAACAAGCGAACAAGCTGTCATCCGGGATATCCTTGCGCTGCGCAATTGTCAAGCCACAACAGGCGTACTGAGCTTGCCTTGGGAAGCTGCCACTGACCCGCTTGACTCAAGCGAGAGGGATGCTAGCATATTGTAGAATTCTGGCTTGGCCTTCACGGTGATGTCACCGTAAGCTGATTCCTGCTTGGGCTGAACGGCACCCCGGCTGCTGAGCACAAGGGTCTCAAAAAAGAACGCTGAAGCTGCATGGCGAGTGGCCGAAGAAGCGACAGTTTGCACGGACAGTTGTTTGGGCGCTGTGATGTCGGCGGTATCGCCCAAGACGTGTCGGTAGACCAGCAAAGCCTTGATGGTGTTCTTGCTGACAACGGAACCGGTAGAGGTCGTCTGAGATTGGCTGGCAGGCGTACCGTCAATAGTCTGCGGGGCGCGCCGACGAGGCGTGGAGGGAGTCTGCTGTGAACCATACGGCGAGCTATGCAGCTGGCTGGCTGTAGTTGAATCGGCCTCATCAAACACATCGAGCAATGATTCGCCTTTGGGCAACTTAATCTCCGTGTCGCCGGCAGTGGGCGTGAGCAATCGAGTCGATGCTCTTGCAGCACGAAGCTGAGCTTCTTTGGCAGCTGCAGCGGCTTCGGGTCCTTCAAGCGTGACATCAGGGTAATCATTCCAGAGATTGTCTTCGTTCTCGAAGCCGCCATCATCGAAACGAGGCCGCGTAGGACTGTCGCCAAAGTCATCGTATACATCAAGCTGCGCGAAGCCATCCTGCGAGCGCGTGTCGCTCATACGAGCACCCGTCGGTGGTGCATTACGGCCAAGCTCGACTTCCCTGTCCGAGCCATCCTCGGACGAACGCTGACGTTTCCGAGCAGGTGCGAGCTCGCTAGCTCGGCCAACTCGCTTTGAGGGGACCGTATACATTCGCTGAAGCTCAGGAGCAAGCAGGCCTGCTGGAGGCCACATGAAGACTCCTTCCTGGCCTGGAATTGGTCGAGGCAAGAAGAAGCGCGTAGGGTTGTTTTCCATCTCGCGTAGCCGTGCTTCGAGCGCCGAGTGCGGCAGATAAGCTGGCTGGATGATGATACCGCGAGCCCGTCGCTGTTCATCTGTTGTTTGACCTATGACGCCCTGAGAGGTCTCATCGAGCTCGATTTCATCGTCGATGGTAAGCTTGCCGGGTCGAGTGGCCGCTCGCTTGCGCGTGGTAGTCTTTGTAGGTGAGGCTACTTTGGCGAGCTGAGCCGCCGTTCTAGGCGTCATGAGGAGTGCCGATAGACTAGCTTGAGCTGGATCGGAGCGAGGGGTTTGTGCTCGCAAAGCTGTAAGACCGGGTCAGCGCAGGTCGAGCATTACTCTGAGGTATGTACCTTGTTCGAAGTCGCCATAGAGATCAGGCTCGAGCTCGAAGCCACCACGATCAGATCGTGAGCCGTCGCTGCCTTGGCCATACTCGTTGTCGTCGATGGCATAAGGATCAACACCGCCCTTGAACGGAGCCACATCAGACAGTATGGATGACCGATCGGAACGATGGGTTGCAGCATCACGACCGAGCTCGACCTCCATGTCCTCGCTCTGATCAGCTTCAGCTTGACTGCCGCCGGCGCGCTGAGCCAATCTTTGGGCGCGTAATTGATCAGCTCGTCTATCTCTGTTGCGTCGAACTCTTTCTTTCTCGGAGACGTGGTCAGCGAGCCCAAGGTCGAGCTCTTCCTCGTCACCGTCACCCCCGGCGAACGAATCAGCACGGTCACCTGACTGGCTTGCGTCGGAGAAGAAGTCCTGAGATCCCCATCGAGGGGCAGAGCGGCCAAAGTCGCGTCCAGATCGGAACGAGAGAGGCGAAGAACCCCGCGTATCGGGCAGGGTGATAGACGCGCGATCAGCTTGCAAGTCCCTTGCTTGCGTCAATCTGCAGATACCTGCGTTTGAGTGCTCATCAAGATGAGCGCACGCATGACTGACTGTGAAGAAGTGGAGGGAAAGGATGGTGGTCTGGGCTGCGTCATGAGCCAGTCTTGCAGTGGGTCAACAGGCGCAAGGTCGAGCGTGATCGCCGACCGCTTGGCCTTGATCTTGTCTGGGTCCATCTCGATGGCGGGCATGGTGCCCAAACCAGCAAGACCGCCAAGCTGGCTTGCTTGCGTAGTACCGGCAGGCTCTGTAGCGACGACAGGGGCTTGCATGGCTACCGTCGAGAAAGCGAGCTTGATCTTGACGAGCGCCTCTGAGCAGTCTTCCATGAGGTAGCGAGCCTTGCGGGAGTAGACCCTCACGAGACCGAGCAAGAGCTGTCCCTGGATCCTGAGGCCGATAGGAGTCGCCTGGAGCTCCTCATCATCCTGCGCTCGACGCTTGCCTGACGATCTCGCCGTGTTCTGTTGCTCGGCGGGTAGCAGAAGGTCGGACGACAGGATCGCTTGCACAGAGTCGCTGATCGACAAGGTCAAGAACTGAGGCTTTGATAATTTCTTCTCCATGTGCGAAGCGAGCCATACCCGGCTCAGCGCGCCTTTCTTGGAATGAAGAAGCTCGTCCATGGCGGCAGTTGTGCGCTGCGCAGCCGTGGCAGCCGATCTTATCGACGTTGGAGCGTGTCCTGCAAGGTCAATCGACGAGTCGCGGCGCCGTCGCGTTCGCGCAGACACGTCATCTGCGGTCCAACACGTCACGAGGTAGTAGTCAAGTCTAAGATGCATTCAAGAGCAAGGTTCAAAGGCAGTAGATGTCGTGCAAGACATCGAGGAGCGTGCTCATACTCCATGCTTGTGTGCGACAGCTGTCGTGGCAGTAAGCGCCGTTGGCATTTGTGAGCCTGGCCGAGCGTCAGATCAATGGTACGGTACAGGGCATCACGACGCACTCTGGTAAGCCTGCCCAAGGCGATCTACGGATCTCCTGCTTGTGTTCGCGCAGTAGCGTATGGATGTGATGGATCGTCTCGTTTGCGTCCTTGAAGACAGCTCAGCCTGCGTAACATCACAAAGGTGCAGACTGACCTCTTTGCCAGCACCTACGAGCCGGTCGAAATGCAGATAAGCTCGGAGGAAGTAGCCCAGCGGCCAGACCCATTCCTGCGGCTGGTCAGCTGATATCACGAGCAGACGAAGTGACACCAACCGGCCCTTGATGATAATTGAGTCCTTGCGCGATGTGGTAATCCGTGCTGTCGTTTGCATTGTCGTAGTCGCCTCTGCGATGTCGCGTCAGCTTTCGCTCTTCCGAGATCAACCTTCTCCTGACCGATAATCTGGATCTTGCGGATCGAGTGTGCGCACGCCGAGCGGTCCCAGTAAGACTTGATGCGCAGTGTGCAGCGCGCCCAACGCATGGAGAGGTTCGAACAGCTCTGGCGCGACTGCCATAGCGATGGGGAACTGCCCTCGCAATTGGTAGTCGGCTCGTTCTCGGCCTTTTCCGGTGCCATAGACATCCTTGTAGATGCCGCGACGAGCTACTAGCTTAGTGTACAGGCTGTACTCGCCATCTTTGCTGGGATCAACAGGAACATAGAAGCATCTTTCAAAGGACTTCTGGATCAAGTCGCTCCAAGCTGCGTAAGTGATCTCGCGCGCTTTGCCGTCGACTGCTCGGATAAGTCAGCTCAGATCCCTCGCATGACTGTACTACGCACTTGTGACTTTGACGCCGGTTGCAGGGAAGAGGCCTTCCCTGCTAAGTTCTGCAGCCCAACGCAAGGTGCTCTTCAAGAGGCCAATGATCTCCACCGGCGCGCCGTCACGAGGTGTGCCCGGCATGCCTCGATTGCCTGCTTTCTCGCTCGATCCATTCTTGTCTTGCCAAGTGCCGCAATTGTGAGCGTTACCGCCGTACGTGAATCCGGTAGACCAGTCTGTGTCAATGTCGATGTTGAAGCCGTCTTCTTTCATATGCTCGTCTATCTTTGATCCTGCGTTGTGTTCTCTAAAGTGAATGCCGCTGGCGTGTGCTTGCAGGATCTCATGAACGCATTCGGCGACGGTGCTCGTGCGCGAATAGGCCTTTGGATCGTTCCACTCGACGTACTCGCCGTCTTCGGGGAAGCGGCGCTTGACAGGCGCTTGTAAGAAGGCATTACCTTCTTTTGACAGGATCGTATAGTCTTGCAAAAGTTGCATGACCCACCACGGCGAGTCGCGAGAGTTGTAGCGAGGTGTGCGGATGGAATCGATCAGATTGGGTATGAGGCCGAAGCGAATTGTGGAGCAGAGCGCAATGAGGTGCAAGCGAGCTGCTGAATGCAGGCCGGTTGTAATGAGTAGGCCACGTATGGCGATGCCTTGATCGCGACCCCATGCTCGAGCCCATGAAGCTGCAAAGTGGGGCAAACCAGCAGCCAAAGAGGCAGTCTCTTTGCCTGGGTCCATGGAAGCCGACCGCACTCGGCCGAGCATCTGCAGAGCAGTGAGAGCTAAATCCTGAGTGAATTGCGGGCCAGTCTTGACGAAAGGATCGAAGATCTCTAGAGCGCGAGCCTTTGCAGCTTTACTGGCGACATTGTTGATCATGGCAAAGTATCGCGGTCGAAGGAACGCTGGCGCCTTTGCGCTCACTGCATCCAGTCTTTCTTTGTACCATGCGGCGACAGCTTTCAGGCGAGGCTGGACGTCCACTTGCCGTTCGAGCCGCTGCCATACGTATCCAAATGCCCATGTGCCCTTTCGTAAGTGATCACACAATGGATGGCCGAGGTCATTGTGCTGCATGATATAGCGCAGCGGATGCATCCAGCCTTCGACGCCACAATACGTCAGAGCTGACATACCCGGTACCGTGTAGACGCCATCGTTGCCGCCTGTCGCGTCGCGCTCTTCTCCGTCTGCTCGGTACATGACGACATTGAGGTCCACCTCGTCTAGCTCCGCGAACGCTTTCTTGTCGCCACTGAGACAAAGCGCATCGAGCTTTGCGTCGAGGTTGGGCATACTGGTCGCAAAAATCAGAACGCTACCTGGGGCGAAGTCGTCTGGTATCGTGAGCTCTGCGTAAAAACCGGCTTCGTCCGTCAGACCTTGCACCTTTGGAGCAGTCAACGCGATTAGCTCGGCAGGCAAGCCTTTCAGGATCTTCTTATCGGCAGGATCCTCGCCAGCAATCTTCAAGCCGTAACCTGCAATGAAGTCCATTCTGGTGCCGCGCAATGTGATCGGTGCAGGATCGCCTCGGCCTTTCGTACTTGCATTGAAGGCTGTGTAAGCGACGAGAAGATAGCCATCGTGAGTTTGCGGGTTGACGCGATGCGCAGTGATGTAATTCCCTTCTTGCGAGATGTGCGCCTCTGAGAAGCCGTTGACAGACATCTCGATATGCAGATGGTTGACGATTCGTTTGACGGCGCCAATGCCGTTAGAAGGGTTGTCATAAGCCTCATAAGAGCGCGTATCCGTTACTAGATTGAGTAGCTTGGGGTACAGATCATCGAAACCTTTTGTGGAGCCGACGCCAGATGAGCAAAAGGCAGACAAGGCTCCAGTGGGAAGAGCGTCGACAGCGGTACGCTTCTGCGCTGGGGCGTCGTTGTCGTGTGTGCAGTCCATCATAACAGCATGGGGCGAGGAGCCAGCGTGAGGCATGATGAAGGCCTTGCGCGTCGTGCCATTAACGGTGACCAGACCTTCTTCGGTCAGACAGTCCGAGTCCATGGATCCGATGGGCTTCTGTACGCCGTAGGAATACATCAAGGAGCTCTGATCCTTCGGGTCGTTGCCATTCATTGCCTCACGTATCAGACTGTTCAACCCTAGGCGGCTGACAAAGATGACGTCGGTCTCCTGACTGCCGGTGAAGAGCTCTGCCACGACATAGAGGTTTGGATTGATTTTGCGAGCTGCATCAAGAACGTATTCGCCCACATGAAGTGGCGTCGAATGACAATTGTCGATCCGGAAGCCGTCAAACATGCCTGCAAGGAGCTCGGCATATGCAGTCATATGCTTCCACAGCCAGGGACTGTCCTCCGGTCCATTGCCGTACCGTAGCTTGACGCAGTCGCCCCACGCTATGATCTCACGGCGAAGGTACGCTCGTGAGCCGCTGGACGCAAAATCAGAGAGTGGGTCAGCGCCCCACATCCAGCCATTGTTTGCCATGACGAGTGCTCGTGGATCGTGTTGCTTCGTTCGCGAAGTCTGAGGCTGGTATGTGAATAGTGGCTCGCATAATCGGGCTCTGCTGATTCGTCAGCTCGTGCTCGCGCACGCTGAGAAAGAGGGCTCACTTTGGGGTAATTTTGCCCATCTTTGGACCATTCGCTTCCAGCCGCATGAAAGTTGCGCGTCCTCTGATGTTACTCAAGATGGCCTTGACGTCGTCGTCAAATAGCTTATACTGGTCTACGTTCAGTTCGTCTAGCAGGTGGCCGAGCTCTTCCGTGGCTTGCTTTGCTGTGTCCGGGCCTGCCTTGATCGAGAGGGATACCTGCAAGAATTTAATGGCAGAAGCTACATCGACTTTTGCAGAGTATCGGCTAGAAAGTTGGCGCCATCGCTTAGGCAAACAGAATGAAGAAAAGGCTTCTGCGAGTTCCGCACGAGATAGCTTGCCTAAGTCGGCCGAAGCAGCCAGATCTGGCACTTCGCGATCTCGGTCGGTCTGTCTGCCGGCTTCTAGTACGCCAGCCGGCTTGACGATAGCCCCGCCGTCTGCCCAAGCCTGCTCGAATTCAGTCTTGCTGGCCTTGACGTTGATGACATAGTACTGCCAGAGTGCTAGCTCGGGCAGGACTTTATTCTTGATGAGGTCAACAATGCGTGCGAGGTCAGATTCGCTCTCGATGACAGGCGAAAGTCGGTAGACAGACTCGAGCTCGTCCGAGAACTTGATGAGCGCCTTGTCAAGCTCAATCGCTGCTTCTAAATGAGGCGAGTTGACGCCGTTGTAGGCTGCTTCTGGATGATCTAGTAGCCAATCGCTGTTGTTCGCCGTATGGTTGAGTACAACATCAATCAGACTTAGCATGCCCCATTCTTTGCGAATTCGGGCGAGCATCTTTGCAATCTCAGTCTGCCTATCTTCCTTCGATAGCTTCGCATCTGTGAAGAGCTCGTCATCGAAGAGAAGCTGATCGAATATGCTGTACGGCGATCTCGACTCGCCTCGCTGCTGCAGCGGCGTAAAATGGATCATGTTGTAGCCTCGATCACGCGTGACGTCAAGATGAGGAGCCCACTTGTCCAGGCTGCCCATCCATTTTGCAATGAGAGTCTGTATAGCCAGGCCATCCAGCGATATGCTGACAGACTCGCTCAGGACCTTGCCGCCCTTGCCAACAGGCAGTGGCTTGAACGTGTCGCGTTCGAGTATGGGCGTTCGGGCAGGCACGCTCATGGTAGGATCGACATTGAAGTAGCCCGGCTGTGACTTGATCCTTGTCGCTCTATCCTTGAAGGTGGACTGGTCGGACGATTTGGCAAGCTGATCTGAAGCTGGCAGGATGGAGGAAGAGTCATACTCGAGATAGTACTCGAACACGCCTGCAGACGTGATGGGCAGATCGATATGGATGGGCTTCGACAGATCCTTTGGCAAGCTGTGACGCATGATCATCTGGCTGCATCCATGTGGATTGCAGGGAGCGCTTACTCTATGGAATGGAATCTCTTTCTATCGTATGCTGAGCCGTCCAAGGGGAAATTGGTGTGCAAGACACCTGCTTTCGAGGCCGTCGCACCAGCTTCCATGCTGACCCTGAGCACATATGGCTGCACTGGCGCCGGCAAGCGCACATACTATCAAGTGTCACGTCCAATCAGCCCGTGTGTGGCTTGACGGTCCCGGCTAGACTCGCCTTGCGCTCTTTGGATGGCGAGCCATCATCTTCGAGTATAAGCTCCCAGACGGTCAGTGCTGTCTCCGAAGGCGTCTGTGCAAGCTTTTGCGCTGCTTCTGAGCCCTCCATTCTGCGTCTATCACACGGCTAGGGCCCGAAGAAGCGCCTGAGTTCGAGCTTCACAGACACGCGTCGTTTGACGTCAGCGCGTCAGCATTTCAGTAGCAGCCGTGCAATTGCATCTAGGTCTTCAACATGGCTTTGAGCGTTGCTTCGTCTCTTACCTGACGCAAGCGATCAGCTTCTTCCGTACCGCCTGCACAAGGCTCAGTTCGCATTCTCGTCAAAGGACTGATCAAGCGATCTCACCTGTCTTCTTGAGCTTCTTGCCTTCCACAAACTCGCCGAGCTGACTTGCAAGCTCGTCCTGCTTGTTCGACAGGCCCTTCTCTCTTGCCTTCTCGGCTTGCTCGATCGCCTTGAGTCTCTTGAGCGGATCGGGCGCAATCTGCCTGACTTCGCTCATCACCGTTGTCAATCCTTCGTGACCCGATTCCGGAGCAGGCGGCTGGAAATCTCTCTGGGTTCTAGAGCCACCTGTAGTCTTGCGCAGAGACAGATACTTCTCTATCTGCTCGAACACGGCAAGGAGATTGACGTGATCCTCCTTGAGATCTTGGAGCAGCTCTTCTTGGTGGTTGAGGAGCTGCTGCTCATCGACGATATTTTGCAGCTCGGTCTCCCACGTCTTCTTCCACATCGGTTTGACAGAAGTGACGTAGTCTCCAATGGCTCCCAGTTCTGACTTTGTCTCTTGTATGGCCACCCTGACCTCTTTGAGCGTCTGCGGTCTCGGCTTGATCTTTCGCGTGATCACGTCGTTCCTGAGATCTTCGATGGTATCTTGCAAATCGTCCACCTTGCGTAGCAGTGTCTGCGTGCGCTCTTCGAGTTTGGTCTTGCCGGTATCGATAAGCTTGCGCGTGCCACTCATCTGCGTCGTAGCGAGTTGCTTGAAGTGGCTTGTTTGTCCACGCAACGAGCCGAGAGAGGTGCGCATATCGTTTGCAAAGTCAGCATAGACTTGTCGAAGTACGCTCACGTCGCGCCGCACTGTCTGTATCTCATCGAGCTGCGTCCTGAGTTGCGCAGAAGAGATCTTCTTGTTGCTCGCTGGGTTTCCGCTCGTTACCGTCAGCAACGGCGTCGATAGCTCAGGCATCGTCTTTGGCCGCGGCGTCGCGTCGATGCTGGCATCTTCTGCTAGCCGGCTACGTGACTGACTCGACACCCTCTGCGCCATCGCCTGTGAAAGCCTATCTCCTACACGGGGCGAGCTTGGGGGCGTGCCTTCGATGCCATTAGGGATCGGCAATATCGAAGACGCGCGATTGCGTGCAGTACTAATAGCCAGGCTGGCTTTGAGCTCCTTGATCTCGGACGCGAGCGAAGCAAGACCAGAGTCAATTTGCTGCCTGACCTGATCGAGCGGCTCGATATTGAGACTGAGAACGCTCTTGTCCTTGATGTCTGACAGATCTTCGAGCTCGTACTGGACCCCGATCTCAGGGTCTCGGAGGTAGATAGACGGGAAATCGCCGAGGCCAGGGTTATACTGGAAACGATCGATGAAGAGCACGCGCAAGGATGCCAGTGTCGGTGCGCTTTCTAGCTGAGCCTTCTTGACATCGCGTCCCAGCTGCAGGTAGATGGTCTTAGGCTGCGCCGAGACCTCGACCGTCTCTGACGCTTGAGTGATATCATCCGGTGGCTCTGGCTCTGCAGGCGAGGCCTGCGTCGCTCTTGTCGCGTCTACGGGGCTGCTGCTCTCCGGCTGCACCTGCTCACCGCGCGGCGATGTCGTACTGTTCCTGGGCGAAGCTGAGGGTGATTCTGATATGTCATCTAGAGTCGCAGAAGCTCCTGTGAAGCTGCGGTTGGGCGAGAAGGTCGGTCGATCCTGCTTGAGCTTTCTGCGAGCGCTCGCTAGCTCTCTACCTGCAGATGGACTGCTTTGTTCGGCAGGCAAAGGTGCACCGGACACGAGTGGAGCGTTGGGCGATCTGCTGACCAATGTCGCGAGACTGTTCGGCCCGGTCAAAGGTGGCAAGGTGGCAGATTGTGCAGATCCCGTCATTCTGTTCATGGTATAGGCAGAAAAGCGTTTGGAAGCTCTGCGTCCGAGCGCATTACCCTTGAGAGCTTCAAGAGATGCATTCTGCGCTGCCGTTTCTGGCGGCGGTAGTGGTGGTAGAGCTGCACCTGGGGGAGAATTCGATCGGACAGAGTCGACAGGTGAAAAACAAGAGGTCTCCGGTGTCCGACTTTGCGCCCTTGGTGGCCTCTCCATCTCCGAATTTGATGCCGGGACGTCAAAGACAGGTGCAGAGGTAGGCGAAAGCGGTAAACTGGACGTGACGATGGGTGGAAGCTGCGGACTCTGATAAGATGACCTGCTCGCTCGGCGTTCCGGCGTGGGCAATTCGGAAGCAAGCACTCTTTGCGTGAGCGAATTGCCAGCTGAAGCCCTGCTGATACTGGTCTGCCGCCTGGGAGGCGTGTCGGGTCCTCGTGTCGGCGTACTAGACCAGCTTGTCTGTCGCGCAGGCGGACTGGCGAGCTGGCTCAGCTGACTGCCAGAGGCTAAAGCATCCGGCACGACAGATGCTCGGCGTGGCAGGACACTCTCGATACCAGCAGGAGGGCGTGATCCATCCTCACGTATCGGCGGCAGGCCGTTTGTAGCTTCCTGCGCTTGTCTCGGCGGAGGCGGCACGTCACGATTGACGTCGATGGGGGGCCTTTGGGCAGAGCCAGCAGAAGCAGTCCTCCTGCGCGTCGCTTCGTCTGTCAGGCTTCTATAGACTGACTGTTTCCCTTTGAGACCCTGCAGAAGGCCTATGATGATCTCGCGTATCTTTGGCAGATAGACTTCCAGCGTGGCCGGGCTGGCATCTTCCGACAGGGCGGTCTCTAGACAGACTCTGAGATCGTCTGGTACAGAGAGCAGGTCGGTCATATTGATGCCTTGACGAGAGAAGGCAGCACAAGCGGCGTTGAAGTCATTGCCGAGCTGGACGTAGATATCGCTCACCCTGCCCTCGTCAACTTCGCCTCTTGACCAACGCGTGAGGGACTCGAGGAGCTGTTTCGTCGCGACGAGTAGCTTTGTGACCGAGGAATCAATGTGAGTGCTCGACTGCCGAACATGTGGATCAGCAGAAGGCAGAGTGGCGGCCTGATCTGTGTACGCACGCTCGCACGGGTAGAGCTTGATTGACTCGCGAGACTGTTGAGGGAGCCGACTGACGACGTACTGCCGCGGTGATGGTGCTGCCGTTGCTGAGAAGCAGTCGACCTCGAAGCCGTGCTCGAGCTGGTCCCTGTCGGCTGTCTCGGTCTGCTGCTGCCAGCAGGCGCGAATGAGGAGCTGGCGACATCGTCTCTCAATGCTCGTGCTTCTCGAGATGCACCCGCTTCCGTGCTGATCGACCGAGTCCGCACAGGTGGCAGCCTGGTGTCATCCGACATCCCGCCGGCTGCTGTCTGCGTGCGCGAGCCTGCTTGATCGGGGTGATGACGGCCTTGGACAAGCACGTCGAACTGAGTCGAACGCGAGCGCGCAAGCTGACCGCATCCGCCAAAGACCTTGACCTCGCTTTTCCCTCGCAGGCATAGGCTATGAGATGCACACGGCATTCGTCTGCGAGGATCTTGCCCAGCTCAGCGGCAGGGCAGAGGCATTGGTCCATCACGGCAACAAGCTCTACGTTGGCAACGCTGATGGGGAGCTGTACATCTATGAGCTCCTGCCATCCGACACTGAGACTTCCCATGCTTCGGGAAGCGGACAAGCCGACAAAGTCAGCTTGTTGAAGAGCGTGCCTCACTTTGCGCCCAAGTCGATCGACCAGCTCGGCATACTCAAGGAGACTCATTCGCTCGTTTGCCGCTCAGACGGCAATGTCCAGCTGTATGATCTCACTACACTCGATCTGCAGACCAGTCTCGGTGCGCAGACAAAGGCTCAAGCGAGTCTCTTCCGCCTCGCCACTCAGGCTCGCTCGCAGCCCGTCACGCCTGCAAAAGCGTCGCCCGTCGCCAAAGGCAAAGCACGCGCCGCCGCACAGAGTCAAGCAGAAGAGATTGTACTGTGGACAACGTTGGCAGTCACGTGCAAGCGTCGGCTGCTCCTGCTCAGGTGGCGCGACGGCCAATGGCAAGAGCCACTCGAGCTCAGCCTGCCTCACCAGGTCCGCTCAATGACATTTCCAAATCCAGAGACGCTCTTTCTCGGATACTCGACCCAGACCTACGGTCTCGTCAAGCTGAGGCCCAATAGCAAGTCGAACCAGCCTCTATTGAGCGAGGTCAATCTGTCCGGTCTGATGGCAAACGCAACGGCTGGCCAAAGTGCAACCTTGGGCTTAGGCGGGCTTGCTATCAAGACGGCAGGATACACAGGGATCGGCGGCATCGGCAGAGTGCAACGTAACCTCACTGCCACGATCAGACAAGATGAGATGCTCATCGTACAAGACGATCAAGGCTATCTTGTCGATCCTCAAGGCAAACGCTTGCGAAGTCACTCTCTGGCCTTTCCGGCCGCGCCTGACCATATAGAATCCTGCTCGCCTTACTTTCTATCAGCTTTGCCTGCTTCTGCTCCTGCAAAGCTGAACACGCCCGGCTTGGCAGTCTATACCCTAGAGACCTTTTCGCTCGTACAAAGCCTCACCCTGCCAAATTCGGCATCCAAACCCGAAGAGATCAAAGCACTTGCAGCCTCGTCTGGTCAGAGGCCACTGCTCTATGCACTATCGATCGCAACAGATTCGCAGGGCGGAAGAGGCAGTCGGACACGATTGTGGCAGATCACCATGTCGTCCTGGTCCTCCCAGCTGGACCAGCTCACACGGCAAGGGGACTATCAAGAAGCATCTGCGCTGCTAGGCTCGCTCGACCAATCAGTCTTGCCGGACAAGATGACACGCTTCCGTCGGTTGCAGATCCTTGCAGCAGTCAAACAGCTCGATCATCGCCGACAATGGGATGCGGCAATCGATGTCTTTATCCAATTCGACAGCAATCCCAGCAAAGTCATCTCACTATTTACAGAGGCTATAGCAGGCAAACTGCATAAGCCATTCGACGAGCGCGAGGCGACTTTTGGCGGCCGAGCCGCTGCTGCGCTGCCGATCCCCAAGGCATCGAATAAGAAAGCTGACAGCGTAGAGAGCGATGCTGGTAGCGTGACAGAGACGCTCAGATCACTCTCGCCTGATCAGGCCAGTCCTCGAGAAGATTCGATTCTGAAGGGCAAGAGAAGCAAGTCAGATCTCCGCCAAAGCTCGCTGGGCCAACGAGCAGCAGAAGCCAAGCTTCAACAGCGAAAGCGAGAAAGCATCGAGGTCCTCATCCGATATCTCACCGACCGACGCCAAAACATCAACAAAGCTCTGAGCAACAGGCAAGGCTCTACAAAGCCTTCCGTTGGCGACGAGACCGAGCCACTTGACGTGCCTGCTGCCTTTGCTTTGCCTGATGGTCCCCTGACGGAGCTATCGATCGAGCAGCTGTACACAATCGCCAGGATCGTGGACACCACGCTCTTCAGGTCTTATCTGGCCGTGCGACCGACTTTGCTCGGTCCACTGTGTCGCATAGAGAACTGGTGCGATGCTTCCGAAGTCGAAGATCTGCTCTTTGCCGATGGCCGCATCAACGAGCTGCTCGACTTGTTCCGCGTGAAGAAGCAGCACAAGAAGGCACTCGAGCTCTTGCGACGTACAGTAGACGAGTCGATGCCCGTCGCTGAACAAGTCGAAGACACCGTCGCCTACCTGCATCGGCTGGGCGCAGAGAATATCGAGCTTGTCTGCGAAACCTCGCTCTGGGTCTTCTCACTCGATTTTGGAGCGGGCCTGCAAATCTTCACTGCCGATTCGGAGGACGTCGAGTCTTGGCCTCGCCATGAGGTCGCCAGTCATCTTCGCGCCGTGTCAGATGAAGCGCTGACGGCATACCTCGAGCACATCATCTACAGCCTACACGACGCAGAGCCAGACTTTCATGATCAACTCATCAATCTCTACCTCCAGAATGTTCTTGCGTCCCCTAAATTCCAGCGCAAAGGTAAAAACATCTTGCGATGGTCCGAACAAGCTGAATGACGCTTTATAGATGCGCGAGACTACGCAAAGCTGCTTGCTATGCTGCAGACTTCTACGCAATACCGAGCGGATCGTACTCTGAGCAGATTGCCAGGAGATGACCTCTACGAGTTCAGGGCGCTACTACTAGGACGACTTGAGCGACACGAGGGCGCACTACGGATCTACGTCAATAGGCTCGGCGATTTCGCAGCAGCAGAGGCGTAAGCTTTGGGCGGTTTTTCCGCAGCTGAGCTGACTCTGCTGGACAGGTATTGCCAATCAGTATATGCATCCGGCACAACGTCATCAGGCAACATCTTCTCGGTCTTGCTGCAGCTCTACCTCCGCCCCAAAGACGATGCAAATCCTCGCTTCGAGCCTGCCCTGAGCCTGCTCGCCAGTCAGGGCACAAAGATAAACGCCATCGAGGCGCTTGAACTGCTCCCACCTGTCATGACGATTCGTGATCTAAGAACATTCCTGCACAAGACTTTGCGGCACGGTCGCGAAATACGGAATGGTCTGTCTTTAGATAAGAACGTCTATGCTGCCCGCAGAGACGGCCTCGACCGCGAAAAGGCCGCTCTCGAAGGCCGGAGAGTGCGCATAACTGACTCTAGACTGTTCGTACTGCTTCAGTGTGGAAGGCAGTGAGCTGATGTGAAATGCAGATGCCCTCAATGCCACAAACGGCTCGGTAGCTCCGTCGTGGCCATTCATATGCCGCACGGCCACGTCACACACTACAACTGTCGAGAACAGTGGCATGCGCATAAAGCTTCGCAGATCTGATTGAATAGCCTGACATTGCATCTTGAGCTCATGCATGACTACGCGCTGTGACGGTCAAGCTGTTTGATGACACGTCACCACGAGGGAGCGCCACCCATGCTCGCGCCGCAAGTCGCTGACGCTGCGAGCTCGTTTGTCGGTGCCTAACCCTCTGAGAGGTTCGCAATAGCACTTCAGAGCGTCGTCAGCTTCCGATAGCATCAGTAGCGCCTGCACACCACGAGGGGCTGTCATCGCGGCCTGCCAGTCAGGTAAGGCATCAAGCTGTCCTCACCTCCTTCTTCCGCGTACTAGCATCTCAACATTGCGCAAGAGCTCGTCCTGCTCGCACAGGCTGCGGGACAGCTCCGAATCGCTCACTGTGCTTGCTGGCCGAGCTCGCGCGGCGTGTCCTATGGCGGACGATCTCGTCAAACCGCCGCTACGGCGGCAAGCAGGCAAACAAGCAATCGTTCCGCTTGACATCGTTTGATGCTTGCACAATGGTCCGACTGTCTCAAGACAACTCCCGTCTGACGCGGCATGTGCAAACACGATCGCTCGGAGGCACGAACAGAGTAGAATCGCGCTCGCCTGGCTGGTGCCGCGTCCCAAGTCAGCATGATCCAGGCAGGCAAGCGTGCTACAGGCAAGGCTGCATCGCAGCGAACTGTACAGCCTGTACCCAATAGTGTCTTGCCTCGCGCATCCGATGCCAGCAGCGCGTCGTCCGAAGCTACACTCCGCTGTGGCAAACCCCCCTTACCTTTGCTACTCCCCACGATCATTGCGACATGGAGCTAACGCAGTTCATACAAGTTTACAGAAAGCCATAGCCGCGTCACGGGCCAAAGCCTAGCATTTATCGATAATGACAGAGGTGAGTCTCCGGTCAAAGATGTCGCTGACACAGAGCTCATTGAATGCTTTAGGAACGCGATAGCCGGGTCTACATGGCCAAGCGAGTGTTTCTTATGCTTTTGCACACCTGCGCTGACCTCGTCATGCTCATAGGCTCGCTGAGCAAGCCGAGCGCTACGACGAGATGGTCACCTACATGAAGGATGTCGCCAAACTCGGCGTTGAGCTCAGCGTCGAGGAGCGTAATCTGCTCTCGGTTGCCTACAAGAGTACGTCGTGGCGCTATCTCGGGCGACCAGGGCTCACATGGTATCATTGCAGACGTTATTGGAGCCAGACGTGCATCCTGGCGTATCATCTCTTCGATCGAGCAGAAGGAGGAATCAAAGGGCAACGAGGCTCAGGTAGGCAAGATCAAGACTTACAGAAAGAAGGTAGAAGCCGAACTGTCAGACGTGTGCACCGATATTCTCGAGGTCCTGGACAAGCACCTCATTCCCTCTGCGCAAGCTGGCGAGAGCAAGGTCTTCTACCACAAGATGTATGTCCAAGCTTTGCCTTCATTTCAGCGCACAAACTGACCCTGTTCGCCGAGCAGGAAGGGCGATTATCACCGATACCTCGCCGAATTCGCTGCTGGCGATGGTCGAGCAGGCGCTTCTGAGGCCGCCCACGAATCCTACAAACAGGCCACCGAGATTGCGCAGAGCGACCTCGCACCGACGCATCCCATCCGATTGGGTCTGGCACTCAACTTTTCGGTGTTCTACTACGAGATCCTCAACTCGCCCGACCGCGCCTGCCATCTCGCCAAGCAAGCGTTCGATGATGCGATCGCCGAACTCGATACCCTCTCTGAAGAATCATACAAGGACTCTACGCTCATCATGCAGCTCCTACGTGACAATCTCACCCTCTGGACTTCTGACATTGCCGATCAGGGTAGGCCTTGGGCCCCTGCAGATCGCTAAGTGTGGCTGAGTCAATCTGCGCAGAACAACAAGCAACTGAAATCAAGCCAACCGAAGCACAGGCTGCGTCGGCTACGGAAGCCGCACCCGTCGCTGCCTAAAAGGCCCCTACATTCGCGACGGATGTCGCGCAAGCCTGTTCAAGACTGAGCAAACGATCGCCATACTAGCAGCAGTTGTCACTCGAAACGTTAGCTTTTCATCTCTGTCGATCTTGTGCTGCGGTATTGAGCATCTCGATGATCGTCAAGTCTGGATCTAGCTCGGCTTGGCCTGCAGGAGGCATGGGTAAACTGAAAGACTTGACGCGCACGCGTCGCCGCTTTCGGCAGGTGACGACGGAAAATGCGATCATTGCCTGTCCTCAGATGCCTTCTGCAGCACTCCCGTCAGATTGCATGACCATCATCCATATGAGACTAGAAGTTCGTCCCGCTGCGCACTCGCATACAGGGCGTGGCCTTGGGCAGAAGGCCCTCTTGACCCAGGCGAGCGGAGAAGTACACCATGGCAGACACGTCCATGAGGGATTTGCTGACCGATGGTCTGCCTGTCTATCTGTCGACTCAGTTGCCGACTGTCGAGCCTGGTCAGAACCCGTTTGAAGTATATCTCACGTCCTTTAATGAGTTGCTCTATCCACCCCCGACTCGCGGCTTCACGGCAAGGACATGGGCGCTGGTCGCCCTGGCCGGATTACAGATCGTCATCACAATCATTTACATGTCTGTAGTGGCTTCGGCGGGCAAAGTGCACTTCCTTCGCCGAGGTTCGTCTGTTCGCAGGGCTCGTCAATGCAGCGTTGACGGGCTGGTGCAGTCAAACGTCCAGAGGGCACCCACTTCATCGTTCATCCGCTATGGGGCTCGTTCTTTGAGATTGCCGCGGGCGGTATGGTCATCTTCGCGGCCATCCGTTACTACAATGCGTACGTCTTGAGAGGAAATCTCAACGGTATTGTCGCGCTGCATGCTACGACCTGGATTCCGCTCTGGCTGGCCTATGTCAGTGTGCTACCATCACTGCATATGATCATGACACTGACGAGACGCTGACAGTGGACACATGTCATTGCCAACACACAAGCGCTGGCGCTCATGTCAAACAAGACGATCGTCAGACCGCATCTGCTGAATTGGCTTGCGTATGGCGTGCCAGTAGCCATATTTGCGCCCTTAATTACGCTCTCTTGCATGGCCGAGCACCGCTGGCAAGTCTCCCTCTCTATGCAATTTGCTATCAGGGCGCAACTCGAACAAGGCAATACTGCCTATCAGGCGAACCCTCAGACAGCCATTGCAAATCTCCTGCCTATCTTGTCGGATTACAAAGCCTTGCTAAGCTATATCAAGTACAATGTCGTCCTTGTTCGCGCAATCTCTGCAATCTTCATCTTTCAACTCGGTCTGGCGCTCATAATGAACTATGCCAATTTCAGCCTGCTCAAACACGTGTCCGAGACTCTCGTCTACAACCGAAGTGGGAGATCGCAGAACATAGCGCTCCTGACAGGTGACGAGACGATTCCGAACGAAAAATCTCAGGCAGGAACACAGCTAGGGACGCAATCTATGGGGCCCGCGCAAGGGGCGACAAGCACACTGCGCCAGGGTGCGGCAGAGTATACTGCCCACATCCACCGCTTGGCCGGGCTCAAATCGGTCATCATCGTCGTGCTAGGCGTTGGCGGCATCGTTTGCACACTCGGTATCGCCGTTGCCATCATCACTGCCATCAAACCACTTGACGTGCTCACCACTTTCTGGCTGGATGAGTTCTGTGGAACCGCGATCTCATGGGCTTACATCTTGTGCGTACCTCTGACATACACAGCAAACGTCCTCGCGCTGACTATCAAGCACACAGGCTCATCATTCCAGCCAAAATCGCACAGATCGTGCAGCACTTTATGCAAATCAAAGAGGCAAAGATGATGACACAACAGCAGATCAACTCTGACGATTTCGAAAAGGGCCAGCTGTCTGGTGGCACTGCCGTCAATTCTGCGGACTCGCTAGGGCTCAAGCTCGAGATGCCTGATCAGAGCAGTAAGTCAGGCGACGCGAAGCGCCTTTCCGACCTATGGCAGCCACTTGCCGACTCTGACATCAAAGTGGACGAGACCGTAGTGACACGAGTAGCGGAGTAGCATGGTCCGCGGCCAGTGACGCTGCTTGCTGTACTGTCGCTTGAGGAATGTACGATTGCTGTATTGGACCATGATTTGATGACGTGTTCGCCTGGCCGCATTCGGCGTGAGCTGTTCAAAAAGGCGCGCCCGCTAGCAAACAATTAAGAAGAACTCTCCTCAAACCTTCTTGCTTCGATTCCTTCTTCCCCATACACTAGCATTACATCGAGCATGCGGGACAGCTGCCTGGCTTCATTCGTCTTGCCAGATTGCGAAGCGATGGCTGATGTTGGAATCTCTACTATCGAGCGAGGCTCAGGTTCCACGCCTCTGGCGCAGAAGCCAGCATGGAGCACACGACATTAGCGAGCTTGCAGGCGGCATCCACATCAGGTGTCAACCCTTTCGAAGCGCTCCTAGGTCATCTTGCGAGCACTCTTTATCCGACGCCCAGCCACGGCTTCGAAGCACGGCTATGGACACTCTCAGCGCTATCGGGCGTTCACATCATCGTCAGCATCGTCTTCATGATAGTCTCGATGCCAAAGGGTAGGTTCTATTTCTTCAAAGTCGTCAAGCGATCCGAGGGCAGCTTTGTCGCCATGAACCCGCTTTTCGAGCTCATGCTAGAGACGCTCTCTGGCGGTCTGATCATCTATTCTTGTGCAATGTACTATCGTGCCTACATCAGACGAGGGGACTTGAGCAGCATCGTCCCTCTACATGCGCTCACCTGGGTCCCGCTTTGGTCAGCCTACGTTAGTCCCTTTGGTGATAATGATCTGCGCTTGTGCTGAAGCTCGATGATCGCAGTGGAGTCATATCATTGCCAACATTCAAGCGCTGTCTATCATGCCAGCGAAGACGATCGTGCGCCCATATCTGCTCACCTGGCTGGCGTATGGCGTGCCCTTTGTCATCTTTGTACCGGTCGTCACCCTCGCAGGAATTGCGTGGCACCAATGGCTGCACATTCTCGACCTCATACATGCTTTACAGACCAACCTCCGACAAGGCGATGCGCTCTACCAGACTGATCCTGCGAGCGCGATAGCGTATCTGCAGACGCTTACGCCGCAGCTGCAGTCACTGTCGCAGTCTGAAGATCGTCTGGCTCTCTACGCAAAAGCCATCTCAGTGACCTGGGTCATCAAGCTCGTCGTCGCTCTCGTTGGAACGTACTTCTCCGTGGCGATGCTCAAACATATTTCTGCGACGCTCGCTTATCATACCAGAGGCAACACCCAACGTGTGACGGTGCCCGACGAGATGGTCACGCTGGACGTGAGCCGCAGCGAATTCAAATCACAGCATCTTGAGCCAGGTCGCGGGATAGCGTCAATGATCCAGCGCGATGCCGAGCGGGCCACTCGCATCCAGCGACTGACGGGCCTCAAATGGGCCATTGCTGTGCTCAGCATCGTCGGAACGATCGTCTGTACTGTCAGCCTGGTCGCCGCTCTCATCACTGCTATCAGGCCGGCGGAAACACTCGATCGGTGGCCAGTCAACGAATATGTATCACTGGGGATATCGTGGGCGTATATCATGTCCGTACTCGATCGCCTCGATCGTATCGCATGCTGATCGAATAGCCTGCAGACTCATCATTCCTGCCAGGATAGCACAGATCACGCAACATCTGCTTCAGTCTAAGCGGCAAAAGGCCCAGGTGACTCAAGTAAACGGGTCAGAAGACGATTGCGACAAGGACGCTAGCACGATGAAAGGATCAGCCGATTCTCTCGGCCTCAAGCTAGAGCTGCCCACCCAGGCCATCAACGCCCGCGCTGCGAAGCCCTCGTCCGACCTCTGGCAGCCACCGAGCGGTTCAGATGGCGTTGTCCGCACGCCAGACGATTGATCTGTGTCCTGCGTGCGGCTGAACCATTGCATTCGAGCTCGTAGCCTTCATGCCGTCGAGCCTCGCGCTGTAGCATTGTGGACATTGTCCTTTGCACTTCTCCCATCCTGAGCTCGAGCGCGTATCCCGAATCCGGTCAAATTCGAGCTGCAGTCGCGTCCATTGATATTACGTACCTTGAAATCAATGCGCGACCAGTCTCCGAACATCTGGGCAAGATGTCGACTCTGCTCTTCCTCTTCCCATCCCGTCCCTATGTCGCCAACTTTGCCAGCGTTCTTTGTGTCCGCGAGAGTCTGGCCAGAACAGGCTTGGGCGATGGACGCGAGCACGGCCCGTCAGACAGGCTTTCCGTCGTTGTTGCGCCAACGAGCATGTCTGCAGTCAAAGCACCGACGTCGCTCTCCACGAGCTTGCCCGATGTGCCTGTTGGCCAAGATCCTTTTGACTACTACATTGCTATATCCGAGGAGCTCATACACCCCACGCCGACTGGCGGCTACGAGGCAAGACTATGGGCCTTGACTGCCCTGGCAAGTGTGCATATCCTTCTAACGACCGTGCACATGTCTATGACTATGAGGTCTAGCAAATTGTACATCTGCAAGCGAGTCAAAAGGCCAGAAGGCTATTACATCATCGTCAATCCCATGCTTGCGCCCGCCTGCGAGATAGCTGCTGGCGCTGTCATCATAGCATCCGGCGAAACATACCGTCGTGTGTATGTCCAGCAAATCGGCAGCTGCAGTGAGCTCGCCCTGCACGCCCTCACTTGGGTACCTCTCTGGGTAGCGTATGTCGTGCACGTGGTCGTCAACTCTCAGGCGCTCGCCCTGATGACGACCAAGTCGATCATCAGCCCACACTGGCTCAATTGGGTCGCTTACGGCCTGCCCGCTTGTATTCTCATTCCACTCATCACGCTCGGCAATGTCGCGGATCACAGACTAGACGGGATCACTGCTTCGTTCGTTCAGATCAAGAGCGAGCTGCAGGCAGGTCAGAGCTTGTATGCCGGAAGCTCGCAAGCGGCAAAGATGGTCCTGACGCGAGTCTATGCGGATTACGATACTGTCATACTTCGCTCGAGACATCTTGTCGGCATGATCCGAGGTATCTATGCGCTATGGGTCCTCAAGCTCTTCATCGGACTGGCAGCAAACTATTCGAGCCTCTTGTTGCTCAAACACATTACTGAGACGCTGAGATACCACCGGGAGCAGATCATACGATCGACGACCACCGACAAGGGCGATGTAGATGCAGAGAAGGATATCGCGCTCACGGTCACACTTTCGTACGGAACTGCCGAAAGGAGTCGTGATACGAACTATCGGGCACATGTGGTTCGTCTCGCGGAGCTCAAGCTCGTCATGGCGGTCGTCATCGTCATCGGCACGATCACTTGCATCAGTGGTATGGCAATCGCGCTCCTTGGCTCTATCGTGCCTTTCGATGCTCTTCTTGATTTCCCGACCAACGAAGTCGTCGGCTGCCTTATCAGCTGGGTTTATCTATTGTGAGTCTTGTCGCGCAGCTTCCTCGTGACAGTGATCCTGACAGTAAATAGGCTTATCATTCCAGCCAGGGGCGTGCAAATCTGCCGATATATCTGGCGGCGGAACAACAAGGTCATGACATTACACGAGGCCTTGAGCGCCCATGAGGATCCGACGACAAGCTCAGCATCTGTCTGGACAGGCATACATACATCCGGAGCAGGGAGCGCCAACTCGTCGAAGCCCAAGTACACACAGCCGGATGCATTCACATCTGACCAGATCGAGGTTCATACGACGGTAAGCCAGACGAGCGACGGATGAGCGGTCACGTCCGCGTTGCTGTTAGACAAATGCTATGACATGACAACAAGGATAGACATCGTGACTTAACGCTGTCCAAGTACCGGGCTGCTTGACGCGTTGAAGCCATATTCGCTCAATCGCACGGGCGCGGGTGCGTGGGATCGGTGGGGTGCCGCTGTATCATTCCCTCCGTACAGACCGATGAGTGCGGATATGCGAGATCTGCCGGGGCTGCTTTCGACGGTGCCCGTGCCACTTTCTGGCGTAGCCGTACTGATACGATTTGCATCGTGCTGCCATTTAGCGAATACTTTCAGCACGTGAATAAGGCTAAACGAAATTACGCACCGGCACGTCAGGAGCCACAAGCACTGGCGTATGCCTGCCCAGCACAGGCGATTCTTCTTTTGCTAGCGTCCCAGGAGATGGAGTAGGTATCGGCAGATGTTGGGCTGGCTCGTCAGAGCCGCCAAGACTGTAGTCGTTGCCCTCGTGAGAGAGTGTCGCCCTGCTGGTGTCGACGAGACTGGCTTCTTCATCTTCAATGCCGCCATAGAGATCAGCGACTGCAGGCATGGGTCGTGGAGTCCGTGCGGAAGATGTCGGATTCATCGGCGCTGCCAATCCGGGTGAAGCAGGCTTTTCTGCATCTGAATGTGCTGGGCCAGGCGAAACAAATGACGGTGATTGTTGCATGATCGAAATATCAGCCAGCGCCACGGGAGCGACATCTTCTGCGGGCATATTATATGGTATGGCTGTGGGCAGCCGCTTATCTGGTCTGCTTGAGCTTCGGCGCATCAGGCCACGAATGCCCGAGAAATTGCGATTCTGCCTGCCGTTCTCGTTTAGACTGTCAAGTGACGGTTGGTGTCCCAACGTCGCTGTCGGTTTACGATCTAGACTGACTTGCTTTGTGTTCTCTGAGCCAAGAAAAGCATCGAATTGTTTGGTGCGTAGGCTATCGTGCGAACGGCCATTGATCTCGTTGATCGTCCTGAGGTTGCGATTCGACTTCTTCCGTCTGACCGGACGGAAGAACGAGACACGCTTGCTCTTCTTTGAAGCCTTGCCCTCTGCGAGATCGAGCAGGTACTCTTGAGGCACCGTCTCGATCATGAGGTACCAAGCATTGCCAGATGCTTCATTGCCTAGCAAAGATGATTCCAGATTAGCCGAATGACGCCTCGTTTTGTATTGCAAGAGAGCCCATGAAGTCGGCTTGAGCTCGTCTCTGGTCCAGCCAGATGAGATGAGCACGTCCGCCCAAGCCTCTACGAACAATTCGTCAACGTTCACAACGCCCTGCTCGCGAGGCGTGATATCGTATGGAAAAGATGGCAGACCGGCTTCTGTCTTTCTCATTCGCGCTGTCAGATCACGGCGTTCTTGCGGCCAATGATCGACAGATTGCGAGACTTTCGTATCAAAGTCGAGATCGCCAGGCAGGTAAGATTCCCGATCAGAGAAGCCGCTTGACGAGAACGTCGACCAATCTAGAGTCTGGTGTCTGTTCTTACGTTCGGCTCGTTCGCTCTCCGTCAGATCGAATTTGAGCTGATCCTGCAAAGAGGCCGAGAAGCCGACGTCTTTGAAGGCGGACCAAGCCTTGTCATTCGCGCTCTTATATCGCAGGTCGGCCTCCTCGTCTTCGTCATCGTCATTGCGTATATTGAGCAGGTGCCTGTATGAGGATGTGTATGCAGGCACGTTCGCGCCACTTGATGACGGTGTTGGTGCATGTGCTAGCTGTGACCATTCGGCATGGGTTAGTTCCCAGGTGCCGGCCGACTTGATGAGATCTTGAGACGAAAATCTGACCGTGCGCGAGCACCGTCTGGCCTGAATGACTCGACCACGCTCGAGCCAAACTGACGGCAAAAGCGTGAGAGAAGTCGGGTAATCCGATACAAAATCGTTCAAGCGAGCCGGCCGCGCTCGCTGATCGCGTATCTGTCCGCGTAATGTCAGAGGCTTGGCTTCGGAGAGCGAGTATAACTCACAAAAGCCAGTATGATGTGCTCGGTTGCGCAAGAGATGCGCGCCCAAGTTGAATAGGTCACTTCGAAGTTCTCTGTGTCCGGAAGGCTAAAGAGATAGGCAGAGAAGAGTGCTGCAAGTTTGCGTGGCGTAGCGCCGTTTCTTGTGGTGTAGGCGATGACAGACGCGAACAGTTCAAGGAGCGTTCTGATCAGCTCCGCGCTCGGAGCAGGTAGCGCTTGTAGCAAGACCGAAGCGAGACAGCCTTTTCTGTATTCAGTAGAAGCTTCGGCTTTTCTGAATATCTCGTAAAGATCATAAGTGAGGCAACCGTGGCCGCCGACCTGGTTAGTAATGCGCGCTAGGCTGTACTTGACCATGGCCGCTAGATCGTGTGGTCCTGCAAATTCGGCTTCTGCCCGAAACGCCGACATCTGCTGATGGCAAGCCGTGATGAGAGCGTGCACGCCTTCAGTCGTGATGTCTATCGCCGTCGTCGAAAATAGCAGCGGAGAGTCGAGTCCTGCCAGAGCGGTTCAGACAAGTTCGGCGCAACATCGTGACAGACAAACCTCTCGAGCGTATCTCGCTGGCGCATTGCGCAACAATGGAGTGGACGCGCTCTATGGACATGTCGCGCGCCGTCTCTATGCCCCAATAGCCATAGATGAGCTCGCCTGGATCAGAAGGAGCAGTTGATGTGCTCGCATAACGGGCAGAAGTCTTACGACCCGGCGATGGCGTGCGATGAGTGTGCAGCAAGCGTGTTGAGCTAGCCGATTGGGATCTATCCCGCGTGCTCCTGTCGTTTGCTTGCGACGAGAGCGGATGTGTGCCTAGACCGAGGCCAGTAAAGCTCGTAGACCGTCTTCTGGCTTGCGACGAGGCAGACCGCACAAGCCTGCGCATCCCACCCTGCGTCTCTTCGTCATTTTTGCTGACGCCATTTCCATCTCGCTGAGAGGACAGCGCCTTTGTCGTGTCTGTTTTGCGCGTAGCAGCAGCAGAAGCGGGGCGTTGCTCGAGCTGCTGGGATTTCGCCCTTTGTTGCGCGCGCGACTTGCTCCCCTTGGGCTGTCCCAGACCGAAGAAGGTCATCGACTTCTTCGCCTTGAGCGTTGACCGATCTGACTGGATCGTCTCTTGGTCGTCCTGAGCCGACGAGGCTGTGTCTGCTTTGGCTGCCGAATGAGGACTCGTCGCGAGCGCACGCGACGACGGTCGCTCCGCTGAAACCAGGTGGTGTTGGCCCGCAACCGTTGGCGAGAAGCGTCCGAGCAACCTGGCTTTGAAGCCTGTCTTGCTTGCTGAAATATTGGTATTCAATGCGGGCGAGACGGCACGCCGTCGGTCAATGCTCGGCGAGGAGCTTACCGCGCGCCTATCGATTGGTTCTCTCCGTGCCGGCGTCGGTGGCAGGCTCTTGTCCTCGGACAATCTCTCAGCATTGTCGGGCAAGGGTTCGACAGGCGCAGGAGCGAGTGCCGCAGCCATGTCGGCGCACTGACGGGATCCAGATGCCGCGAATGTGCTTTGACCTTTCGACAAGCCTCACGTGCTCGCTAGGAGCTCGAGCAGAGCGTGTTGTGACTGGTTCGAGATCGACTGCTGCCCGTGCATGCTCAACCTGACCACACACTGCTCGGCTGGCGAGTCGCTTTTGTCTTTGATATTGTCCTGACGCGTGGCGCAATGTCAACATATCAACGAGCTGAGCCGGCTGGCGGCCATTGAGCCTCGACAGAGACTGAGATGGGCCGCAAGAAGGTCAAGAAGCAGGCGAATGCAGGTGGGCTGACATCGCGCTCCACACACATCACATCTGATCATCACGAGCGGCATGCAGCACCGCCAATAGCAGCAGCCACTGCAAAGTCGACAGCGAACGCTCCTGCGACGCCGTCAGTCGTCCAGTATACAGTCTGGGATCTCCTACCAAAGATCGATGGCCTCATCGACGCTTGTTCTTTTGATCTTGCCCGACAATTCGTCGATCGTGCCCTCGCCTTGACTTCCTCCAGCAACGACGGACTGCAAATTTTACTTGTACACGAACGAGCTGGCCTGGTCGCACTAGAGCAGGGAGATGATGCGCAAGCTCAGCAACACTTTATGCAGGCACTTGCCGCTCCTTCTCATGTCCTACAAGACCAGGCAGCGCATCAATGGCAAGAGGAACAACCGTGGCAAAAGGAGAACACGCAAGCGAGCTGTCACCTCTATCTCGCGCAAATGGCAGACACTCCTCTCGAGGCGCTCAACCATCTCACTTCCGCCGTCTCGCTCTTGCAGTCTTGCCTGATCACCTTGGCCAAACTGCCGACGCGCTCAGATGCAGAAGCGGAAGTGCGCAGACGGGCCAGTCGTGCACTCGTCTCAATGACGGAGCTCTATCTCACCGACTTGTGGTCAGTCAGACCTGTCTCTGGAACGCAAATCCCTGAGCATTGACGTAATCTGACAGCTTTGACCCACGAGCGGAGTCGAACAGCCAAGCCCACCTTGCATTGGCCAGCGAGATAGACCCGAACGATCCCGAAGTATACCAGACCCTCGCCTCCGTCAGGCTGTCTCAAGAAAAGCCGATCGAAGCCGTCGAAGCGCTCAGGAAGTCCTACGCGCTCTGGAAGGGTTGCGAGCCCAGTCAGTCTGCGATTGATTCGCCCCGTGTATTCGCTGACAGAGCCTTAGCCGATGAGCGGATGCCCTCCTACAAGACACGGCTAGGTCTCGTGCGGCTCTTTGTCGAGACCGAGCTTTACGATGATGCACTCGAGATCCTCGCCTCTCTCGAGCAAGAAGACGATGAAGATCCAGAGGTTCTCTACCTGATCGGCTTTGTCAGCACCCTGTGCGCAAGCAAAGCTCCCGACGTTGAGACTCGCGCGGACTGGCAAGAGCAAGCTTACCACTCTCTCGAGGCTGCTAAACAGGTATGGTGGTTTCGCAACGTGATGCAGCAGAGCTAAAGGTCCCGCAGTTGCATGCCTCTCTGCAGGAAATAGGTTATCCCGAGGTCGAAGGGGATCAGGAAATGTTGATTCACATCGACGAACTGCTCGCTAGTCTACCGCAGCCGGATCAGGAAGAGGCAGAGGATGAGGAAATGACTACCTGAGCGCAAGGAAGCGCAGAAACAAAGTGCAATAACAGGCGACATGGTGCTACAACTCGATTGGTCGTACACGCTCTTGCGAGCGGTCTATAGGCTGACAGCATACAAAGACACATGCGTCTAAGGTGCTGTGGCAGAGGTGCAGCGAGCCGCGAGGCAGAGGGTCGTCAGTTTGGCCGGAAGATCGTTCGGATAGGACGGTAAAAAGAGGGCAGCAGAGAGCCACGATAGCTCGCGTCTCTACTTCTGAGCCTCGCAAGGTCAAAGTCTGGACACTCGGTCGCAGACAGCGTTTTGTATTTGCTGGTGTTGAAATGCAGGCGGTCGTACAAAGCAACAGGATGGTCGGACAGGGGTGGGCGCGAGCGGACAAGGGCGAGTAGGATCTATGGTCGTATATGCAGAGAGGGCACCAGATCCAGGTGGTAGGGACGCAGGCCATGCGTCCAGTCATTGACAGCGCGAAAGGTGAGCGGCTAGTTGCCCAGTGCGATCGGTAGAGTCGGGAAGGCAGTCACGTTGCTTAGTGAAGGGCTAGCCGCGCGAGATGTATTCCTTGAGGAAGTGACACTAGCCACGCGGCGATGCCCAGCAGGATAGGTCGGCGCAGGGTGCGAGCCCTCGGATAGCATCTGCAGACCGATCTGTCCGTGGGGTCCCGAATGCTGATAGTGGTAACGCAGTCCGTTCATGCTGCGCAGAGTATGTCAGCACCTGCTTCTGCATGACTTTGGAGACACTGACTTTTTGTAGCGCTTCCCGCAATTGACTCCAATGTAGCAGCCAAATGGCTTCTCCTCCATCTCGGAAAGCATTGATTCGGAGACATGTTCACCGTCTCTGTTCTCGGGTAGTTTGCCGAGATTATTCTGATTACAGTGGCCATGCAGCCGGTGGTACTTGAGGCCATTCTGTTGCTTGTATGCCTTGTCACATCCGTCGACAGGGCACTTGAATGGTTTGCTGCTCGGCGCAGTCCACATCCGATCATTTCCGGCGTTTTGACCGCTCATGGGCTGCTGTGACCGACCCTGCGATAGCCGCAGAGGATTGAGGGTCGCTGCTGGCGAGTCATCATCGAGTGTGATCTCGCCAAATTGCGAGAGCGATTGCGGGAAGAGCATGTTCGGCTGGACGCCTGCTTGTGGTGAGGGCGGCACTGACATCTCGAAATCGTCAGACATGTCTGTGCCCGGCGTGCCAGGAACGCTCGAAGTAGGGGATGACGCGCCGGAGCGGTTGAAGCCAGACGTCTGTGTCGCTCGCTTGGCTGACATTGATCTAGCAAGGTTCTGCAGACCCTCAAAGTTGAGAGCAGTCTTGGGTTGCCCGAAAGGCTTGGTGAGATCGACGACGACTGGACCGCCTGCGGTACGTTGGGCGTCGAACGCAGATTCGGCGTCGAGATTGCCCATGCTAGGGTCTAGATCCATCTCGAAGCCTGCGCCGCCATGGGACTGCATGCTTGCCAAGTCCTCCCACGCGCGTCGCTTGCTATTGGTATGTATTTCTGACTGGGATCTTGTCATGATGGGTGCCGGTGAGACCGGCCGAGAGTCGTTAGTGTCCGAAGGTGAATTCGATTCTGTCAGAGAAGGCGAATTGGCCGAAGGCAGAACATGCTGCTCCTCGAAATGCTCGAGCAGTCCGTGCTGTAGCGGGTGTTAGCTGACCTCGCTCGGGCAGAGGTGGGACGCACCAGGTCATCAAGCTTTAGGCCGCAACAGCGGTAGCCTCTGCAGAAGCGTTCTTCGAGCTGACCGCCCGCAGCTCCGAACGAGCCCGGGGTCTTGCCGAGCGAGGTCGAAATGAGATCGCCCGCGCGATAGGAGAACGGACCAAAGCCAGGTGACATGCCGGTGATCTGCATCTGGGACGAATTGGATAGCATCAGATGCGAGAAAGAGGTTGGCGTTGCCTCAAAGGCCATTCCACTGCGAGTATGCCTGTGGTCAGCATGCGGCGATGCGCGGGTGCCACCGCCCACTCACTCTGGATTGCGAAAGGAGCCCGATATCGATCCATTTCGGTAGCCCCATGAAGGCCTCGAGTGGACTGTCTGAGCCGATGTGCTGCTCTGACCGTCAGAAGAGCCTGACGAGTGAATATTGACGGGGGCCGGCATGGTTGATGAGCAAGCTAAATGCACTCTCGAAATTGGCCCCTATCGCTGTCGTCAACGTCCAATTGGCGAGCCCGGCTTATCTCGTGTCTATCTCGGGACAGTGCCAAGAGTGGTTGCGTAGCTTGTGGGTGATTGTCGTCGCTGTACGATCGTAGCCGCACGAGGTTGGCTGGAGATGCGTCAGCACAGCGATTGTGTCGCCAGGAGGTCTGAGCTCGTCGTCTGGCGTCGTGTGGGCAAGCCGTGAAGGCTGACGGTGAGATTCGGTAGAGACGGCAGCGCCTAGCCTTGACTTTGGCGCCGGTTATAGGGCGTCAAGGCTGACGAATGAGCTCTTTGGCGGCGTTCGATCCGATTTGGCCCGCCCCTCTGTGTCGGACGAGATTGGAGTCGCTCTGGCCTGGATGGTAGAGCCAGATGCCGATGACTGCAGGCGTGCGATGCCCGAGTGTAGCAGTGGCCTCTGTGAGACTGTCAGACGACTGGCCAATTCACTCGGCAACGACGACGCTCGCGCTGGAACAGGCTTCCCGTGATCGTGACTCTGGCTGGAACTATGAAATTCCTGAAAGAGGGATGGATCATCGCTGGGCGCGGCAACAAAATTACGCATCCAGCTCAAGCAAGCTAAAGCCGGTCGACTGTAGATTCGACACTGGCCTGCTCGAGCTAGCCTCCGACTCGGATTCTTCGGAGTATTGCTCTCCATCTGTCTCCTCAGCCTCGCTGGCTTCATGTTCCTCCTCGAGCGCCTCTTCTGCACATTCCACAGATGCTTCCCTGCCCTCCCAGAGACCCTCTCGATCGTTGGACGGAGCTCTACTTGGAGGGAGAAACGACCAAGCAATTGCGCCGGCATGAATGCTCCGCAGGATCTGAGCTGCCGAGCGACTGGTGTCAGGTCTACCCGCCTTAGCGGTGACAAAGCCTGCCGCCAGAGCAGCACTCGACAGGACCCGATCGGTCGTCCACTCGTCATGACTGTCGTCTTTCTGTAGCCTCACGAGACGTTCGAGCGGCATGCGCTCAGCGAGCCAAAACAGGACTGAATCGACATTTTGGATGGGCACGATGCTGCTCAGGATTTGCGCCTCCATGCCTAGTCTGCCTCGCGTAGGGAAGACGAGACCGGGACAATCGACGAGCTGGACCTGCTTCGTCCAGAACATCGTCTGTAAATGCTTTGTCTTGCCTGCCGTGCGAGACGCGCGAACGACTTTGCGTCCCAGTAGGCAGTTGATCAGGGAAGACTATGTCTGTATAAGCTTGGGGTGGCAACTGCGTTCTTAGCAAGCATACCTTGCCTACGTTGGGCTGTCCAATGAGTCCGATGGTCAGCTTCGTGGGTGCTCTGTTGTCGTCTTGATGAACGTCTTCAGTGTGCTGCTTTGCCTGCGTCTCTCTGAGCTTTCTCTGAGCTTTGCGTGCCTCCCTGTCCAGTCTAGCTTTCTGCCCAGGCACGATGACGATGTCGTCCGATTCTGCTTCCTGAGCGCCGAGGAGCAGACTTGGCCACGAGATAGGTGTAAGTACTCGAGGCTTCCAACGAGCGACCTTGGCAGGGTCACCGGTGATGGCTGCCGGAGGCTGACACAGCTCTTCATGGCAGGCTCGTATGGCTTTTACGATGCGTTGCCTGCCCGTGCTTGCGCTTGTGGCATCTGGATAGTTCTCTATTGCGACGACACGATAATCAGGATACCGTTCTTGTAAGTAAGTTGTCCATGCATCCGCTGCTTCGTTCGACAAGTCCGTCTTGGTCAGGACCAAGATGATCTGCTTCTTCGGCTTCAGATTGATGAGATAAGTCTGCAGGGAGGGCGGCAAGTGGAGCAGAGGACAGCGACAGTCCAAGAGGACGAGCAGGATCGAAGAGACTTCCGTCACGCGCCAGAGCTGTCGCCAGACGTTGAGATTTCGCTCGAAATAGGTCGGTGCTCTCTCTTCCGTTTCGACAGGCTCATCCTCCTCGACTTTCGCTGCAGGGTTGACAAGTTCATCAGTCGTCGCGAGCCAATTGGCAAATGCCATCTCTTCATTCGCTTCGACCTCACGCTTTGTCATCGTGTATCTCCACTTTGGCCGGTAAGGACATGTAGGCGCTGTCTCATCCGGCAGCTGTACATCTGCTTCAGTGAGGTGACAGGGCGGTATTGGCCTTTTGAGGATATCTGTCGATTTTGTCTTTGCGCGTTCCTTGAGATGATCGGGCAGCTTGATGAAGCGAGACTGTAGCCTCTGTGACTGCTGTCTTCGCTCTTCCGCCCGTTTCGCCTCAAATCTAGAGACAGAGTAATCATGTCGAGCCGGTCTCTGCTGAGATGCGCTCGAGAGGGGGGCTCTTTTCCGAGCGATCTTGCCCGTGCTGGCGACTGGCTCGCTCTCTTGCCTGTGCTGCTTCCTTTCCTTGGCACTGAAGGTCTTCTGGCGGGTCATGCGATGGCAGGACGAGTGACTGCCCCGTCGGCGTTGTTGGCCATTTGCTTCGATCGAACGCGTCTCCTCGTCATTTGGCCATCCAGCGTACCGCGCCTTATGGCTCAAGGCAGCCCGCGCAGCTCACTGGCAAGCGATTTCGGCAGTCCGGAGCCATTGATAATCCCGACGCCCGGTGCCATTGCTCGCAGAGCGGCACTGGCACGCAGCAAAGAGCCAACGCCCGGACGCGCGCTCACAAAGTCTGAACGACGACGGCATCGCAAGCAGCATGGTCGAAATGACTCTGAACTACCTGCGTGAGTGGCCTCACTTGCATGCCAATGATTGCACAAGGCTTAGACCGTGCATCAGCTCTGCATTTGTCCTCCCTGCGTCTTTACCGGCAGGATTCAACCCCAACAAGACACCAAAGCGTGTCGACAGCGCACAGTCTGCCCCCGTTAAGACACCACTGACACAGCTAGAGACCGATGGAGATATACCATCAACCGCAAAGCGCCTCTCTGGCGTACCATCACGTCTTGCTCGCGCCATGGCCGACTATTCCTTCGTGAGTACTCCCGGCAGGTCACTTCTGAGCTTTGCGAGAGAGTCCTTCGGTGCGGCATCAGCACAGAAAAGAGACAACCGCACAGAGCAGGATGAAGTCAGGGCAAGGCGCGTCTCGTTCAGCCCGAGAGTCTCTGTTTCTTTCGACTATGACCGCTCAGCACTTGCAGCGCCTGCGAGTGACGGTCTTGCATCTTCACAAGCAGGCTCGAGATCGCTCGTCCGATCCCCCAGCGAGCCTTTGAGATCTGCACTTTCGAGAAAGGCAACTCAGCCTGGTCCCTCCGACAGCTTGTTCCTCTCACAAGTGCGCCCGCGCGCTGGACCTTCGACCGAGCTAGCAAGCCCGCGCTTTAGTCCTATCGCCTCACAAGCCTCTCCTGCAAGCACAATCATGGCGCCCGACGACAGTCGTGCCGGTCGGCCGTTTGTGGACGAATATGCAATAGACGACAATGAGTATGGCCAGGGGGGAAACGATTCGCAGCGCACGAGCTTCTGGTCGAGCAACGGCAATGCTGGCCGAAGAAGTCTGGACAAGGATAGAAGACCAAGCCTACCACGCATCGCCGCGCCTCGCTTCAGTCCTTCTCCGCCTTCTTCGCCCGTGCCTCTACGCGATGACACGATGAAGACCTTGACAATTGCGAGGAAAGTCAAGAAGAGCTTGCGGGAGAATGGCAGGAAAAGAGACAAGCCGAAGCAGGCCAAGAAGCGCGAAATCGAACTGCTTGCGACGTTGCCCTCTGATGACGATGCTGAGCGAACAGTCATCCATGGCAAACGAAGGCGGATCGATCCAATGGATATCATCCAGACTGTCGTTCAAGATGCCAAGTGTGTCTTCTTGCAGATCTTTTACTTTGTTCTGACAAGCATCGCGCAGGCAGTCACAATCGATCGAGATGCAGGACTATCTCGACCATTTTCTCGATTGTCTCGAGCCAGAGATTGCCGCCCAGATGTTTGCCGGCGCAGACGAACGTCCTGCCAACTTGCGTGATCTGCGACAGCTTGCAAAGTCTGTCTCCGTCTGCTGCTCTCAGATCGCAAGCTGATGTTGTCGCAGTGACGTGATGAAGGTCAAGAAGGAGCGACACAGAGTCAGGAGCAAGCTCCATGCAGACGACCGCGCCTGGCAACAGTCGCGTGAGCGCATAGCTGTACTCAGGCATGCGCACGAGCTCTACTCGGCCGTCACATCCTCTGAGCGATTTCCGATCGTCAAAGCGAACGATCCAGATGATGAGGTGCGTCAGACAGCTTAGCCATCGATCTGGCTGACCAATTACACAGGACGCGATACTCAATACAACCAAGAGGCTGCTCATTCGGCTGTCTACATCTGACGGGGCAGTGTAAAGCTCGGGACGTGCAATAAGTTACAGTGGATGCTGCTACCAGAGCAGCGCTATGACGATCCCTGCCAGAGGTACAATGCCTGCTAAACTTGCGTCATGTCTATTGCTGGCACCGGTCGCACTCGCCGTTGGTATGGCCGTGCTCAAGGGAGTGCTCGAGATGATCGATAGCGCCTGTAAGGGCGAGCTTGTGCTCGTGGTGGATGCAGACGCACCACTTGATGACGGGGCGGTAGACTTTGAGCTCCGCGCTGTCGTACTGCTCGCAGCTCGTGATCGCGTCGTCGTGCTGCGTGTCATCCTAGTCGATCGCGATGAAGATGCAGCACGCGCTGCGGAGGCTGACGACAGTGCCCTGGAGACTGCGGAAGCTGGTTCGCCCTGATGCGATTGTGCCAAGACGCACGCGACCAGCGCGAGGATGGCAAGGTGTACCCTGTTGCAGACTCATGAGCATACACCTGCGGATAGACAGCGCGACTCACAGTCTATACTTCATCTCGATAGCAGTCTTGGCGGCGTCGCAACGCCCGACGAGCTCAGAATATGTCGAGGCAGAGCAGACAGGCTGTGCAGGGGGCGCGCGCGCGCGGTCGCGAGGAGAGCGCGAAACCAAGACAAGAGGTGGCGCAGGTCAACTGTCGAAAAGTCAATCAACTCTCGATATCGACGACGGAAAAGTCCTGCGAGACACACGGGCCATGCGAACAGCTGGCCTTGGCCTCTTGGTCCTGGCCACAAGGATAGCAAGGGCAGAGGCACAAGAAGGCGAGCCCACGGCGGCAGTGTCTTCCCTGCTTGCGTCGATCAGTTCGGCAGCAGCGCTCGGCACGATTGATCCAGCTTCCAATCAAGCTGTGACTGTCGAGCCGTCTACGAGCACCTCACGACGACACACGAAGAGCTCTAGCAGCATGGCAGAGGTGACGACGACGACGGAGACCTATAATGACGGCAGCTACACGCCTTGGCAGGCATCGACTTCCTCGACAAGCACCGCTATTTCTAGCGCTGCTTCACAAGTAACGACGACGACATCTTACCAGCAGTATGCGCAGTCCTACTCCAGTAGTACTACACGAGGCACCAGTAATCCATCGACCGTCTCTGTCTCTGCACTCTTCACGCCCACGGCTTCAGCGCAAAGCGCATCCGACAACACGTCAACGACGTCGGACAACTTCAAGAGGATCGGCTTACCTGTCATCGTCATCGCCGTTGCTGTCCTCATCCTGATAGCCATGGGCTTCTTGTTCTATCGATCTCGCAGGCGCTGGGCAGAGGAAGAATTGCAGCGGGCGATCATCGGCTTACCTGCCAGGAAGAAGTCCGTTTTGCGACCTGGCTCATGGATTGCACCAAGCGAGCGAGATGCAGCTTCGATCCGTGCTGCGTCGGCTCTGTCATGGCGAGCGGACTCCCGGATGGCTTGGAACGGCGAAGAATTAGCAGCAGGAGCTGCTTTCGGTCGCGGGCCTGCTGCGCACGCCGGCAATCAGGATGAGATGGAAGAGATCAATAACGCAGGCATGGGCGCTTCGGGACCCTCGCTCGAAGCCCGAGATCGATACGCTACAGAAGAGACGGATAACGAGCGCGGCTGGGCCTGGGGTGCCGGTCCTGGCTATACACAGCCTCAAAGCTATGTCGCTGGCGGCAAGCGCTTCGATGTGCCTCCAGACTCGCGTCTGGCTCGTCAGCTTGCACAGAACGCTAGCACCTCTGATGATAGTATGTCTGCCTGCTGTGTAGTGCACACACGGGCTGACTGTTTCCATAGACCCGTACCACGATCAGAGTCTGGACGAGATGATGGCCGATGCTCGCACGGCGCATCATCCCTACGATCCGCAGTATGAAGGGCCACCTCTCGAGCAAGAACGTGGAGTCTTCCGTAGCGCAAGCCAAGCGCTCTTATCGACTGTCCGCACACGAAGCCAGAGCTCGCGGCAACCCAATGCCACTCCGCGCAGCAGACTGCACGACATCAGGCCATCTTACCTCGAAAGCTCACCAGGCCCAGTCTACGGCTCCCGGTCTCGGCAAGAAAGCGGTCAGGCTCTGCTTGGCCACGACACGCCAGATGGCACGCCAAGGCGGTCTCATGAGACGCCGAGACGCTCACACGATGCACCTCGATATCCAGAGGCTACGATACCCGCGCCGCAATTTGGCGCTCATCAAGATCTCCAGCGGTCTCACGGGCCTTTGCCTCAGCCTCCGTCTGCAGCACTCAATGCGACGCCTCAGAAGAGGCTACCGCCCTCTTTGCTGCCTCATCGCGCAGACGCTAGCATGATGCCTGTCAGTCCCAGCACCGCGCCTTCGCTCTTTTACTCCGGACCACCGACACCGGCGCGTGCACCGGGCGTTCCCATGCCGCAGTACAACCCCTTGCCATCAGCCTACTCTTTGTCTGGCATTGCCAATCTCGTGTATTCACAGGATGACCAGCCTCAATCGGGCAACTACACCGATGTACCTGCTCGAAAGATGCGTCGACCAGCTTCGAATCGAAGTCTGCGTCAGCGAGAGCAAGACCGCGACTATTCTCGACGATCGGGAGATTACGCCAATCCTCGCATCTCACACGAGCGTAGTCTTCCCCAGCGCCCCCAGGAGCCGAACGAACGTACATACGCTCTAGACCAGTCAGTCTCATATGGCGGCTACGATGACGACGACGGCGCTTCACATGCCTACTAGCACGCACACACATGACACTCTTACACATAATTTCGAAAGCACATTGATATCTTATAGAATGTACTGTTGCAACTATAACCTCATACAGCATCGCTGGGGGACGTCGTTCTATCCTTTGCAGTTGACCATCTGAACTTGTTCAATCGAGCCACTCATGGCCCGGTATTGCTGCCAGGTACGTTAGGTAGGTCTGCAGTGGCGATAGCCGGAGTGGCTATCCCCTTGCTGACGACGAGCTGCCGCAGGACTTCGTTCTCTCCTTTGATCCTGACGAGCTCGGTCTCCAGCTCGGCAATCTGTTGTCGCATGTCTTTCGCCGTACGCTCTCGCTCGGCCTCTCGTTGTTTCTTCTTTGCCCGGAATCGAGCTGCGCGGCGAAGTAAGCACGTTCGCTCGCCTGGATCACAACATTAACTGACCAGATGCAGCGGTATTGCGCCTTCGCCTATCTTCCTCGCAAGCACGACGATTGGCCTCTTCGATCGAGAGCTCAGCGGGCGTCGCTACACTTGACTGATCATCGCCTATTGTACTGACGCTGTCGCGACGACTGCGCACACCTCGTGACGAATCTGGCAAGGTGTGTGGCGGCGCATCGAGCGGCAATCTTCGTTTGAGCGAGGCCGAGGCTGACGATGGCCCATTCTGAAGAGGCCCAGCGTGGGGCGTGTCAATCTCTATCTCTGGGGCTTTCCCCGCTTTCAAGCCATCCAAGAGCCGTTGGAGCGATGCCTCATCTGTGACATCCTGGACAGTCATGCTGCGCATCGCCTTTTGTGTCGTCGGAACGCGCTGCATCGTGCTGCTTGCACCCGTCATGTTTGTCAATGAGGGCGAGTCTTCGTGCATGAACGAAGGCATCTGCCATTGCAAGTTGTCAAGAGCAAGCGAATCTGTGCCGGACTCAGGCGGCGCGAGCGCTTCGATGTTGACCCATTGCTCAAATCCAGTCGAGGCGGGCGACTCATGGCGTCGGCCGGCAGCAGCCGCAGCCGCCGATGACTCTCGCCGCATCGAGCTGTCAGTACCATTCTGGCGAGACTCTGTGGAGGTGTTGTAACCATCATCCGGCGAGTTCGTGTGTGCGAATATCGTTGTAGACCAGAGATTGAGAGACTTTGCCAGGTCTGGCGACCGTGAAAAATCTCTCATGCTGGGCCAAGTCGGCGAGCTGATCTAGGCTACCTCGTACAATTGTGGCAACAGGACGCAGCTTTGTGTAGTCTTGCCGCACAGCGTGTCACGTTGTCGAGTCCTGGGTAGGCGATGAACCGAGTCGATCGATGGTACAGAAGCTGGGACTGCTGCTACTCGGCAGTGCCTACTTGTTGGCAGATCGACTTCAACGGGTACGAAGGACCTTACAAGGCTACTTCGTTCGTAGCCTCGGGCCTCGGTAGTCCCTCCGATTGTTCTGACACTTACTGCCGATGTCCGAAGGGCACGGCCAGCTGCGTGCAGGCTGCCAGAAGCAAAGTCGCTCTCAATGTTCAATCGCAGCCTCACTATTCTCAGAACATTCGGTCCGGCATGTGCTGACAAGACCTGCTATTGCATTTATTACCGTAGCCCCTGTTCCCTGTTTGACTATTGCGACTGATAGCGACTCATGCGGCTTAAAGCGAGTTGTCCGCGCAGCTGAACGGATGCTTGGTTGGACCAGCAAAGTCTGCGATGATGGCAATGACACTCGTGTATGTGCCCGGCCCTGCACAATGAGACGGTAAGCATCTGCCTACGGTAGGCAAAAGTGAGCATACCGAGCATGACGAGGCCGCCGATAAAGATCAGGACATTGATGACAGATAGCACAATGTACTTGATACTTGAGAATGCACGCCCTCTGTTGATACGGAAATAGGCGATCGACCAGAACATCATGCCGAAGAAGCTGTCGAACAGAGATGACATGATGGAGAGCAGGTCGCCAAAGAAGGGGATACACTCCCCGACGATCCACCCGAGCACCCAGGTGACGATGACACAGCCAATCCAGACCGACCAGCCCTTGGCGGAGTGCGAATGGCGTGCATCGGAATTGCCAAGAATTCGGAGGTAGAAGACCTTGGCGATCGTGCTGGCGTAGATGACGCCGATGATCAACGTCGGCACAATCTGCAAAACTCGTAAGCTCTTGATGTTGCTACAAAAATGCCATGACGTACGACGAAGCCGAAAGAGATCTTCTTGCCTGGGTTCTGCAGCGAGCCGAATAGAGGCGCAGTTGCGTACTGGCCAGTGAAGGCGTAGCCGAAGATACCAAAGCCGGTAAAGAGAACGATCTCAAGGAGCATGCTCAGCGTGAGTGCTTTCGGGAAGTCTTGAGGGCGTTCCATCTCGGCGATGAAGGACGGTAGAAGCGCCTGGCCGACGTAAGTGTAGGTGATGTTCAAGATGGCATTCATGACGGCGATCCAGGTCGAGCCTGCAGGTGCAGCAGCTTCGACGACGACAGATGCACCGAGCTTCGGGTACAGACCGCCATAGCCGTACGCTGGGTTGCTTTCGGTGCCAGCAAAGATGATGCAGAGCAGAAGACCGATGAACATGCAAATTGCAGATGCAATGCCCATCGTCGTCAAGCCTCGCAGTGTTCGTGGCAGGGTGAGCACGATGCCGACGACCATGGTGACGACAGAGAAGACGACCGAGCATGTTGCATGGTCGCTGAGCGTGTTCAGGATCTTGCTGCCTGTCAGAGTGTGCAGACCGACGATGAAGAGATTGTTGAGAACAAGGCCGAGGAGTGTGAGCTGCATGGCAATCGAGCTCTTGCCGAAGAGGAGATAGCCAATGTCGACAAGGTCACGCGCTTCTGGGTGTAGAAGGCAGTATTGCCAGAGGACGTAAGAGGTATACCATGTCACAAGACCATAACCGATACTGAAGATGACACCACCTGCAAAGCCCATGACCGAGAATGACCATGCGAAGCCTGAAGATCCATTCAGCAAAAGGGGTAGGAAACGATTGCCTGCTTACTGGAGATGGCCAGGCAGACGTATTCGGTCGCAAGCAGGATGCCTGCCCGCTTCCACGAAAGCGTGCGAAACTTGATGTCATGCCCGCTCTCTGCTGAAGCAAGCTCTTCAAAGACTGCGCCATCGGCAGTCAGAACGGCAACCGCGCCGCCTTTTTCGCTGTCGCTGCCATTGTCGCCAAAAGCGTCGATCTTTTCGTTAGACGAGAGTGCGGTCGCAGCAGGAGGATGCTCGAAGCCACCTGCTGGCAGATCATGCTGAGGAAGCACCTTGGTATCACTCATCGTCGCTACGGAGGCTGCAGGGGCGATGGCAGCGTCGATGAGGAGCGTCTCCTCATATATGTGATCGTGAATATGGAATGCAGATGTCGTGCTCGCTCACACGAGCAAATGATCTAGGCCGCCGGGCAGAACATACAGTTCTTCCGCAAAGGCTATAGGCGCATAGACCGCAAATTCAGAGTGCTGATCGACGGCCTGAAGACCGGCTAGTGCACCACCGCGCGGGACCCTGAACGTAAAAAGTCGGCCATGCAGATCGCAGAACCTTTGAACCCGAAAGTTTCGAATATTTGCTTGCCTGGCGCCAGAGTGTATATATATATGTCATTGTCTCCTTGACGTGGAACTCTTGCCCGATTGGTTCAGTGGTAGAGCGCCTGCTTTGGGTCAACCAATAATTTGTAGGAGGTCAGTCAATCGTTTCCAGCTCGTCGAGCCTAGCTTACAAGGATTCAGGTCACGTGTTCAATCCGCGTATCGGGCCATCTTTTTGCGGCGGCATCCTGAAAGCTGCCGGTGATCTTTAGAGGCTCTCCCTTTACCTTTTGGACCTGATTCGATGTTATCCTCCTTTCTGCAAGCGCTCTTCAAAATGAGAGCTCACCGGTACGAAGATGAACCAAGATCGCATTTTGCCGACATTGGAGGGAGTCTCTTGGCGCTCAAGACTTATGAGCGTCAAAGCCAGAGCAGGAAGCAAGCAAGCGCCGGAAGAGCGTTCTCGAGAAGGCAACGCTTGCACAGGCGGCACAGATGTTGGCTCACAAAGCACATCACAAGGCAAAGTCTGCAGCTCACTTGGCCCAGGTCAAAGCCCAAAAGCTGAAGTCAAGCGAAGCCGCGAAGCGAAAGGTAAGATGGAGTTCACTAACTGATGCTTTGCAGGCTATCATCGTTACGATCCGTGTCGTGACCGCAAAGTAGGGCAGGCAGGTCGCAGAGCCAGCCACAGCTACATGCCGACGCTGGAAAAGGTACTGGTGCCCATCGAATCCGCCGGGCTGTGCCAGCTCGACAAAGCAGGATCAAGTCACGTTGAACCCTGTCGGTCACAGACGGTGGCAGACCTCATGCTCTATACAGATGACAGTTGCGCATGCGACGCTTCAGGCGCTGGTGGTGCCTTCAGACTCGTGGACGAATTAGGCATTATCACTTGGTTCGTATACAATATCCACCTGCCTTTCGGCACAGACGCAAATATAGCAGAGACCGAAGCAGTCCTGTACGGCTTCAATCTGTTACACCGAGGCGCGCTTGGTCAGGCAACTCGGCGCTTTACGCTGTTCACCGACTCAATTTTTGTCCTTGCCCAAGCTGTCAACTCACCCTATTTGGAGGTCGACCCCGATCTCTGCAAGCTTGTTGTTGACGCTGCATGGGTCGAGGGTCATACAGGCGTCGAAGGAAACGAGCTCGCATATTTGGCTGGCTGCGGCGGCACCTCGTGGACACCAGATCTTGAGGAGCATCACAAATGAAGAGGCGCTGCATATGATCAAGTGGGGATCGCAATGAAAGAGTCACAGGAGGACTTGTTGTTATGACATTATGCACAGAATGACCTGCAAACGCGAGCGCCAACGATGCAGATCCACCCCCTCGTCATGGTCATAGAGCTTTTGCTCGACGCGTCGGCAACGCTAAATGGCCGTGGCACCGCGGCCGATCAGTGTCGACGCTACGCCGGTCATGGATGAGCTCACAGAGCTCATGCGCTCGCCGGAGGCGTCTACATCGAAAGCTCACGCGAGCGAGGAACGATATGAGCGGCTTGTGCGGCACACCACAGCAGCGACGGATTCGGCGCTTGAACCATTGAATTCAGCCTTGCTCTTGCCTATCAAGAAGACGTACGGGCAGCAGTATGCTAACATCTACTTCATTCGACTCACACAGCTCGTGCCTCGCGTGCTGGCCAGAGCGAGACGGCGCTGGCTGCTCGAGTCGCCCGGTAACTCGCCCAGAGCGAAAAAGAGCAAGATCAAGAGTGACGCTGAGGATAGTCAGTTCAACCGGTTCACGACAGAGCTGTTGCTCCATCAGAACGGCAACTCAGACTATGGAACCCAATCGTCAACGACCCGGGGCAAGCAGGACTCAAGAACACTGCAGGAGGACGCAGAGATGGACGGACTCGAGCAAGACGAAAGCCCCGAGCCAGATTACGAAGAGGACGTCAAGCCGCGCATGAACAGGCGGAACGGGGCCAAGAAGCAGAACGGCTCGGGCGCGAGATCAACGTCCAAGATTGTCAATCGGGTGCTCGAAGTACAGAGGGACGAGCTTTGCATTGTCGCCGGCACGATCTACGTCGAGATGAAGCTCAAGCCTAGCGTGCTCGACGAGATAGCGATCGACGTCAGTACCCATCCTTCTTCGGTGTCTCGTTGCTTACCTCACCAGAGCAGTACTCTATCCCGGCAGCGCCGCCGCGCAAATATGTGACGCCAGGCGTGGATGAGGTGCTGCTCGAGGACAGCTCAGGTCGAATACGGCTGATAGGCACCGGCATCGAACAAGGCAAATGGGCACTTGTCACAGGCATCATCGTCTCTGTCCTGGGCGCAGAAACGGCAACGGGTGATTTTGAAGTGCTCGATCTCATCTTTCCTGGTCCACCGCCTCAGCTTGCCCTGGGTCTTCCTGAAGCCTCGCCCGAGGCAGCAATGGGCGATTCGATCAAAGACGAGCAGTCAAGTCAGGCCCCTGGACAGTGGGTCGCAATCACCTCTGGACTCAACTTTGGCGATTCGTCTGCGCCTGCAGACGCGAAGCGCGCATTGCTTTCAGAATGGCTGACAGGCGAGCTCGGCAACGAGCAGGATAGACTGCTTGCTACGCGCGTCTCGCGACTGATCGTTGCCGGCAATTCTATGATGGTTGCTCCGCCGAAGCATGAGGAGCCAGAGGCGCGCAAGGCAAAGAAGTATGGCTACGACGCCGCCGTCTTTTCGCCAAAACCAACGGCAGATATGGATGCTTTTCTCGAGGATCTTCTGCCTTCGATTGATGTCGACCTGATGCCGGGCGAAAATGACCCTTCTGCGCCTACGATGCCTCAACAGCCACTCATCGAGACGCTGCTGCCCAAAGCGCAAAGTCTGGGCGGCTGCGCTATGCGAAGCAATCCATGCTGGATCGATTCCGGCGGTGCAATGTGCGTTGTAATTTCTCCTATCGAGCGCGCAAGCTGAGGCTGGTTCCGTAGCTTGTTCGGCACATCCGGCCAAAACCTCAATGATATCTACAAGTACATAAGCTCAGATGACAGGCTCACGATGGCTGCTAACACGATTGAATGGTCCCATATCGCGCCAACATCGCCAGATACACTGTGTCGGTGTACAGTCTGTCGGCTGACCCTTGCTGATACCGTCATGCAGGGACGTATCCGTTCAGCGAGCGAGACCCTTTCATACTACCCAAGACGCCGCACATTTACTTCGTGGGGAATCAACCTGCTTTCGAGACTTGCCTAATCACGAGTCAGTCTCTGCTTCGTAGCAATTGTCAACCGTGCTGACTGCTCGAACAGCCGACGACGAGCAAAAGATCCGCGTCGTTCTTGTGCCCGCATTTTCAGACAAAGCTGAAATTGCTCTCATCAACACGGCTACACTAGAATGTCAAAGCATGCGCTTCGCGTAACAGTGAAAGAGGGTGCAATGCAAGACATGATTGACAATCTAGTTGGTGACCTGGCGACGACGTCCTCCCGCCGCGGGAGCACGAGCAGGCGCTCTGGCCGGTGCCGCACGCTGCTGTGTCGCGCGCTGGGGCTGTACTCGCTGCTGCGTGGCGCGCTGGGGCTGGGCTCGCTGTTGCGTGTTGCGCTGAGGCTGTACTCGCTGCTGCGTGGCTCGCTGGGGCTGTACTCGCTGCTGCGTGGCGCGTTGAGGCTGGACTCGCTGCTGGGTGTTGCGCTGGGGTTGCGTGCGTATCGCAGCATTCTGATTGAATTGGGCAGCACGTTGAGGCTGAGCACGCTGAGGTGAGGCACGCGGGGGCTGAGCACGCTGGGGAGTGTTGCGGGTGACTTGTGCACGCTGCTGTGTGTTGCGCTGGGCCTGACCGCGCGTTGGCTGCGTACGAGCAGCAGCATTCTGGTTGAAGGCGGCCGCGCGCTGGGGCTGTGCGCGCTGTGGGGTGCTGCGTTGAAGCTGATTGCTCTGCTGAGTAACGCGCTGTGGCTGAGTCCGCTGCTGAGTGTTGCGCTGTGGCTGCGCACGTAGCTGCTGCGTCGTGCCTTGAGTGCGGCCAGCGGTGTTACGCTGAGGCTGTGTGCGGGTGTTGCCAGCGGCGGTGCGACCTTGTGTGAGTTGCTGCTGATTCGTCGTCCGACCGTTCTGTAAATTCGGCTGTGAGCTTTGAGGATTCTTTCGCGCGTTCTGACTATTGCCTTGCGTAAGCTGGGTGTTAGCTAGTGTCGTCTGTCCATTCGGTCTAGTCTGGCCATCCGTACGTACAGTCTGACCGCTTTTGCGTGCGTTGTCTCGATTCGTCTGCTCAGTCTGGCGCTCCGAGGCTGTCCGCGAAGCATCTTGTTTCTGCTGCGTTGTCTGCAATGTCGTGGCTGGAGTCGTGATGGAGGTAGTCTTGCCGGTGAGCGCATTGTTGCCAGGATCGACTACACCATTCTGGATCGCGGGGGATGAAACGCTGTTTGGAGGGATCACATTGCTGGACGCCTGTAGCGCAGGCTGCTGAGGAGACACAGTAGGCGCAGTGACGGTGTTGCCACCGCCTGTAATCAGAGGCTGAGTTCCAGAATCAGGCGAAGTGCCTCCGTTGAAGTTGTTCGTCTGTATTGCAGGCGTCGTGGATCCGCTTTGAGGGACGGTGTTGCCGTTCGTTTCGATGGCTGGCTGTTGCGGAAAGACGCTGGCTGATGTGCCTGTGTTGACACCAGTCGTGGTCAATGGCTGCGTAAGTGTATTAGGCACTGTGCCGCCGTTAAAGTTATTCGTCTGTATTGCAGGCCCATTGAACGAAGGAAGGCCGGAATTGAAGCCGTTGCCTTGAATTGCAGGTTGTGAGAATCCTCTGTCAGTTCCTGTAGCCGGAAAGCCCGGCTGTCCCGCTACGTTTGTGAAGCCGTTGAAGCCTCCGTTGTTGAATGTATTCGGATTCGTTGTGCTTGCAAATGTCGGGCCGGGGTTGGCTGATGGATCAAATGCATTGATGAGAGGCTGTGCCAGGGCAGGGAAGATCGATGCGGCGTTCACTGGTGCTGGTGCCGGCGCAGGCGCGAGCGCTGTAGCCGGAGCTTGAGTAGCTATGATAATCTCTGGCGCGACCGGGGGTGGAGATGCAGCAGCAATGGTGTTGCCCGACGCAGGCAAAGCAGGTGCGATCACGTTGATGGTCGGCACGGGTGGCAAGCTGACCTGTGCCGCCGGCGCGTTCTGAGGCATAGGCTGCGCGAGAGCCACCTGATCTGTCTGACCCATGAAGGCGGAGACATCGCCTCGCAGCTTCTCGATCTCGTCTTGATCTTGCTTGATGATGTCGTTATCGCGAGATCGAACGCTTGCATCGGACGTGCTGATTGCGTCCGCTTGGGCTGATTGAGCATCTTGGACCAGACGGTTCTGCGTATCTGCGACAAGGGTGTTGGCACGATTCGTCAGATCAGTCAATTGGGTTGCCAACGTCTGCCTTTGAGCATCGTCATTCGTATTGGCAGCAGTGCGCTGAGTGTCACGGATCTGCTGTACGAGGCTCTGGAACTCGGTCCGCGACACTTCTGCAGCGGCGACCGCATCGCCAAACTATATAGAACCGTCAGCATGAGATACAACGAAAGCGAGCGACGAACTGCACGAGCGTGCTGCGCGAGTTGTAGCAGAGCAGTGATGATGAATACAAGCCTGATCATCGTGGCGTCCAGGTCAAGCTCAAGCTCAAGCTTCTTCGAAAAAGATCGTGAACCTAAGCAAGGCAGCGTCGAGGGTCAAGTGCTACACTACTCATGTCGCGGGAACTTCTGCGATGATTCCCCGATCCGATAGGGTAGGGGAATATATGTCCAAGGGAATGGTTCGAGGCCGGGTCCGTGCCAGTGACGCGCATTTCCGTACTAGCATGAATCATGCATGCTATCACTGTGTTGAAGTCCCCCATGTGGATGGCAGTGCTGTCATGCGTGATGGGCCACATCGTCGGGATTGGCCGGCGAAGCGCCGAGCACCGCCGCTCGAGGAGGAGATTCCTCGCCCTTGGCGTATACTGGCAAGTTGCAACTCTTTCAGTACCTCTTCTCGTCCGAGCTCTGCAACTTCTCGTGCAGCCTCGCTCCTCTGGGCTTCGGCAAGTGCCAGGCGAGCGGCTGCGTCGCGCAACGCTTGTGCGACTCCCTGAGCACCCGTATTTCCTTGGCCTCTCGTGGTCGCTTCTTGTGCATCCTGCTGCCCTTGTATTGCGGCGATCGCTTGCGCCTGAACCAATGCAGTGGTCCCAAGAGCAACGAAAGGCTGGGCAGTGGATTTGCTCGGTGGCAGGTTTGGCGCGATCGGCGGTATGGGCGCCGATTGCTGGATCTCTGCTGGCTTTACCGTTTGCGCTGGTTGCACTGTTGGTGCTGCTGGTATCACTTGCACCGGCTGTAGTTCCGGAATGGTCTGAGGTGCTTCTGCAGGTGGCTGAGCGGGTTGAGGCGACGCCGCTGGCACAGGCTGCGCGGACGGCAATATTGGCTGAGATTGATTCGCTGGCGATGCGAGAGGCTGGGACGGTACTGAGTAGGCAGGCTGAGCAGCAGCTCCAGTGCCTACAGCTGTGATACCAGAAGCCTGTGGTAGCGTGAGAAAGGCAGGAGCAACACTAGTGTCGAAAGTCACGCCGGCATTCGCATTAAAGTCTCGCACGTCTTGCGCAATCTTGTCTAGCTCGGCTTGGTCACTATCGAGTGTTCGGTAATCAAAGTCTCGCCGCGCGGAGTCTGTCGTCGTCGCGTTGTCTTGCCGAGCAGCCTGCATATCCAGCACGAGCTCAGAGGTCGCATCTTGCAGAAAGCGATTTGCGCGCTGCGTCAGATTGGCGAGACTGGCGAGATTGGACTGACGTCGGGCCGCTCCAGTATTGATGAGCGAGTCCCGTTGAATCTCGCGGATTTGTTGGGCGACGACAGCCAACTGCATCCGCCTGATCTCAGCAGCTTGAGCTGCATCACCGTACTTCCGCTTGACATGAGTGTTTGTCAGACAGCGAAAGCTGCTGTACTCACTGCAAGAGTTTTGCTGATGAGGACCATCATGATGACGACTCCGGTAAGCATGGCGTCTATGCGACAATCGCTTCCTGCCCGATACGCAGGACGATAGACGACCAGTCAAGAGTGGGCTCAGTTTCCGAGACGGGCCTTTCGCGTCCTCGACGACCGGGCGAGTGCGAGTCTTTGACGACAGCGACTGCGTCCGTGCGAGCTGGCCGCACGGACGCAAATGAGCAGTGAGTATGATGGGGGCTTGGCATGTCGCATGTGTCGCGCTCATCGCGCAGTCGCGTCGTTGTTGGCGGCGTCGACAGCAGAGGGAGCGCTTGGCCTCGCTCTTGGCTGGCAAGATGTATTCTCAGCATACTGCACGGGTGCGCTCGATCAGTACACGAGACGCGGACGATCGAACGAGACTGCCGCCCTTACTACATGACTCTTACCAGTGCGTGCACTCTCGGTGCTCTGAACACGTAGCTCACGGCGCATGGACAGGCCACCTAGCAGGTCACCGCTCGATACGATATACCGCAAACATCGCCGGAAATTGTTGCTGCTCGGAGGAGGGCTCTGTCTCTGCGCCATGGCCTACCGCCATCACGACAGCTTCATCGACACACTCCATTTGACGACCCAGACTCCACAGCAAAGGCCCGTCACTATAGCTTTCGCGGATGTTGATCATCTCAACAAGCTTGCTGCTCTGTGCGCCGGAGTTTGCTCTTCGCGTACACTCGACGCGCCATCAGACGATGAGGCAGTCGACCTGGACGCGCTCGATACCGAACTGCTGTCTCAGTGGGGCTCAGACGGCCTCGGTCCCTTCAGTAACGCATACACGGATGGATCTGATCCGTTCGTACCCTTTCAGCGACGTGACACGGACCAGTTTGCACTAGGCCGAATCCTCACACATCGCTTCTCGCGGTACGTCGGCCTGGTCAACGACACAGACCAGGCAGACTTTGTCTTCCTGCCGCTCTTGACGCGCGAATTTGCACATTGTCGGCCTTGTGAAGATCGGCAGGGTATCGCTTGGGACGGCAAATCGATTGGACATGAGATCACAGATCGCTATGTAGAGCTGTTACAGACCTTCAAATCGCGACGAGCTTATCCCAGCATCATCGTACCCTTGTCGCTCATCCGACGAGACTATGAAGGCAACTTGCTGAAGAAATCTGTCAGCAAGGTCTTCGACAAGGATCTCTTGCCGATTGGGATAGAACGAGAGCCATGGTACCCGCCAGAGATTATCCCTCATTTCATCATGGCGCCTTACCCTTCATTCTGGCACTTGCGGCACTCAGCCGAGCTCATTAAGCAATCGTCGTCAGAGCGACGGAAGCGGCACAAGCGCAACGATGCTATATTAATCTCCTTCAATGGCAAGATCGTGCCCAACTCGCCCAACAGCGGCAAGGGGCCGTATAATGGCTTTGCACTCAGACAAGCGCTCAACGACCAGCTCGAGGCAGCTCGAATAGCCGGCGTGGAAGGTGTATCGATGCTCGTCTCAACGCCATCTGGCTTCAGCTCAGGCTTCGACAGCATTTTCGAGGAGATGCAGCATTCGACCTTTTGTCTCGAGCCACCGGGTGACTCCTCGACCCGTAAAGGTGCGTGTTTGCCTATTTCTCGGCTTGTCTGGCTCACGACTCGAGCAGGCTTCTACGATGCAATTCTGATGGGGTGCATTCCTGTCATCTTTCGCCCTCACACATACATCGAAGTCAGCACACCTCAAGGTCCAGTGACAGAGACATCGCTCTACGTCCCAGAAGATCAGGTTGTTGACGGATCGCTCGACATTGTGTCTCATTTGCGAGCGATACCAGCCCGAGTGATCAGTGAGAAGCGTGACGCGATGGACCGTCATCGGCCCCATGTCCAGTATTCGCTTGATGCGACTGACTCACAGGATGCATTCGCACAGATTGTCACGCATATGTCAAAGATAGCCATGTCATAGAGATGCCATGCAATCTTCCATGCCTGCCATTGGCTTGCACGTGTCAAACACACGCGTCCGACGATCTTTGACGCGAAAAGGAATAACTTACCAGCGCTGCGGCTTGTACAACCCAGCAGTGCGGCACATTGAAACGATGACGGCCGAGGGACGGCAGCTGTTGGCCGACACGAGCTATGATGGCGATCTGTCATCGCTCGAGAAGAGCTGGCAGCGGGGCGTACCGGAAGATGCCTGGCGCGCTGCTCTACGACCGCGAGTGTTGCGCTCCTTCTGGCGACTATGCCTGCTCCTTTGTCTCGTCGGCGCGACCGTGTACATGGTGTGCTTCACTTCCCTGGCATCTCCGCCGAGCAGCTGGCAAGCGATGGGTCAGAATACGCTTGACCATATCACAGAGCTAGCAGGGTCGAGCTCAGCGTTCAGCTGGTCAACGAGCACCTTGTCCTGTCGCTATCCGTTCAAAATCTATGTGTACGACCTCCCGCAGAAGCACACTACTGACTTGGTCGAGTCCGTCATGTCGTTGAACTATTTCTGCACATGGGATTGCGTCCATGCGCAGTTCACGGCGGAAATCCAGATGCACCGCTATTTGCTGCAGAGTTGCGCGAGGACAGACGATATCGAAGAGGCAGATCTGTACTATCTGCCTGTCTATGTGACCGCCGAGACGCGACGCAACAGCACCGACGGCTTCGCACAAGGACACGCCATCCACGCAGCGCTGTCTGGTCAGAATATGACCGCGTTGGAGCAGGTCAGCAATTCGAAGTGTGTACTAGCGTGTATATTGACGAATCTGTGTTGCAGTATTATGGCATCAACACGAGCTATGTCTCCCGGTATCCTGAGCGACACGTCTATTACTCGGCGCATCCACGGACGGGATGGCATCCGCTCTGGTCAGATGACGCTATAGATACTACTCGCGCGATAAAGATGACAAACGAAGTGCCGGCCCCGATGCTCGTCAATCGCACAGAGCACAACTTTGTCGTGATGCCGTATGACGTACAGAATGCTCCCTGGCGGCCTGAACGCGAATGGACGCTGGCATCCAAGCGTCGCATGACGATCTTCAGTATATTTGGCACTCATGGCCTAGGTGCTACAGTTCGTCAGCAGCTGGCAAGAAGTAGTCAGACGTACCGCGGTCCTGCGAGCGTTGGCTTGACCGACTTTGCGAATGCGACAGTCACGTACGAGCGGTTTGGGCTCAACTTGACAAGGGACGATCATCCGATGTTCCATTCGGCATTCTGCGCTGTTCCTGCCGGCGACACACCAACGACCCGGAGACTCTTCAATGCCATTTTTGCAGGCTGCATACCCGTCATATTCTCAGACGAGCTCGTACTACCCTTCCACCGAAGCCAGATACCCTACGAAGATATGCTGCTGCGGTACCCGATGGATCAGGATGAGGCAGGCCTTCACAAGATCTATGACGACCTCCACAGAATGCAGTTAGACGGCACGGCAGACAAGATGCAACGCGCACTGAATCACCATCGGCGCAAGCTAGAATTCGAGCTACCGTTCGAGATGACACCCGGGGTCAACTACACGTCTTTCCGGGGTCCGGACCGATCACAGACTGGCGACGCCTTCGATTATGGCATGCGTGAACTTGCGATGCGCGTTGCCGACCTGAGTGCTAGCTGAAGCTGAGCTCCCACGTTGGATGTACATTCAGTTACTGTATTGGCCACAAGCATACTCCCATGACGGTCGCCTTCAATGACGCGAGGCACGAGCTTCTCTTGGCAGTGATCTCTCGCGACATCCTTGATCGACACTTCCTCTTCAGTCAAGAGCGTATTTTCTATTCCCAGTGGATCCTCCCAATTATACTTTATTATACTTTACAAGGCCAGCAGACTTGGGCAGCGGCGCTTCGGCTGTGTTGAACGGGGAGCTCGTCGAGAAAGACTGTGCAGGATGACGAGGAAGATTCTTAGCGAGTGTGCGGGCTAGTGTGCGTGACATTCCCGGCGAGTCAAGAGAATTGATGTGTCGATGCGCGATTCTGAGGACTTTGCGTTGTCTGAGGTAGCCGGATGCTTACCGAGCTTCTTTTGACGTGCTAAGCCTACCTCGAGTGACGCGTGCCGGGACTATGTGGAGAAGTGGGGATTCGGGGGTCTACGGGGGGTTCAAGAAGCCCCTCAAGCAGGTTTTTGCTACGCACGCGCTTCGCTCGACTTCGACGTATTCGACTCCGACTTTGGGCGAGCTGGGCGACAGCCTCGACACCTGATCATCTGCAGAAGACCAGCAAGCTACTGCGACTGTTACGTGCCAATGATGGGGAAGCGGACAAGCGCCTCGGCGCTAGCTGCGCTTGAGGTTCCTGGGCCATTCCGGACGGAGGCACTTCAGTCCGACGAGAAGATCAGTAGTAAGGCAATCGTACGCGCGATACAGACACTGCCATGCTTGAGACTATGGTAGCTCCATCGGTCACCGACGGCTGGTTATTCTTTAGTTTACGAGCGTTATCAAGACCGGCAAACTTCTGCAGAGATCACTGGCGACACCGTATTTGGACACCCCTGGAATCTATCTCGTCCTGAGCGATTGGCAGCACAACGTCCTCCTGATCACACAGTCAGATCTGCTTCAGACTTTACGATTGATCGCATCGTGATGATTTTTCAGCCTGCATGTCTGCATTTCGCATTGCGCGCCACAAGTGCATTGCTTTCCAACGGCAGATCGTTGTGATATCCGTGCTTTCGAGTGAGCGGGCGAGTCTTGAGAGGATCTTACCTAGCGCTGCTTGCTTTTCGCCACACCCCCTTTGATTGATTAGCGCGCTGATCACATGAGGTCCCCGACTCGTCGCGTGATCGCGACTCGTCTCGATCAAAGAGACGCGCCGGACCTCCTGATATTGAAAGCAACCACAAGTCTTTGCACAGGTGAAAGAGCATCGATGCACGATAACGGGGTATCAGTAACACGCCGGCGAGCTCTCTTGCTCCTGGGCTTGCTCGCGCTTGTGCTGCTTGAGCTCCGCTACGAGCCATCGCGGAAATCAGCAAAATATGGAGCGCAATTCGTCCGCGAGCGGTACGGTGTCCGACCTATCACTATTGCATTCGCAGACGTCGAACATCTCAATCAGCTAGTAGCACCCTGTGCTGCTATATGCAGCGACAAAACGATGGCTCCGCCAGCTACTGGCGAGAAGATCGATTACAGCACAGTAGACACGCAGATGGTCTATCGATGGGGAGACGATGCGCTCGGAGCCAAGCCAGATCGTTATAACGAGTCAGTTGTGAGCGAATATGAGCAGCAGTATTTGCCTCTCAGAAGGCGGGACACGGTCCAATTTGCACTCGCGAAAATACTCACCCATAGAATCTCGCGCTCGACGCATATCATCAATAGCACGGACGACGCCGATTTTGTCTTCCTTCCGCTGCTCTCACTCGAGTTCACCTGGTGTCGATCTTGCACAATAGACGGCCAAGACTGGGACGGAAAGCCCCAGCAGCGTGAATTCACGGAGCGTTTCATTGAGCTCGTCAAGCCATACAGTGGTCGCAGAGCCTACCCGAGCGTAATTCTACCACTCTCACTCATACGCTCCGACTATGAGGGTACTCTCCTCAAGAAGTCGATCACCGATGACTACGCTCAAGACCTGCTGACTATCGCTATTGAGCGCGAACCGCGCTCGCCTTTGCCGGACAACCTGCCTCACTTTATTACGGTCCCTTACCCATCATTTTGGCACGTCAACGATACATCCGAGCTGTACGCAGAGGCTGCGAGCGAGTCAAAGGAGAGACGATACGCACGCAACGATCGCACACTTGTCCTCTTCACCGGGAAGACCTTGCCAAATTCGCCAACGAGCGGGAAAGGCCCTCAGAACGGCTACAAGGTCCGGCAAGCGATCAATGAGCAGCTTGAGGCCGCCAAAGCAAAACAACAGCACGATATCTCCAATCTGGTGACCCGGCCTTGGAATTTCAAGGGTGGCTTCGACGTCATTTTTGAGAATATGCTGCACTCGACATTCTGTCTAGAGCCACCCGGCGATTCCTCGACTCGCAAAGGTATGGTCTCTGCGTTTATATTTACAATTAGAAGTGACATGTGCAGGCTTCTACGACTCGATATTGCTCGGCTGCATCCCTGTCATCTTTCGCGAGCATACTTATGACGAAGTCTGGACACCACACGGTCGGGCATCCGACGCTGCAATCTATATCAGCGAAGAGAAAGTCATCTCTGGCGAGACGGACATTGTCGATACACTTGCAGCCATTCCGGCTAGCGCTATCGAGGAAAAGCGACGCGTCATGGACCGATTGCGACCGCACCTGCAATACTCGCTTTCGTCTGACGATCCTAATGACGCCTTTGCTAGCTTCATGGCTCGCCTGAGCACATTTAGGACTTAGATCACTCGAGTGATCATTTACCGCAACGTGCATTTGTTGTGTGCTATCGATGTGTCCCAGACAGCGATCAGGCCGGAGAGATCAGCAAGTCATGTGACGCGATCATCAGCTTTGCTGCGCTGTTGATCGACAGCAAGGACGCGTCGCTAATTCGCGTCGCTGCCTCCGAGAGCTTCACCGCCAGCACAGCTAACGCTTGCACGCCGTGCGACCCTACACCGACGAGACACGACTCACCACATTCATTTACTACCCTTACGCTACGCGCTTCGACGGCGGCCTGTTTGGTCACTTCCGTCACAAGGCTCGTCTAGCTCCTCTACTAGCCTCCTGAACGCGCGATCTGACGCTCGTGCTTGGCAGGTCTTCATACTCGTACGATACAGACGCTTGCAGCTTCTCCTTTCGCAGTGACAAGCCGCAGGAACGCACAGACCTACTCAGGTCAGACTTCACGGCTTAGGGTAGGACAAAGCTAATGCAGCGCAACTGAACAGCCACGGTCAGCTCGCGACCATCATGCCCTTCTTTCCCCCACCGCCCTCACCTCGTCATGCCAACGCTTTCAACGATCGTCTTGACGAGGATCTCGCCAGTTCAGGACCTTCATCATCGCAACCGTCGCCCTTGACGAATCCCCGTACTCCCGTGCCTGTCCCGCCGAGCAGCCAGCGGACATCGCCAACGACGCCCACCGTTAGATTCGCACCCCAACTGTCGCCTCGTCTGATGGCAAAGGAGGCAGAACCAGTGCGCAGTCCACTGGCGCGCTTATTCTCCTTCAGATCGCCATGGGGCGGCTCAGGCCAAAAGTGTGACGATGGCAAGCGCAACAGAGCATCAGCGCCTGCGCTGAGTCTTTCGGCGAATGTTGCTACTGCGCAGATGGCTCCCGTGGCGCTGCCGAGCCCGATCGTCACGCCGAGAATCACCTCTCGGCCGCGTAGGCAAAGACGGACAGACTGGGACACTGTATCGGAAGCATCAGTCAATGAGTCTGCAGAGACTGCATCACGCGACGTCGATAGCGTGATGTCTTCAGACAATCTTGGCGACGATGAGCGATCATCTCGCGCGTCTTGCTCTCCACGAGCAGCCAGCTCGCCGGAAATGATGAGCGAGGCTTACCCAGAGCAGCTATCGCCCTCGACCTTGGCCTTTAAAGCTGCTCTGCGCAACTACGACCCTACTCCTCGAGCATGCGAGCCATGGACACCTCGGATGACGCAGTCCTTTGCAGCCTTTCAGGATGCACGAGAATCTCCTCCAGACGCGCCCTTACCTTCTGCACCGAACGCCACGAGGTTCTCTAGCGAGGCACAGAGCAAGATGCCCTCGCGATTGCTGTCGACCCGTTTGCCAAGCATCCGCGTCGAGGGTCTGTCGATGGAGGACGTCTTTGCAGAGCTGGACGCGCGCCTGCGCGTTTCTCGTTCTGCTCAGAACCTGTCCCAAATCACCGAAGAGCACTCTCTCTTTGCGGCTGCTTTGCCTCCCATGAGTAAGTCTGCTCCCACCACGCCCATGACGAGCCAACAAGATCCGCCGAGGTTCTCTTTGGTGGTGGATCGCCCATCGTCCCTAGCTTATGCAAATTCGATTGCAACATCCACCTCGATTGATAGCCTGGACACCGTAACACCTTCACCGGACCTCATGGCACTGCCGGCGCTCAAGCCCTCGCCGCGCCGGTCTTCGCTTGTACATCGGTCCGCTCACATGTCAATCCGTATACCCCCGCGCGGAAGCTTTGCACCCGTATCGCCTGGAACGTCACCTACAATTGCCTTCTCGCCTATGCGTAACAGCCGCATGAGCACGATGAGCACTGCATCTGCACTACCAGCGTTTGGCTTCCCGATGCCGCCCGACACGCCTACACGGTGCCAGTCGAGCTTCACGCCACCTTTGCCTTCGCCGACGATCAGGGACTCTTATCTGACAGTCACGAGGCCAGTGTCCGAAGTAGACGCGTTTGCACCTCCCGATGTCTTCATCTTGCCGCCGACCCCGGTCGTCGAGCCTCAGCCGTGCTTCGAGTCACAAAGAGACGACGATGAGTATGAGAGCGAGAGCGAGAGCGAAAAGGAAGTGGAGGACGTTACTGCGTCAGATTCGAGCCGATCACTCGCAAGCAGCGCTTCACTGCCCACGCCAGCGTTGTCTGAGTCAGATTCGCGATCGTCTATCGAAACTCAAGCCACCTCGCACGGATCTGATGATCTGGAACAATGCGAAGAGAGCGATGAAGAGCCGACGCTCGACGGTATGCTACACGATCTCAGTCGATCTGTCACTCCTACACAGTCGAGAATCTCGAAGGAACAGCTCGATAGCATCTCCGCGCTAGACCAATTAGCGACGAGGACAATCTCGCCGAGGCTGGATCACAAGGAGCATGTCAATAACATACCACGACCGCATCGGTGGAGTGCACGATCGAGCATCGACGATGCCCGGTTCGAAGATGCGATACCATACGAGTCTGCTCGGCCGCGACAGGTCATCGTACGGAAGCAGCCCAGCTGGCAGCCTGCGAAACGACCCCTCGCCCCGCCCGCTATCCTCGTATCCTCACACTCTGCTGGATCAGATCTGGATGACTTGCACGAAGCGGTAGTGATCATGGGCGAGCGGATGGGCCGTACATCTGTGGGCATGGCAATGTAGGCCCGGAAGCGCAAATCTTGGTGTATCGTTTTGTAGGCCTACCTTACTGTCTTTACCTCTCATGCAGCCATAGCTTTTTCTGCATTTGGTGGGTTTCCTGACTTGCATACAATCTACAATGTACGGCGAGCAACAGGGGAGCGAATGCGAGGTTGCGATGATGGACGGACGTGCAGCGCGTGGATGAGGGGGGTGAGGCTATAGCTCCATCTCGCCCGCCGCTTCTTCTGGCTCTGAGCTGTAGCTATCCTGATCGCTCATGTCCTCCTCCTCATCCTCTTCTTCGTCCTCCGAGCCTGCCTCGTCTGCGGCTTCCTTTGTCGCGAACCGCTGTACGTAATCTGCCAACGGATCAGCTCCTGTCAGCTTGGTGAGGTTGACTGTACCTTTCACTTTGGCTTCATAGGTCTTTGGCTCGCGCATCAGGAGCGCGGCAGCTTCACCGTTCAAGGGGTCGCTCGGATTCGGGTATCGCAGCAGTTGCGGCAGAAAGACCTCGAAAATGTTGATCATGTCAAACATGGGCGACCAAGTCTGATTGATGACGTCTAAGCAAACTGAGCCCGAGAGCTCGTCGATGTTGGGATGGAAGATTTTGTTGATGAAGCCTATCGAAGGCGATTTGTACGGGTACTGGTCCGGTAATTCGACATGGATCTTCCACACTCCGCCAGCAAAAGGCGCTGATCAACCGCGCGCCTTGAGAACACGCGCGCATGGCTGTCTGATAATGACTCACTTTCTGTTGGGCCATAGAAGCGCACAAAGAACTCTTGCATGTTATCGTTGACGAGAGTGACTTCGTAGTCGGACATGAGCCTGGATCGGATGTCGAAGCTTGAGATCTGCCTATATGCAAGATAGCGTGAGCTTGACTGACATTTTCATCACATCCGTCTCTATCCGTCGCTTTGGAGAGCTGTAAAGGCTCAATCGCGGCGAGGTAGGCAAGGATGATCCAGCAGGCGAAAAAGGCAAGGACGGCGAGCATTGTCAGCACTGCTGCTCGGCTGGGGTAAGCGGGCAAACTCATCATGCTGCCGCTGATCGGTCTGTAGCCGGCACTGTTACCTCCCTATGATGTGTGCACGTCAGATTGCTGCTCTCGGCAGCTGATTCAGCCCTTGGCGCCGGTGATATCTCTGATTGATGTCAAGGGCGAGCTTGCGCCAAATCGTCGCGCTCCTGTTTCTGTTAGGCGACCGCTCCGATTCTGCTCTCAGGCCGGTCGCAGGAAGGCAACACGAGCAAGTCATTGCTGAGCAGACATCTCGACAAAGCGCATGCTCGTACAAACAGGTCAGCCAGCTCGCGCATAGTGTACGTCCACTTGAGTTGACACGGTGACAACAGAGCTCGACTGGTCTGATCTCATCTGCTCGACCGCACCTCAGCCAATGTTGTTCCTGATTCTCGCGCCACTGACTGCTGACCGGACGCTCTGCTCGGCGAGACAGCTCTGAGCTTGCCTTCGCGCGCTCAGCGAGCCCCCGTCGAGGCAAGCCTGATTGGCAGCTCTCGACGAGGATGCCTCGCTTTACCACCAAGCCTCAACGGACGCAGCCGGTTGCTGATAGTTCAGATCAGCGTGCTCGCATGCCCCTGTTGGAGAGTCGGACGACATTGAGTTCAAGCAGCTTCGCGCTAGCTGCGACCACTTCTCCCACAAAAGCCAGCAAAGAGTCTAAAGGCGGCAGCACTTCGCTGGCAGATCAACATGGCGTCTCTGTCATGCCGAGCTATATAGCTCCTCCTTTGCTACCGAGCTTGCCTGGGCCGAAGCAGCCGAGTCCGCCACGGGAAGTTGTAGCAGGTTCAGATGATGAGCTCGAAGAGGGCGAGCTGCCTTCCTCGCCCGTCGCAAGCCCAGCCAAGCCAACCGACGAGCTCGCGTCCGGATCTCTGTCGCACTCGGCGGACTCTGCGGCGCCAAAGGCGATGCGCAATGGGCCAATGTCGCCAGTCGCGACAGTCGCGCTCAACCCGGCGTCGAACCAACGTAAGTCCAATGTCGCCCTGCCATACAGATCCGCCCCACAGCCCAGCCCTTCCACGAGCAAGATACCCTTTTCACTTACTGTTGCTGAGTCGGTTACACCCGCTGAGAAGAAGCTTTCTTACTCTCGCCAAGGCAAAGAGCCAGCTCCGCAGACCAACGGTCGCGGTCCTGCCCAGACCGCGGGCGCGGCTCTGCGCGCATCCCATGGGCGACGTCGCTCGCATAGCCCGACAGCGTACAAGCCTAGCTCGTCGCGGCCTGCGGCCCCTCCCAAAGTGCAACCCATCTCGATCTCTCTAGCCTCCTTCAAAGCCAAAGGCAACAAGGGCAGAGCTCTCACCTCTCCACTCAAATCTGCACACGATTCCAGTGATCTGAATTCCAGCACCATCTCGGACTCTGCGGCTGAGCTACCGACCTCACCAGATACACCGCGACAGCGGCGATCGCGATGGGACGCGCCTTCTGCCGGCTCTCCAGTGCTCACTAATGGCAAGGCAACAGTTGATGCTCTGCCGCCTACTGCAGCGGCGCCTGATTCGCCTGCTATCATGCCTCCGCCATTACCGAGCGATCCTCTGCCAGCAGTGCCACCGCCGCCTCGCGTCAGTCCTACCCCTGGGCCTGATCAGCGCGGCAATTTCACACGGCCATCAAAACCTTCGCAGCCAGCGCGTGCAAGCTATCGGTCTGACCGGCGGTCTCCTGACGTACCGAGTGCTCGCGGCCGCTCGCCAGACTATTACGAACGCGGGAGAACTGCAGATCACCGTGGCATAGGTAGATCGCCCGAGCATTACGCGCGAGGGAGATCACCAGAGCAATACACAAGGCGGCCAGATCCGCTTCCGCGGCGGCGACGCTCGCCTGAGCCGATAGCGAAACGAGCTGAGCCACCTGTCAGGAGGCGGTCGCCCGAACCTACAGTAGTCAAGCAGCGCACACCTGCACAAGAAGCAGAGTTCAAGAAGCTACACCCCTTTGCAGCTCGGTATCACCCCGACTGGGAGACATTCAAGCATGTCGTCACTCCAGACGAAGACTTGCTGCCCGTCCCTGCGTCAGGCTGGCCTGGCGTAGAGAGGCGGAAATCTTACTTGGCCATATATGATCCTGCGCTTGACAGCGATCCCGTCAAGAAAAGCAAGACTCTCATCTTCCGACACGAGGGCGATGGTCTCGAGCGGCCCATCGAGGATCCCCGCCATCGTGGTGTGGCAGAGGAGAGGACAAAGAGCGCGAAGGCGCGCGGCAAAATGCGCTTGCTCGACACGTTGCCGATAATTATCTACGAGGCAGGCTAACAGTGGAGCCTTTAGGTTGTCGCTGACGTGCTTTATGCAGTGGGACAAGCAGTCTGTGGGCGCGCCACCGCCTGGCCCAGTCACTTCGATCGTCGTGCAAGGTTACACCCGTTTGACGACTTCTGAAGCTCTTCATCGCCACTTTGCTCAATTCGGTCGAATAGCAGAGCTCGACTTCAAGCATGATACCCTGACCGGCGGCAGTCTTTGTCTATGCTGGATAAAATTTGTCGATGAGGTCGACAGACGGCCTGACCGTCGGCGGGAAGATGCAGAGAAGCGCTCGAGGCGCCACAACCAGCAAGACGGCCATAATGCTGCAGTACAGGCCATGCGGAAAAGTCAAGGCACACGCATCGGCGTGCCTGCTCAGGGTGAAGATGGTCTGATCTCAGTCGATCTCGACCATAGCGCAATCATCGTGGCGCGACGGGTCAAAGCAGAGATGCTTCGTCGCCATCCACCGCCGCCACCTAAAGTCGAAAAGCCGGCGCAGACTCCCGCATCAGCGCCTGCTGTCGCCACCGCGCTCACGGACGCCGTTGATACCATCGAGGCAGCGCGCAAGGGCTTCGGACTGCCGAGCAAGCCCGTCCTTGACGAACGCGCAGCAGCCGCGTTGCGTCACAGCAGCCTTGACGACGGGCAACGCACGCCCGCCCTATCTGTCCAGGACGACATAAGGCGAGCAACACGATCTCAGACGGCTCGATCTCGAGCAAGCTCTCGCGATAGGGATACAGAAGAGGAGGAGTCAGACGATGAGGTCTTTGATCGTCGAGCGCGGATACGGACACAAGCAGCGAATGCTGGCATTGCGCGTTCGGGTCCTCGCAAGAGCAATGACATAGATAGCCTCCCCGAGTGGCTCAATGCGAAGCTTGCCAGGAATGGTATGCCCTACCTGACTCTGCTTAAGCGTCAATTCTTCGGCGCCGAACGTCAAAATGGATCGCGCTTGCCTTCGAGCAAATTGATGGACATGTTTCAGCCTCATGGCGCCCTCGAAGTGAGCCGTCTCATGCCTCAGACCTCGGCTTGCACTGACCGCAGGGTTTAAACAGGTCATCACGCTCGACAACCTGTTTGTAGTTGTCTTCGGCGACAAGCTAGGCGCAAAGTCTGCCCACGTTGCGCTGCAAGGTCAAGCCCATATGGGCATCAAGCTTGCGCTGGATCTTCATGAGTCTGCTGACAAGTCTGGTCGGCGTGAGTCCGTCGCAATTCGCAAGACTATCTGGACCGACGCCGAGCTGGAAAGAGAAGCTAAAGAGCTACTGCTCAGAGATCTGAAGACCGCCTTTGGACAGGATCTGCGCGCCCGGGTCGCGAGCGCGAAGATTGCCGAGCGCTTGACAGAGCATCGATCAAAGCCAGCTGCTCCCAGTATACCGTCTATAGTGGAACCTGCCGCCAGCCCAACGCTCGAACATAGCAAGGAAGTCACGCCGAGTGGGCTATCCGGCCTGGTCAAGATCAGAAAGCTGCCCGGCTTCCCACGGCGGCAACGAGATACACCGGACACGGTGGAAGATCGCAGGCTCCTCGGCATAGATTCGCCGCAATCGCTGCGCGAAGATGGCACTTCATCGTCAGCCTCGAGGACAGACTCGCCGAAAGCGACAAAGAGGCTTGTACGGCGGCCGGAAAGCTCAGATGATGAGGACATGGAAGAAGAGGATCCCGCTGTGTCCATTGTCGACGTGGATGCGCCAAAATCTGCTCGGTCTGCAAAGAGGGCGCGTGGCAGGCTGCAAATACAGCATCCCGAGGACGCGGAGGAAGCTGCTCATGGCTTGCCAACGCCTGCGCCCACTGATAGTACAGTCAGTAAGCAGGATGCCATGCAGCTCGATTCGGACGCAGATTCGGACGCGAATCTGCCGCAAGCGCAGACTGATGCGCGACAGAAGGCTCTGACTCGACCGCGCAGCCCGACGCCGGATATCTATGCTGCTGGGCTCGCAGGGGACGATGAGGATGTCTGGTACCTCCGCATGGCCATTGCACGGGTCAAGAATGGCGAACCTCTCCATTCACGTAATCTAGAAGCTGATCTGGACGAATACGACGAGTCACCGGCAGTGGCGACAGGTCATGAAGCTGGCTCGGCGAAAGCGCAGGGCTATTACCCAATCGCTCCAGCTCAGAAGTCAGCTTATCTGCCAGAGCGAAATCGGGCGATCGTCGAGGTGCCAGAGAAGGGCCAAGCACCGGCATCGTCGACTGCAATCTCTCGTCTCGCTCGTGCGAATACGCGTCGCCTCGTGCTCGATATGGAGCAGCAGCGTAAATCAGCCGCGACAGAAGCAGGATCTGATCTGCTCAAATTCAACCAGCTCAAGTCGCGCAAGAAGCAGCTCAAGTTTGCGCGCTCGCCTATCCACGACTGGGGACTCTACGCAATGGAGCATATCCCAGCGCGAGACATGATCATTGAATATGTCGGCGAGCTCATCAGGCAACAAGTCGCAGATAAACGCGAAAAGGCGTACGAGAAGATGGGCATCGGTAGCAGCTATCTGTTCCGTGTCGACGACGATTTGGTCGTCGATGCGACGAAGAAAGGGACCTATGCGTGCGTGCTCCTCGCGTCGCATAAAGCTCGGTAGCGCTGACGATCAGTCGAGACAGGCGGCTGATCAACCATTGCTGTGCGCCTAACTGCACTGCGCGGATCATCACGATCGGCGGACACAAGAAGATCGTCATCTACGCACTGACAGACATTGAGCCTGGCGATGAGATCACCTATGGTGCGCGACTAGCCTCTCCTCGCGTAGTACCGCTGACCAGCATCGACTAGATTACCACTTTGCGACGGAGAGCGATGACCTCAAGATCCCTTGCCTCTGCGGCAGTCCGAAGTGCAAGCGCTTCTTGAACTGATCTCTCCATGCATCATGGAAGGCCCTCTGTGCTCTGTCTCGCGCGGTCCAGTCGCGGGACTTGAGCTACGCGTGGAACGCAGCGCATATCGATCTCAGCCGAGAGATCTCGCACGCTGCTACCTACTCGACGTCGTGAGCGGGTGACGACAGCCGAGCTCGACGTGCGACCACGCCTGCACAGGCACAAATTGAGCTGAGGGCCACGCGAGGGATCTCCGTCAGCTCGTGCTCACAGAAACCAAGTTAGCCGAAGCGCCAGGATCGGCAACGAGGCGTGAGGTGCCTCGAACGCAAGTACAGCTTCGACAGCACTGGTCGTACCCTTGACTGGCGATGACGGCAGAGCCATAGATCAGCAAGGCTTATCCTGCGCCCCGTCTGATCTCCAGCCAGGACTGGTCGTCGCCTTTGAGAAACGCCGTCACCGTCGACGCCATGACGGGACAAAGCGAGGCCAAGAAGGCATCGTCCAGTCCCTGGAAAGGCCTGTCAAACCTGTTCAGGCTCAATGCGCCCACACAAGCGAGTCATCGCAACTCAGCAGCTGCGCCCGCTCAGTCGTCATTCGTCCTCAAGTCAATGACGAGCGAGACCGAACTAGCGAGACAACGACAGAGTCATGATGCCACCTCTCGCCAGCATGATTCAGGCATTTACACCGGAGCGAGATCCTCCACGCCTCTGCCGCTGCCCTCCATGTCGAGCGCACAGATCGCCGAGTCGCGCTCGCCTTCATCCGGAGAGTCGTGGATGAGCAGGACGGCTCCGACGGCCAGCAGCGTCTTTGGCGTGCCACTGGAGGAGAGCCTGAGGAGGGCATCAGTCGCCATCAGTATGCTAGGCTCGGACGACAAGCAATTCATCTATGGATATATACCCGTCGTCATCGCCAAGTGCGGCTTGTTTCTCAAGGAAAACGGTGAGCACGAGGCCCATAGCGAGACCATCACAAGCTCATCTGTTACTCCCAGCCATCAAGACGCAAGGCATCTTCCGCGTCTCTGGCTCCAATAAGAGAATCAGGGAGCTCGAGCAGATCTTTGACAGCCCGCCAAGGTCAGCATTGCTGGTTGCAGCTCGTGTCTGAGACCAAGCTGACCACTTTCACAGATATGGCAAGGACCTCACATGGGATGTGTATAGCGTGCACGACGCAGCTAGCGTCTTCAGGCGGTATCTTAATATGCTCCCTGTGCGTTGCGCGCTGCTTTTCCGTCGACTGCGCTGACCTCGTCCCACAGCATCCCATCATACCTTTTGAGATGTATCCAGCGTTTCGAGATGCGATACCTCCCACTGGACAGCCTACAGAGCCGAAGATCATTGACGGCTTATCAAATCTGATCAATAGCTTACCGCCGCCATCTCATCACTTGTTCTACTACGTGCTCGATCTCTTATCCGTGTTCGACAGAAACCACGAGCATACACTCATGACGGCTTCTAATCTGGCAGTCATATTCCAGCCTGGCTTACTGCGAGCTGCGCCTACACCCGTGACTGATGTGAAAGATACGTCTGCCACGAAGGCGCAAATGACGGCAGATGCGAATGAGCACAGGCGCAGCCAGCAGGTGCTCGAGTTCCTCATCAAACATCAGTCGCAATTCGTACAGCGCTTGCCTCAGACCGGCAAGCGTATTTCAGCGAAACGTAAGGACAAACGGTTGACAGCCCGAAGCGAGAACACTACCGCTTCCGCTGCGCCGTCGTCTATAGCGAGCAGATCGTCAGGACCAGTGCCTGCTCTCCCGACCGATACCGATTCTGATCGGCCTCCATCTGCTGTGCAAGCCGACCGGCCGCTACGGCGGCACCAGTCCGAGAAGAGCCAGAATGGTCGACGTAGGAGAAGCCACTTGGACCAAATACCCAATGCGTCTCGTGTAAAGCCACTTTCGGTTTCGCAACCCTCGCTGGCCCCAGCAATACCCCCTATCAGCGACGATATACCCATCAATAGCAATGGCGTCCAAGTCAAGCGGTCTAGGACTGTGCCCAATTCCTCGGCACGACCAAGGCGGAGGGCGGACAAGCTAGAGCCGCAGCCGTTCACGTTGACTGCCCAGCCGATATCCACAGAGCTCTTCAATAACGTCAAGCCATCGGCCGGTATGGCCAGAGATAGCTCAGGTACGACATCAGCGGGTGCAGAGGGCAGGAAAGCCTGGTCGCCGCCGTGGAAGAGGAGGTAGCCTGCTGACTGAGAGCAAATATGTGCCGTGTGTCGTGTATATGTACGAAACTGCAGAGTGGGCAGTAGCATTAGGACAAGGCCGATGTATTGCACAGAGCATACAACAACAGTTGCGTTGCGGTCTTCATTTTGCAGTGTCGTTCTCATAGAACGATGCGATCTCGCGCTGATAGTAGTCTTCCTCTAGATAATGCCAGGCTAGACCCTCTTTACCGTCTTTGAGAAGCGCATGATAGCGATGTCCCCGAATACCTTCGCCTTTGAAGATATCTGGCAGTCGCCATTGCAGAGGAAGATGTTCATCTGGCACCCGCCTGAAGCCGGCGAGATCTTTGCCGGGATTGATGGGCGTGGTGGGCACATGCTACATATACAGTCAGCAGTGTTCCCCAGCTAGAAAGTGACATACGAATCTTGCGATCTGTAGCTCGGTATCGCTGATGCCTGGCTTGCCGCGATGCAGGCGGCCATATGCCGTTCGTCGCAGGCCACGCCAGAAGATGTATTGACACCATCTGTCGCTATCGCTCGGATCGATGTCCATCATTCTACCATCTTCCTTGAGGTAGTAGTATGGCGCTGGCTTGGGTGCTTGCGGCTTCGTGACGACATAGCCAAGGAAGACGAACGGTCGCGGATAGCTATCAGCCATGATGCGGCCTAGCGTCTCGCTTTGAAGCTGCCGATCGAGCGTGTCTTCTTCTTGCCCATTGTGACTGATCACTGACGCGCCGTGGGTTAGCAGTGCACCACTGAATGAAGCGACAAGACTTACAAACATCCACAAGCGTGCCATAGATAAGCAGAGTGGCATGTATAGCAGGCGCGAGCTCGCCATGAGGGCTGGGCAAAAGGATGTGCGTCGAGTTGATGATGGGGAACTTGGAAAGCAGCGCAGCACCCCAGGTATGCTTATTCGGGCCTGGACCCAAATCGACATGATAGCCGAGCGTCTCGGAGACGTACTGAGTCATATCACGGTTGCCCGTCACGATGCGCTGCAAGTCTGATTCTAGGAAGCCCATGACGTCGACCTGGGCATCTCGCAAGAGGTCAAGTAGTCGTCTATTACTTTCCCACATATAGGTATCGAGACCGAAATGCAGACATTGGATACCGCCTGTGAACATGCGGTGTTCTGGCGCGGTGAAAGGCTCGATAGACGCGCGGGCAACTTTGCGAAGCGAGCCAGCAAGGCAGGCGACAGCTAGGAGCATGACTAGAGCTGCAAGTCGCAGATGTCTCAGCGTGCGAGCAGCCAGTCCTGGTCGCGGCAGATCCTTGACATTGAAAAGGCCAATGACAATGCAAGCGAGCATGACGATGTTGACCGTGTTGGTTCTTTCGCGAAAGTAGGTACCCCCTGGCACGAATGCGTATGCTACCGTGAATGTATTGACGACTGCGAAAAGCTTGTAGAACAACCAGGCGAGACCAAAGGTCAGGGCTGGCGAGTGTTGGCTGGCTGCTTGAAGGAGTGTTGGGAAACTTGACGTCACATAGATCGCAAAGGCTAAGCCTCCGAAGAAGCCGTGCCAATCAGAGTGTAACGTCAGGTTCGCGAATGCCATGATGCCTGCGAGTGACCAGGCGGGCGTGCGCACGACGAAGCGATACTTTGAATTCGAGACATAGACGCCGATGCACATTGCAGCAATCGTCATGATGCCATGAGGAAATGCCTGGGGACCCTTGACGGGATAGCCCGTCCAACCGTAAGCAATGATTGTGCCAGAGTCACTGAGCAGTGAGTGAAGACAGAAGAGCATGGCTGCTAGCGCGAGAGCAGATATGACGGCGTAGCCTCGGGCATCACTCGCTCGCTTTTGAGGCACCCTGGGACGCGGACGGAGAGTTAGGAGCACGATGGCAAGACCAGCTAGCGCAAGACCGGATTTGTTCCAACCGCCATTGACCTCTGTCATGACAGGCCAGATCGGGTTGTTGCTGTGGTTTGCAAATTTGGCGACTACGTGCAGAATCAGTCCGAGTAGAAATGTATTGGCTTTATAGTCAATCCTTGCGGGCGAAGCGGCAGCGGCCCACCACGTGGCGCCATACGAAAAGGCCTGGACGCCATTGGCAAGAGCAGTATAGTGCAGTCTCGGCCAGTAGGAGTACCACCTGTATGAACCCAAGCCTGCCAGACTCGCTGCATGGAATAGAGCTGGGTATTGCACGGCCAAGTTGCGCAACGGTCGGATGCATAGCAAGAATGGCGAGAGCGTCGTCAACAGGTTGACTTCTTTGCCGGCCATGCCTGTGATCTATATCAGCCGGTACGAGGCCGAAGCCGCGGATACGCACCCATGTCATAGACCGAAAAGAAAAAGATAGTGAGCGCATGAGCTGACCAAGTCGACCAGAAAAGAAAATCTATATACTGGCTATGGATGAGTGTGAAGATCGAGAGCAAAATGAGCAGGCGATCGACCTAGGTAGACATCTGCTACAAAGTTGGCAGCTTCGAAAGGTGTCAGCGCACGCAGAGCCGCCAGCGATTTTGCGTAAGGTGTGCGGGGCATTGGTCTGAGCCGAAGCGTCAGATAGCGTTGCCTTGCAGAGACAAATTTAAACCCACTTGACCCTGTTCAGCGGCGCGGCAGATAACGTCGCCTCTGGGGCGAGAGGCGCATGCGCGACTTGACCCTGCACAGTGACTGCAAGCCCTTCGAGATCAAAGTAATTTGCGGCGTCAAACAGGACATCCTGAATGATGATGGACCATTCGAACAGGCTGTAGATTGAATATGCGCCTGCCTGTCGTTTGACCTTGTGCTGGATATACCAGTAGACGAGCGGCACGAGAGTTGCATAGAAGGAGACGGTGAAGCGTTTTCGCCAGAGCCGCGCTTGCACCGTGCCAGAGGCATACCAACATATCCCTTGCCAGAGTATTGTGAGCACTGGCAGCTAGCCATATCAGATTCGCGCGTCCCCTGTCGTCATAGAACGGCGAGACCAACCCAGATAGGAGATCATGAAGACATCATGCGCGTACGGATCGTCCGAAGAAGTAACGTAGGTAAAGCCGCCTGCGGCGATGCTTCTGAGCGTGCCGACGAGCAGCAGAGGTAGGGCCAGTTGACTGCACCGTGATCTGACGGCGACGGCAAGGATGGAGAGCATGGCAAAGCGAGAAGGCGCCGTCAAGGCCAGGCCAAGTTGGTACACGCTCCGTTCGGGGTAACGATCGCCAATGGTCGCAGACACGGACGGAAACCACTGCACGTGGCTTCAGGGAGTCTCAAATGATGTTGCGTGGGTATGACGGACCTCTTGAGGGTAGCCATACCATGCGTTTTGGACAATCTTGCGGTAGTGAAGTGCACAGCCGACCAGCAGCGCAGATCCAAACGCCGTCAAGGCGGAAAGCGTATGAAGGACGACAACATGCCGAGCCTGCAGTCTGACAGAGACTGTCCTGCTCTTCGAGTCTATGTCGCTCGCCATGGTCTCACAGAATGAAGGTAGCGCCCCGGGCAGAGCGCCAAAGCCAAAGCCAAAGCCAAAAATGTCGCGAAAGTGCGACGGCCGCGGCGACAGTGAGCCGACCTGCTGCCAGTGCGAATCCCGGCCGAAGATGTGCAGTCACGAAGCAGCTCACTGACACTGAGGGAGCATGACACGGACGAGCAACGGACACGAAGTCATAGGGCAGGCTCACGATACATTGGAACAAGCCGACGGCAATGTGTCCGTCCTTGCGCCAAGTGCGCAGCTGCAGCGTCCCTCTGGCCAGACAAGGCGTATCTCATCTCGCTTGCCGTTCCCTCAGACAAGACGCAAGCTCGCACGTCCCTTCGTACACAAGCGAGGCGGCGCGACCCGTCGGACGAGCGCTGACGAGACTGAGCCTATTGGCACGTTGTGCGTCTCACTGCTCGCCGCTCGCAACCTCGCCGCCAAGGACAGGAACGGCACCTCCGATCCCTTTGCTGTGTTGAGACTGGGCGACGTCCGTGCAGAGTCCAGCGTCGTGCGCAAAAGCTTGAATCCAGTCTGGGGAGATGCAAGCGCGTGTGCAGCCTTGGCCCATCAGACTGCAGATGGTCACACTGCTCAGCCGGCCGTGCTCGTCACTGCAGTGCATGCAGACCTTGCGAACCAGCAGATCGAGATCGTCATGTGGGACAAGGATCGCGTCAAGAAGGACTACCTCGGTGAAGTCTCGCTGAGTGCAGACCAGTGGTTCGAGCAAGCCTCTACACAAGGCCCCGCGATCCTATACGATGATACAGACAACCATCCAAAGTGGCACCGGCTTACCTCTTCCCGCCGCGCTGCTAGTATCACCGGCGATGTCCTCGTCAAGATTGGCTTCATTGCTGCTGATCCTCGCAACGGTCCCGTCCCACGCGAACACCCAACGGCTGGCTCAGATGCAATCCTGGACACTTCGACACGACTTTCCGAATTATCGATAGCAAATCCGGTCGATCAACTAAGAGACACCGTCCAAGAGGCTATCAGGGAACGACAACATCTGCCACAGACGAGGAAAGATCGTATTCTGACAGCTCCTCCTGCCAATTCAGTGGGAACACAGCCTATAGACGACGAAGAACGTCAACTTGATCCTTTGGCCGGATCGGATTCGGATTCCGATGTAGAGCTCGATGACGTTGATCAAAGCGATGAGGAAGACGCATCGGATGACATGGAGACGCTCAGTCCGGACGAAGATGCAGTAGGCTCAGGTAAAGAGCTAGAGGATGACGACTACTTTCGACATGTCGTCGGCTATCCGTCCCAGTTTGCATCTCCAAGCATGGTGCGCACCGGCTCCGCAAGCACACGCAGTCACTCGCCCGAGATTGCGCTCCGACAGACGGACTCGCCGCCCGTCGTCGAGCGCGAGAAGGCCAGACTCAGCATCCCCAACTTTATCAAGCGTGCAGGCAGTAGCCGATCTTTGCACTCGACGCAGGCTGCCAGTACGCCTGGAGCCACAACGCCCGGAGAAGGTGCAACCACGCCAGGTTCACGTCGTCGCCGTCTGCCAGGTCGTCGCCGTAAGGCCTCCGATCGAGATGGTTCATATGCTTCGACATCGTCGATCGAAACCTCGCCTGTCCAGCCCAAAGTCAAAGCGCGCAAGCGTCTCCGTCGGCGCAACACCCATGGCTTTCACTTTGAAACCGGTGGCCGCGATGACATTGTCGGCGTCGTTTTCGTCGAGATCGCACATGCGAATGATCTGCCTCGCGAGAAGAATGCGCTGCGAACGGGTTTCGATTGCGATCCTTTCGTTATCCTCTCCTTCGGTCAAAAGGTCTTTCGCACCCGCGTGATCAGGCATTCTCTCAATCCAGCATGGAATGAGCGCTTGTTCTTCCACGTACGACGCCACGAGCTCAATTTCCAGCTCCTGGCAAGTTTGTATGATTGGGATCGGGCAAGCAGCAACGACCACATTGGCGATTGCTCCTTAGCTCTCGTAGATCTCCTCGAACATGCACCGAGACCAGACGAGCAGACAGGCTTATACGCCACAACACCTCAAGGTGACCTACGCGGCGATCATCTCAACGAGTATAAGCTCGCAGTCGTCAAAGATGGGACGGATCTTAAGCATGTCCCTTCTCTCACAATTAGGGCCCGCTTCTCCCCTTATGCTGCACTTCGGTCAGTGGACTTCTATTCACATGAGTATGCAACTGATTATCTCCTTACGACAGGCAGCAATTTTGGCGCACGTATCTTAGTCATTTTGATCCTAGCACGTCAGGCAAAGTCTCCTACGTCGGGTTATTTTCCATGCTAGATTCACTCGGCTCAACTCTGTCAGCGGACACGATCACATCTATCTTCACGCACAATGGTAAGGAAAGCACCGACGAGCTCAGCATCGATGATGTCGTCCGTGCCCTCGAGCTGGAGCTCGTTAAGCCAAAAGCTCAGAAAAGGCGAGTCGAGCCAGAGAGCCACGACTCGGGTCTAGCTACGCCCGCTCTTGACACTGGGGTAGCGCACGGCATTTCAAACTTCGGCGGTCTTGAACAGATCGGGCATTCCGCACAGTCGTCAGGCGATAAAGCTACTGCTTCTGATGGCCACACAGCACCGCCGAACGGTCTGCCGGCCATGCTGCGTGGACATCAAGTCAGCGAGCTTCCGTCCATTGAAGCAGACAACGTCGATGATGAGCAGGACCAGCCATTTGAGCGCGTCATCAACATCACGTCCTGCCCCCTGTGCCAGAACCCGCGTCTGAAGAAGAGGGCAGAGGTCGATATCGTCACGCACCTTGCTGTGTGCGCGAGCAAAGATTGGCAAAGTTTGGCAAACCTAGTCGTCAACAACTACGTGACGGCAGATCAAGCCCATCGCAAATGGGTCACCAAAGTCATCAGCGCAGTCAGCAAAGGTGCCTACTCGCTTGGCGCCAATTCAGCCAATATCATCGTTCAGGATCGTGCGACGGGTCAGTTGCTCGAGGAGAAGATGCAGATCTACGTCCGACTGAGCATCAGGCTCATGTACAAAGGCATGAGCAATCGACTCGACGGCGGCAGGATCCGCAGAATGCTCAGAAGCATGTCATTCAAACAGGGTCAGAAGTTCGACGATCCCAGCTCTGTGCGAGAGATCCCCAACTTTGTGCGGTTCCACAACCTGGACCTTAGCGAAGTTCGCGATCCGATTGGCTCGTTCAAAAGCTTCAATGAATTCTTCTATCGCAAGCTCAAGCCAGATGCAAGGCCGATCTGCGAGCCTGATAATCCTAATATACTCGTGAGTGGCGCAGACTGTCGACTGATGGCCTTCGAAAGTATCGAGGATTCCACGAAGATCTGGATAAAAGGTCGCGACTTCTCTATCGAACGTCTGCTGGGCAGTACTGCAATTGCAAAGGATTACAATAGCGGCTCGCTCATCATCATGCGACTTGCACCTCAGGATTATCATCGTTACCATGTAAGGAAGGACTGCTGCATACATCTGCGCCGTATGCTCAACCGTGTGCAGAGTCCTGTCAGAGGAAAGATTGTGGACATGAAACGAATGGGCACAGAGTATTATTCAGTCAACCCCATGTCGGTGCGATCTTCAGTGGGGATCTATACGGACAACGTCAGAGAGAATGTCGCGATCGAAACCGAAGCGTTCGGTCGAGTCTACTATATCTGCGTCGGCGCGATGCTCGTAGGATCGATCTGTCAGACTCGTCAAGTCGGCGATCAGCTCGACAAGGGAGACGAGGTCGGCTACTTCAAATTTGGCGGCTCGACGATCCTGTTGCTCTTCAAGGCGGGCGCTGTCAAGTTCGATGAAGACTTGCTTCTCAATTCCTCGCATGCTATAGAGACCCTCGTGCGTGTTGGAACGCGCATAGGCGAGCGCAGATAGACTCTCTAGAATGCATGCAATGGCTAAAGGATCACTTTGTGCGCTTGTACACTTTCGCGAGGAAAGCCCTGAAGACGTCTCGCTTGACACCACTGCTCTCATCAACGGCGTCTATGGCAGCATTGATCTGCTTGTACGATTGAGCCTCGTAGGACTCGAAGCGGGTAGCCAGATCGAGCTGAACGTAGATCTGCTTGACTTGCTGCTCTGCATCAGCGTCCTTTCTGCCGTAGTTTGCGTCGAGCACAGCGCGCTGTTCTGGCGAAGCAATGGCGAGTGCAGTGTTGATGAGCCAGCTGCATTTGTTGTCGAGAATGTCGGTGCCAATCTTGCCAATCTGCTCCGGTGTTCCATAGCAGTCGAGATAATCGTCTTGCACTTGGAAGTACTCGCCCATGGGTATCAGTATCGCCTTCGCCTTGTCGAAAGCTTGCGGCTCTGTGATACCTGCGAAATGGAAGGCGAGCGCGACGGGAAGGTAGAAGGAGTAGTACGCCGTCTTATAGACGACGATGAGATGGTGTTTCTCCAGACTGAACTTGGACAGATCGACAGAATCTTCGGGTGCTGTGATGAGATCTATGAGCTGACCGAGCTCAGTCTGGAGAGTGACATCGTGGAAGAGCTCTAGCAGGTCGACATAGTAGGGTTGTGACCGGAAGTGCTTCTTGAGCAAGTAGTAGATTGCTGCTTCGAGCATAAAGGCGTCATTGATTGCGATGTTGCCGACGCCTTCCTGCTCGCGAGCTGAAGGTCAGTACGAGGCTCACGAGATGAGCGAGTTGAGACGTACGACTTTGTACCAGCACGGTTGGCCTCGTCGCGTGATAGACTGATCCATCATATCGTCGGCGACGAGAAAGTAAGCTTGCAGCTGTGCTCGGGCCTTGATGAGCTTATCTGCACAGAGTCACAGAAGAGGTGCGTACGAGCTCGATGCACCATCCCAGGATAGCGGCTTGGATGTATTCGGTCTCCGAGAGGGGATGAGCCGCCAAAATCTCGACGGTGTCGACGACTGACATGCCGCGGTTGAGCTTGCCGCCTGGCGTGTTGTAGTCGAGATTCTGGCGCAGAGTGATGAGAACGGTCAAGCAAGAGGTTGCTCGCGGTGGGCTCACTCGTTTGAGCCAGGCTCGAGCTTCAGATGGCATCGTCTCTGACGCCATGTACTCGTCGAGTTCGTTCCTGATCAATGGCCAGACCGCTTCGAAGCGTTCCCGCTTGGCTTGCTTGCTGGCTGCCTTCTGCATCACGGCGTCTTCTTGTTCAACGGAGAGCGAGGTCATAGTCGGCAGAAGGGGGTGAGCTACGTCGCTCGAGGTGCGACGTGTGACGCCAAGCGTGTTCACTATCTGAGAAGAAGCGCGCGACTATCAAAATATCGAAAGGCGCCGCCCTCCACCCTTTTCAGTCTGTGCGCACGAGATGGGCTTCAGATCAGCGGCAGTCATGGTGGCATGCTCCTTCCTACTCGGTCTGCCCCCTCTCCTCTCGCCGCACGCTCTTCGGCCGAGCTGAGACGGGCAAACCAGGCACGCTCTTCATCTGCGCTATCGTCGACATCCCTGTCCTCTTTGGGCCTCAACCACCCACTCACGATAGTCTCGACAAGGCAGAACGGTTTTATTATGCCCTCTGGACGGGTCCGCTCGCTGTACGGACGCTCTTGCACGTCATGGTCAGCTGGGACCTGTCGGGTCAATAGTACGGGCTGATTAGAGCCCATGTAGATGGTTGTCATCACGGCTGCCATCTGCCTCAAGCTCGCCGATGGAACAGATAGCGCTCTCTACTTTGACGGCGGCTCTGTCTGTACGCGCAGACACTTACATCCGTAGCCGCAGCCGTTGACAGAGTACGCGAGACAGTGCTGCTGATCATGGGCATAGCGCTCTACACGACAGTGACGGTGCCCACGCTCGAGGCCATCTCCGAGTCCTTCGTGTCGCCCAAAAAGGCCTACCCACTCAATCCATCGTTGCTCTTCTCGTTCCAAAACATGATCAGCAAGACGCCTCTGTCAGCTGAGCAGATTGCCGGAATGACAACTGAACCGCTCACTGCCCTCGAGAGAGCCGAGAGCATCGGCGTACTCTGCGCGAGTAACGCGCTCTCTGTGCTCGCACTCGCGGGCATCTTGCTCTTGCAAAGCGGGCAATGGTACGCAGAGGCGTGGGAGAGGAACGCCCTCCTGGCCGAAGATAGGCGGCTCGCAGCTGTGGCAGAGGCCCGCCGGAAAGCGCAGTGAGACGCTAGTCATAGGTTGTAGCCAGCAATACATGTGATCAATGACAACAAGGCATATGACAGCAAGACAGAGAGACTGCTACTGACACAGAACCACACCACTGCGAAGAGGAACCCCTTACGTTCTACCTTTTGCGGCTGCACGAAATCGCCATTCGATGATGAGGTAGATGAGCGCATCCACAAATCCTTGCAAGAACACAAGCCATCGACTGGCTGCTTGCAAGTCAGAATTGCCTTGACCGTGATTGGCAAGATTGTTGATCAAGCGTCCCAGCGAGACCGAGAACAAGATGATATACTGCATCGCAACCCGGTCAGCTTATGCGACCGCAGCCTTGCGTAAGACTCACAGCAGCAGGATAGAGCAGCATGAGCATGCTCGCCCGCCTGTTCATCTCCTGCGCACTCATTCTCGGCTTCACATTGGCTTCGTCGACATCTTGCAGCACGCCCTTTGTGTTTTTGGTCGGCGCATTGAGCGCCTCGGAAAATGACATGCCTTTCATATCGTCCTCCTCTATCTTGTCATGATCGAGCGTAGGCGCAGAGGACCGCCTCCGTTCACGATCACCAAATTCGAGGATTTCTTGCGATGAGGGTATTGGCGGCGCCGCCATGACAGGCGAGAGACCGGCTTCTGCTAGTATTCTCGCAGGTATCGCAGATAGGGATCCGCGGCGAACTGAATCTGACATGCCTCGTGACATACTGTCGCTGCTAGGCAATGTACCCGTTCGATGCGACATGGGTATACTGCCTGGCGTATACTCCTTCAGCCCGGGCTCAGGAGACGATTCTATGACGCCTGCGCTGTGTACGGCATGCTTCGGACTGACGATGGGCGAGTCCGGTACTGCTTCGCTCGTCTCAAGAACGGCAGGCCCGGGCGTGAAGCTATACGTCGACCACCTCTGCCGCGATGCGAGATCGTGCTTGTCTCGCGCAGACATGGCAGAAGCAGTCTTCTCCATCGTGTGCTGAAACGCGGTCGATGTCGTTGGCGACGACCTGATGGACGCGCTGGTGGCGGAAGGTTCGACGAGTGTCGCGTCGCTGTCTTTGCTCTCCTTACGGACAGAAGAGGAGCTCCCTCTTCTGATCGAGGCAGAGATGTACCAATGCTGCAGACTGGCGAGCGACATCTTTCTGCTCCGTTCTGGCTTGAGATTGCCGTCCTCGTCAAAGTCGGGTATAGCGTCTAGGGACTGGCCAGCGGGCCCACTGTCGTACGAATGAACGGCGTGCGAGTCTTTACGTCGGAAGAATGCAAAGAGTTTCAGGTAAATGAGGATGACGATGATGAAAGTGACAGTGCGTGGTACGAAGAGGATGAGATCCTTGAACGGCCCCGCATTCTTGCCGTAGCTGCAGAAGCCGCCCAAGTCGGCAAAGCCGTAGACTGCTAATCCGACGCCGGACACGATAGCTGACAGGCCCCACATGAAGACATTGAGAACGATAACCCATCTGGTCTGCGTCATGCGTTGTGTAAAAACCGAGAGCGGGTGGGTCACGATGAGGTATGTCGCTGTAGCGATGCTGTTCTCGCGAGATCAGAGGTATGTGCGGTCGTGAAGCAGAGAGCGTACGCGATCAAGCAAAAGTCGTTGACAAGCGTTGCCGTTTGATACAAGAAACCGGCGGCATTGCAGCCAGGCGAGAAGGAGCTCAGCGGGTGGTCAACCCCTCTGGATGTTGTCGCGATAATCTAGCAGGCCCACGCGCGTAAGCCAAATGGCATCTAGGGTGGCGAGCAATGGCACGACATACGACGGCAGAATCCACAATGTCTGACAGTGCGAGACTCATGATGAGCCTTTGCCGAAGCCGAGCGCCAGAATCTCTGCCGGCGCTGATGAGATAGCAACCGGTCAGCATCCCAATTGCAGCGGCCAACGACTGTTCGATCGTTCCCACAAGCGATCAGCAGGCCGTCTTGGGGTATTATACGTGTGACTCACCACCGAGGAGATGACCAGGTCGACCGTGTAGACGCTCGCCAAGCCCAGGGCGATACCATCGTTTTGCGCAGTTGGGCTTGCAAGAACATACCCGATCGTCAAAGTGGGCGCCACAGGCGGTGTCGGGCTCTCCATGGCGGACGGACTGGTCTGTGTCATTTGCTTACTGCTCGTCCTTTGTGGCACACAACTGCATCAGATCTGATATAAACCAACTCCGATCCGTTCTAGTTCTAGCCAGTGGCTTCGAGCAAACAAGCCGGCAGCAAGCAAGCTCGCTCGCGCTTTCAAGATGGTCGACGCTGTCTGTTCGGATCACGCATCGACTGGTTGACCTCGCTGCTGCAGAGCGGCAGGCATTGTTGTTGGAGGTCTTCTCCCGTGGAGTGATCCGCAAAAGCGACCGCCAAGCTGATCCGCTCTTGCGCCAGACACGCGACGGTCGAATTCCGTTCCCGGCTGGCTGACAAGGAGTGCCTTGATTCGATCAAATCATGAAAAACCCTGGCAGATGAGCGTGGCTCAAAGGGATCGCCCGGCCCTACCAATCGCGATCCGCACGCTGACTCGGTGATCACGCTCAATTTTCTGCGATGCTCATGAACTGCGGCATCTCGCCGGCCAAATCAAGCAGAGCTCGGGTCGAAGCCTGGGCCTGATCTGCGTGAGCATACAGCTGCTGCACATATGTGACTGCAGGAAGGACTCTTCTGCCGGCCGGACAGCCACGCGGTTGACTGTCCCTCGTAATGAAGAGCGTCTAGGGTGCAAAGCTGGTGCAAATCCTCACTCACGTGGCAGTGCGCCCGACAGGTCTTGTGCTGTTGACTGCGCGCACGCTTGTCCCGGCGGAAGCTGCATAGATTGACATCATACAGGATCGATTGTCCGCCAACAAAGCAGCCGTAACAAGCGTATGCGTTGTTTTCACTGCTTCATGATCTTCATCGCCCTCGGAGCTCCGATCACTTCATATCGGCCAAGGCATCTCTGTCAGCATGTAGATCTACGATAGCTTATACGTCGAGAATTATCAGCTGCTTTTGCATTCTTGCAATATATCGCTTATGCCTATAAGTAAACAATCTCGCCCATGTCGACTGCTGCCATTATCCAGATTTTGGGACCGCGTCAATGCTTATGACCAGCAGCTCGGACTGCATCCATAGACCTGTCAAGGCAGCAGTATCCTCGCTGACCTCGAGTGCTGAGCGACTGGTACACAGCCTCATCTGAAGATACACAGGGAAGGTCATCAGTCTCCAGCATGGTAGCCAGAGTGCTTTGCAGGCCTGCCTGCCCGTGCGGCACTCGCGCAGCTCACGGCCTCTGTGGAGTCTACATAGCCTCGGCCATCTCTACAGATCAATGCACTGCATGCTCGACTGGGCCTATGTCTCAGTGAAGGAGACTCCGACGGTGTGTCAGCGTGAGGCCGTGAGCTGTGAGGAGCGCGCGTTTGGTCCGAATCGCCGAGCTCGCTGCTGAGCGGGCGTCATCGTAGCTTGAGCTGCACAAAGCCGACGATGCAGCAGCTGGGCAAGTCGACGCTGCGGACGTGCGTCTCTCGAGCTCTGTCTCCTTGCCAGCGCTGACCGGACCCGCTTTGCTTTGCTTCTACGCCCGCCACGATGATGCTGCACTGCGACGACACTTGGCAGAGTCAAGAACTATACCAAAGGCTACAGCGACTGCCAGACCAAAGTCAGAGATGCGACCTCCAACGGCAAGTCTGCTGCTCCATCGTTCACCTGTCCAGGCTCATCGCCTCGTTTGGCAGATCCCTGGGGGCCAAGCGGCGGGCAGATGAACGAGCTCGCCCAACTGACGTACAACCAGCAAGACTTTGTGGAGATCATGGAGATGCTCGACAAGCGACTGAACGACAAGGGCAAGAACTGGCGTCACGTCTTCAAGGCGCTCACCGTGCTCGACTATTGCCTCCACGGCGGATCAGAGAACGTCGTGCTCTACTTCAAGCAAGCCTGCCCCTTGAAACGCTCGACGTGCCTGCTGACAGCGCTGCGGCAGAGAGAATCTCTACATCATCAAGACACTGAAAGAGTTCCAATATATCGACGAGTATGGCAAAGATCAAGGCGCCAATGGTCAGTCAAGCGTGTCTAGAAGCGCCGACCGGGACTCATCAGATCCGCGCAGTCCGGCAAAAGGCCAAAGACATCACAGCACTACTGCAAGATGAAGCCAGGCTGAAGGATGCGCGCAAGTCGAGGGCGCACATGAGAGACAGGATGACAGGCACGCCCTCGCGCGACGACAGATATTCGCCCCCTCCGCGATCGCGCTCGACACCCGCCGTCTCCTCGAGCGGCATGAGCAAGGAAGAGCGTGACCTTCAACGAGCTATCGAGGAATCCAAGAGGAGTCAGGACGATGACGAGACTCGCGCAAGGCGACAGCGAAAGGATGACGAGCAGTTGGCCGAAGCCATGAGACTGTCCCGTGAAGAAGATGAACGAGCGAGGAGGGAAGCAGAGCTCAAGAATCAGAACGCTCTCTTTGACGATGGCTTCCAATCGTGCGTTCACAAGAGGCCATCCTGAGCAACGCACTCATTGTGGTGATTCGCAGTGATGGGCCTAACGCATACCAAAACCAACTCGTCGACCTCAACTTTGGTCAGCCGCAACAGCAGCTACAGCCCCAGTACACGAGCTTCAATCCTTATGCCCAATACCAGCAAGATGCCGCGCAGCTGCAAGCGCAACAGCAATATGAGTATCAGCAGCGCATGGAAGAGCAAGCGCGCTTTGCCCAGATGCAGCAACAGCAGGCATACATGCAGCAGCAGGCATATCTGGCTCAGCAGCAGCCTCTCGTGCCGCAGCAGACTGCTATCGGCTCCAACAATCCCTTTGCGGCATTCGGCAATACGCCCGAACCAGCCACGACACCAGAACCACCAAGGCAACAGGTTCAGCCTGCGATACCCCAGCAAGACTTCTTCCGGTCTAGCTCACAACCCATCATGCCCACACAAGCTGCCAAATCCATCAGAGCTGCCACGCGCAACGATGGGCAGCATGACAAGCTCAACAATCTGCTCGCGATGGGTCAAGGCATTGATACATTTGGCAATGAGGGCAACATGCGACTTGGTCAATGGGCAAACAAGAGCGTGCCGTACGTCTCAACATGCTATGCATATTGTTCACGCTAATTGCTGGCTGGACACGTCTCCAGTGCTGCTACGTTGACTCAGACGAGGACAGGACCAGCATCCAGCAATGCGAACGCAGCCTTTGCTTCGTCTTTTGGTCCTCAACCGACGGGCAACGGCAATCCTTTTGGTCAGTCAAATGGTTCAAGTGCCTACAATGGCAACTCCAACGCATTCAGCGGATTCGATAATAGCTTCGGCCAGCCGGCGCAAGCACAACAGCAGCCGAAACAGAACCCATTCTTTGATCTCTGAGACGTCCATGTATACTAGCACGATTTGCATCTCATTGTCTAGCCTTACAATCACTCTCTATTGTCGGCGAATGATGCCCGGCAAGAGGAGCTGTGCTCGCTCGATGGCTGACGTGAGCATCGATCGGCCGACTGGCGAGGCGTATTTTGCAAGACGTGGCCCAAGAGATTCCTTCAAGAGCGCGTTGACGACTTGTGGCGTATAAGTCCGCGTGCGTTCGTCCTGCAAGCTATCAGTAACATTCGCAAAGGGTCTCGATAGACATACCTGAGGATCAATGACACGCAGTGCACTGATGATCCAAGCAAGCTTCTTCTGATCTGGTCCATCTAGCGTGGCGGCATCTGCCTTGCCCAGCCGGTGCAGTAACGTCAAAACGACGGGACTCGAGAGCTCCCGCGCTTTGATCACAGCAAGCGCAAGAGGTAAGTCAGAGTGCTCGACGAATTGCGCAAGCTGATCGGCGTCTTGAGAAGAGAGCACACTGAGGACTTGATCCTCGTAGAAGCTCGGCACGCCCTCGATCGATTGGTCAGGCTGGAGTCCGAGTCCTGACCCGTTGGCTATAATGGCAGGCGATTTGGACGCAACGGATATGCTAGCCCTCGATTGAGCAGCTGCCAGGTCGCCGATCTGAGCCTGTATGGCCTTGTATGCTGAGGTGGTCTCGATCATGTGTTTCTCCACTTCCACGGCTGATGTCTGCTGTGTTTTGCTGACGATCGCATCAAGCTTGGCAAGCTGCTGATCCATTTGAAGTACGAGAGCTTCTTGCAAGACGGCCAAAGTAGCAGGCAGGCTCTTTGTTATGGTAGCCTGAGTAGCACTCTTTACAGTTTCATCGAAAGCCGCGCGTTGTTCGGCGTTCTTTGAATTTGAGTCTTCGAGAAGCGCCGAAAGGTGCGTCTGTAGACGCTCGCTCGTTTGCGAGACAACGAGATCGACCATGGTCTGCGTAGCTTGCTGTACTGCCTCTGCCAGATCGAGCTTAGCCAAGCTCTGGCTGACCAGCTCAAGAATTTCGATTTGACGCTCCTTCTCGCCTTCTTCGCGACTGAGCATGTAGGCTTGAAGTTCTTTGCGCTGTGCAGTGGCTTCGTCTGTCATGCGCTTGCTGAGACGGGCCTCCAGCTCGGCAAGATCAGCAGCACGAAGCGCTTTTGCGGTCTCCGCAATCGGCTGCGCGGCCTTGCTCGACACTTTCGGAGCAACGGACCTGTTCGGCGTTGCAACAGGAACCGTGTCCCCTCCCTTTGACGCTCCTACTGCCGGTGCAGGCTTTGGTTGCGCGGTCTCGCCCTCGCTACCAGTCTGTGCTTTGTCTTTGCCCTTTGTTTTTGCAGGCGTAGCCTGCTTGGATTTTGCAGCAGTCTCACTGGGCAGCGCAACGGCTGGTGTTACCAGATCAGGCTTGATATCTTTCTCGGGCAGCTTCTCTGCGGGAAGCGCTGTGGACCGAGCCTTCTTTGTGGGAGGGCGATCGGGCAGCGGCACACTCACGACAGCTTGTGGCACAGGTGATGGTGCTTTTGCTGGCGTGCTCGCTACAGCAGGAGCGGGTGGCGGTCCCGACAAAGCAGGCTCGTCGACCTTAATAGCTTTGCTCGCGACAGGAGCCGCTGTAGCCTTTTGCTCAACACTAGCAGTCACTGAAGCTTTGTGCGTAATTGTCTCTGCCTCTCTGAGAGCTTCTCGGGGTATCTTTATCTTGTTGATGCCCTTGCTGTGAAGGACGTAGGTTGTCCACACGGAACTGTCTTCGTGCATGTCGACGACGATGTCCCATGCATCGGCTATGGACGTCTCGATGTTCGTAATACAGTAGCTGTCCGCTTCAGCCGATGCGATGTACGATATTGTGCCCGTGGAAGTTATAGTAAAAGCAGCATCGCGTTTCAATGTCTGTGCCAGGCCGACGATGCGCTCCGTCATGTCGAAGCGAGAGACTGCCCGTTTTCTCCGCTTCGTCTGACAGTCAGATCCTGCTTTGCTGGCCAGAGGGAGGATGGAGATCGAAGATTCTGTCCCGGCGACAAGAGAGAAGCCGCCGGGAGCGAGCTGATCGGCGAGGAGGCCAACAGACAGCAGGTCGTGAGGAAGGGCTCCTATATCGAGAAGCTCGGACGGATACACGGGCGTCTGTTCGACGTCATAGAGACTGCCAGATCCATTGGAGCCTAGCAATACTAGCGACTTGCCGTCAAGAGACCACTGCGCGTCGTCAAAGTGCTACCCGATTGATCAGCTCGCTGTACGCTCTCAATCCGTACGGAGCGTACTTGTTCGCGTATGTGAGGAATTGTGGCACCCGGTACATTGGAGGGTGAGATCAAGTCGAGCTGGCCTGACTTTGCCTGATCCATGCTGAGCGTGAAGACGTCGGACAATTCGCGCTGATTGCTACTCGCGAGCAACGAGAGCTTGCGCGTTGCTGGATCCGGATTGAAGCGTAGCGCTCGCACTGTGGCACCAGATGGGGCGGTTTGGCTGGTATGTCGCGATTCGAGCTCGACTCTGTCACGATCGGTCAGTGACGGCCAGGGTCAGACAAACGCTGAAGACTTACTTGCTGTCTGGGCCAAGTCGCTCATCGATTCGCCAGACCATGACCGTGCCTTCATGATCGACAGCAGCGATGAGTCGCTTGCCGCTGACGCTACCTGGACTGATGTGCAGATCGATGATCGGGCTCGAGAGGCCCTGAAGGAGCAATCGAGCACCCGTGTCGGTATCGACGACACGGATACGACCGAGGGGAGTGGCGTATGCAACGAAGCCGTGTGCTGCCAGTCTCTTGCCCGGGCTCCGGTGAGCAGGCGTGAACAGGCTGATCGGCGTAGTCTCGACCTTGCTCATATCTTTCAGCGTTGCCGTCCTGATTGGCACTGCAGGCAGAGGTCCAAAGGCTTCACTCTTGCTTGGGCTGGACGCTGCACTCGCGCTCGGTTGCGCAGATGTAGCTCGTTGCTTCCGACTTGCAGGAGATCGCTCTGGTGTCATCATTCGCGCAGGCACGGGGCTCTCGCTCTTTGTGGCGGGCGAGCTGAGAGCCCTACCGGGTAGCATAGCATCGAAAGGTGATCTGAAGGCAAACGGTGTAGTCTTCATGGACGGCTCTGGCGGTGGAGGCGTTGTAGTACGCTCGATGGTCGGTCTGACATCGATTGGCGCGTCTGTCTCTTCCTGCTTGACGGCAGGACTGCTGGACAAGGGCGTTCGCAAGCTACTGCTCGTACCGCTGAGGATGGCGAGGAGATCTGCCTCTCGACCTGCCGGTCTGGGGGCTGGAGTTTCGGCAGGGAGGACTGGGGCACTCGCTTTTGGCTCACTCGTGGCAGGCGAATAGCCGTTTGTCAAATTTGTCAAACTGTCGCTGTCGAGTTGGAGCGTCTTGAGGAGATCGAATGCGGACATGGTGGGGCGACAGTCAGCTCAGGAGAGCTCGATCCCTTTGAGCTGGCCAGGCTTGAAATGTCACAGCTTCACGCTCCAAACTTGACGGGTGAATTCAAATTTTTCGCGTCGAGCCACCAGCCGGACAGCGGTGTGTCACAAGCAGTAGCCAAGGATTTGCCTGCCTTCCAAGTGCTCCTGCACGACCAGACAGAGCACGACAACGGACCGGCTGAGTGTAGAGTAAGGACCGCTCGCTCAGCAAGCGCAGACGGAGGAGTAGCCTCGTTGCAAGGGCTGCTCTCCTCTCACGCATCATGCCAGTCTATTCGAGGCCAGAGACGGCCCTGCGTGTGAGTTCAGCTTGCTCTCCTGTCGCTCGGCGCTGTGTAGCTGACTGCGCCTTGTCCCGCCTCACAGCGCGCAGAAGAGCTCATCTCCGTCGGCCAACCGTCAGCGGCCTTGTCCACCTTGACAGAGATGATTGGCAGCAAAAGGTTCAGGCAGACCCCTCTTGCCTCCCTGGAGCCCATCATGGTCAAGTTCCTCGACCTCTGTGTCCAGCTCAAGAAGGGTCGCACCGCCAAGGAAGGCCTGCACACCTACAAGAACGTCGCCCAGAACACGTCGGTAGGCTCCGTCGAGGTCGTGATGAACCGCTTCATCGAACGCTCGAAGGCCAAGCTGCAAGAGGCGCTCGACAAGGTCGACGAGCTAGAAGGTCCTGCGCCAGAGAACGCTGCGCCTGCGAGCGAGCAGACCGGCAAAAGCCAGACGACCGCGACCGCTCACGCAGAGCCAGGCACCGTCAAAGCTGCCATCTCGGAGGATGTAGAGGATCTCGAAGCATCCGAGACGCCCGAGGGACTCCTCCTCAGCGCAGTCAGCGAGGAGAGCTCTCGCGACCGCACCTACCGAACCCTCGTCACCCCCTGGCTAAGATTCCTCTGGGAGGCCTACCGCACCTCGCTCGACATCCTCAGGAACAATGCCCGTCTCGAAGTCGGCTATCAGGCAAGTCTCGATAGCCGCGTCCTGCATATGTGCCTGGCCTGACATGATACCGCAGAATATCGCGTCAGAGGCCTACAAGTTCTGCCTACAGCACGGACGAAAGACCGAGTTTCGTAGGTTGTGCGACAACATCAAGAACCATCTCGCGACCTCGCAATCACCGAAGGCGCAGGCTCAAAACAACTCGATCAACCTCAATGAAGCAGAGACTCTGACGCGCTTTTTCGAGACTCGCTTCCAGCAACTTGGCGCCGCCGTTGAGCTCGAGCTCTGGCAAGAAGCTTTCCGAACGGCCGAGGAGATCCACAAGCTCATTGCTATGAGCAAGCGCGCACCGAAAGCTCATATGATGGCTACCTTCTACGACCGTATGGTCAAAGTCTTTGGCGTCGGCGAAAACTATCTCTTCCATGCTGCGGCCTATGGCAAATTGTACTCGATTTACCAGGCGCCCAAGTCAGAAGACGAAGCGACTGCTGCCGCTTCTGCCGAATCGCTCGCAAGTCTCGTCCTACTCAGCGCGCTCGCCGTGCCCATCAGTGGCGGTCTTGCGGCTGCAAGGCGCAAAGATCTCGGTTCAGAGGACGGAGAAGCGGCACGAGGCAAAGTGCTCCAGCTTGTCAATCTTCTCGGACTCAGCGTTGCGCCCGCTCGCGCCACTCTGATCAGAGACGCTCTTGCTCGTGGTGCACTCAAGCGAGCCTCGTCCGAGATCCAAGAACTCTATGCAATCCTCGAGACAGACTTCCAACCCCTGCTCATCACGCGCAAGATCGGGCCTCTTCTCGCAAAGCTCGCTGCCAACCCGGATTATACGCGCTACGTCGACCCGCTCAAAGAAGTCGTCCTCGCTCGACTCTTCCAGCAGCTCGCTCAGGTCTACGATACCATCAAGCTATCTCGCGCCGTCAAGCTTGCTTCTTTCGCAAAGGATGAAGATGCGGCACTGGTCAGCTTGCGATTGGAGCGCTTTGTCACCGCTGCTTGTCGCAGAGGCGAACTTGACGTCACGCTCGATCACTCATCCGGTCTCATCAAGTTCGATCAAGATCTCTTCGGTTCCTTCGCAGGCAACGAGGCTGCTTCGCTCAAGTCGCACAGCCTTGATGTCTTGCAGCCGATGCCGTCCATTTTGCTTCGAACGAACCTGAGCAGACTCGCTCAGGGTCTCTATGCTACGCTGGATCACGTCGCTCCTGCCGAGTCGAGCCTGACTCATGCCGTTGCCCGACGCGAAGCTGCATTGGCGGCATTAGCTCAACAGGTCCCCCTTGAGCGTCAAGCTTATCTCGACAGACAGCGCGTCATTGCCCGTCGCAAAGAGCTTCATTCCGAGAACGAGGCTCGCAAGAAGGAGGAAGAGCAACATCAGCGAGCGATCCGTACGCAGCTTCAGGCAGACGAAGCACAACGAAGAGAGCGAGAAGATCTACAGAAGCGCGAGCTCGAGAAGCTGCGTAAATTGCAAGAGCAAAACAGACTTGAGGAAGTCAAGAAGCTCGCTGAGAGCATGGCCGGTCGTCCCGGTCTCAAGGTCGATCTGACCAACCTCGAAAGCCTCGACAAAGATCGTCTGCTGCAAATGTCAGTCCAGCAGATCGAGAAGGACAAAAAGGAGATGGCCGAGAAGCTCAGAATCGTCGCGAAACGTATGGATCATATCGAACGCGCTTACCGACAGGAAGAGCAGCCGCTGCTGTCTCAAGATTACGAGAGACAACAAACGAGAGATCGAGAGGCGCACGAATACGCGCGCACCATGCTCATCGCTAACTTGAAATCCAGCCATACGCAAGATCTCGCTCTGAATAAACGCTTGCGAACTGTGCTGTCCGACTATGAAAGCTTCAAAACTAACGCGGAGAAAGATAGTCGCGAGCAGCATGAAAAGAAGCTTGCCGACGCCAAGATTAAGATCGATAAAGAGAAGGCGAAGAGGCGCGCAACCGTCTTGGCAGCACGCGCTGCAGAACAAGCCGAGCGCGAGCGCAAGGAGCGCGAGGCCCGCGAACAAGAAGAACGCGAAGAGGCCGAACGTCTCGGCATGTCTCCGTTCCTAGATCTTGCCCTGAATGCGCTGACGAAACATATTGCAGAGAAAGAACGCCTTGCGGCAGAGAAAGAAGCTGCAGCCGAGGCAGAACGCAAGAAGGTTGCGGACGAAAAGGCGAAGCTGGACGCAGAGATTGCTTTGCGCAAGGCAGAACGGGAGGAGCAACGAGCAAAGGACGCTGCACTGCTCAAGCAGAGGCAGCAGCGCGAGGAAGAGGCCGAGAGACGGCGACTCGAAAAGAACAAACCCAGCTCAGGACAGCGTCAGTTCCGCCTCGCTCCTTTTTCAAACGAGCTGACACTCCCTTCTGCAGCCATGCGCATCGCCTCTCGTACGGAATCGCCAGCAGGTGGCGAGGGAGCAGCGTGGCGAAGCGCATCTGCTACTGGTGGCCCACCCGCTCGCAGCTTCACCCCACCTGTTCGCAGCCAGGCGTCGACGCCCAGCACGAGCGCTGGCGGCCGACCCCGCATCGTGCTCGCTCCTCGAACCGTCTCGAGTAGCGATACACCCAAGCCTACAGTCAATGGCAATGCTCCGGCTAAACCAGCGACTGGCACAGATGCTCCTCGACAGGCTTACAGACCTCCAGGTGCTCGCTGAACTCTTGTAGAAGCATATTGCATTGCAGTCCATTGTCAAGCTCCTACTCCTGCATGGATGAGCGTTCGCCTACCCTGGTCCAGACGGACGTTTCCATCGCGTCCACAAAGCGGACCTGACTCGCTGACAGAGGCGATGGGCCGACGGAGCTCTGCGGTGTCGCAGTAGGTAGGCCGCCGTCTTGACTACGCATCGCAGCATCAAGATCGAGCGTGAGCCGAGGCGTCCGACGCGGTGAATCTGGGTTGTCACTGTTGATAATCTGTATCGCTGGTACCTCTGCAGCAAGCTGCAAAGCACGCGCTCGCCTGGAAGCCAGAAGGCGACGTCGCCAGTAGACGGATCGTAGCATTCCTTTGATACGCTCTAACTGAACGAGATCATCGATATGAGCGCGCACGGCCTTTCGTTCGATCAGCTCGTCGATTCTGTGCTAGTCTGAGACACTGTATCACACAGGACATAGACCAGCGGCTTACTGCAGTGCATCGTTTTCGACGATGAGGGTGTGCTGAGCGAGGAGCAGCAACATTCTGTTGAAAGCGACACCCTTCGGAGACTCTTGTAGCGTGATGGCTTCCATGAAGATGCGATTGTAAGTCTTCCGTCGCGCGACTACACGCTGGACATCCATGGCTTCGAGAAGGTGCCACATTTTGCTCGTATCGATGTCGCCCTGCCGACTATCTGCGGCCCGTGCGCCGTCTCGGAGAGCATGAACTCGATACTGTGGCTCATATACTGCTAGATCGAACACGTCTGACAATCGTGAGAACAGCGCAGCGAACTTGCTGGGCGGCAGAAAGCCTGTTCTGCCTTTGTCGAGTTCGGACCAGGCCTTTTTGAACTTGCGCATCGCTTCCCGGTTTATCGCTTTCGAAGCTTCTCCGCGTAGCCGGAAAACATAAGAGAAGTTATCGACGACAGCGGCCACAAAGAGCGCCTGGAAGAGGTACATCGAGATGATGTTCCATGAGATGAAGAGAATGTATGACCAAGCTGGGCTGCCACAGTCATTGAACAGGTAATTGCTCGAAGACGTGCAGTATGGTGCATGGACCGTGTAGTCGTGCATAAAGGTGTTCCATCTGCATGCATCTTAGCTATCTGGCGGTATGAAGGGTCTGCTTACCCTTCACCAGTACTCGCGATGGCCAGCATCAAGAGTGCTTTGGGGAAGCTCGAATAATTCTGGTTCCAAGTCTCGGAGGTCGACCAGATCGTCAGAGAGAAGATCTCCAGGTAAGCCAGACTCCAGACCAAAAAGAGGACGAGCCAGAGGCCGAGCAAGTTGACAATCGCCGGCAGGCTAGCTGCCGCTGTCTTGAAGAGCTGGTTGAGATGATCATTTTTCGCAACAAGCTTCAGAGCAACAAGCACAAGGAACAGCTTCTGAGCTTGGAGCGTTGCCTCGTTCGCGGTGTTGAGCAAGACTGGGAACGTAGTGCCAAACAGTCCGCAGACACACAGGAGATCGTAGGTCGACCAATGATTTCTAAACATGACGAGACCGATGCCGACTAATCGCACGACGATATCGGCGAGGTAGAAGAACGTAAGCGAGACGAAGATCAGATCGCGCGACATGACCAGCCAGGTGGGATTACCGTACCCCTGAGTGAGCAGCAGGCATATGTGCGCAATGTACAGTGTAGTCATAAAGCGAGACCAATAGCCATGCTTTTGTGTCGCTCGATCGTAGCACCAAGAACCGAATGGCGTCGATGGACGCTGCTTCGGACGTCGCGAGGGCGCCTGTCGCATTAGTAGCTTCCGCAAGTCAATCCATCGCCTCTGTTCGCTTGTCAAGAAACTCGCCCCAGACCGATCGGCGTAATTTTGAATGATGACGGTGACGAAGAGGGTCAGGACGAAGACTGCTCCCAGCAGGTTGTAGATGACCATGAAGATGCCAGCGGCTTGCGAAGCATTGGGCTGAGGCTGTAGTCCGCGTCCTGTGATTGCCATGAGTGACTCTTGTACGTTGATCCAGCCTTCTTGCGAGACAACCTCGAAGAGTATCAGCAAGCTTGATTGAAAGTTGTCGAAGTTCCACTGAGGATTAGTCCAGGCCCGTGAGGCGCGATAGGTGTAGCCACCTACAGTGCTGGCGTCGTACTCGCCAACACATTGCTCTCGTGTTGCGACGCTCGGGTCATTACACGAGTAAAGCTGCCCAGCAAATATATTCAGGGCCCAAACGGAAAATGGCACCATGTAGAGCAGTGCCAGCAGGGACGCATCGAGAATCCTGCCTATACCGGTTATGAGGACATCGACGAGGGTCTGCCGCATCGTCTGCGAGAAGTTTATAAGACGGAGTGCACGAAATGCCTTGAGCGAACGTGTGAATTTATTGCTAGCGGCGCCGCCGCTGAGCGTGGTAGAGACGTTGACGATCAAGGTCAGAAGCACAAAGCAGTCGATACGGTTGCCAATGCTGCGGAAATACGCATTTGGCGTGAAGACCAAGCCATCGGCGACGATCTTGACCAAAAATTCGACAAAGAAGATGAGACCGAGCCCAATCTCTATGCGATCAAACCAAGCGAGTCGCATCGTGCCATGCGTGACGAAGTATTGCCGGCGAAAGACGGGACTGGCGACCGCACCGATAGCGATAGAGCCAACGATGGCTGCGAAGACAATGCTGTCGAAAATGAAGCGTAGCCTCGATTTTGCAGGCCGCCCTCGTAGACGGCTGCCATACGGGGAAGCCACGATTGCTTGGCATCTACGCCTAATGTAATTGTCATGTTGGAACAGGCACAGCGAGCGATCATAGGTGGGATATGCTTCGATCATCCGTGCTGCTAAGAAGTCCTCGTCTGCATGCTGAACTTGGGGTCCTTCGCTGTAGCCCGGCCGTAGCGACGATAGGACAGCGAGCTGACGATGGACTTCTACTTCGTCGAGCGCATCCTCCTCTGTGCCGATGCCGAGGCCGCCATAAAAGGTTGAGGCTCGGCTCTTCCGCCCGTGCTCCCCCGGACTGCTGGGCGAATCACCATCATACGGCAGCGTAGAATGATCGCCTTTGTTACTCAGCATCTTCAGTGCAAAGAGAGACGCACGATTTTCGCCCGACATATGGCTGAGGCTGTCGGCCGGTCGATGGTAGGGATGGAATCGACGAAACCAGCTGTTGTCGAGCGTGTGAGTCGTTCCGCGCTCGAGGAACGCTTCCGTCTGTCGACGAAGCTTCTCGTCTTCTGGCACGTCAAAGCCTTCTTGGATGACGGCAATGAACATTTGTAGAACGATCATGTTGGACACGAAGAACCAGCCGGCCAGCAAGACTGAGGCCAGGATGGCCTGTCGATGAACCGCGGTCGCAGCGTTCGCAGCGTTCAAGACATCCGTCCAATTCTCGGATGAGAAGATCTGATATATCGACAAGAAGCCGTTGTACAGTTGAAAGAATGTGTGTTCGATATCGTTGCCGTTCTCATCTTGAGCAGGGATGACGCCGCGGAGCATCTCGGTCGCCACAAGAGCTGCCAGGCCATTGATGAGCATAAGGAATAAGATCATATTGAAAAGGGCTGAGCTGCTCGCTGCAACTTTGACCTGTCCCTTCGCTCAGCCAAGAATTCTTGTCAGACGGAGTGCGTACTAGCAGTGCGCGCAACCGGGGCAGAGCGAGGACTACTCGATAGAAACGCATGAGCTGAAAGCACGAAAGCCAGCCATACACCTGTCTGTGATTGTGCACAAAGGGCAGTTGAATGAAGCTTGTCACGATCGCTAAGAAGCAGTCGAATCGATTTTGGCCACTCTGCCAGAAAGTCCGCCAATCTGGAAATGAGGCAGACAATCTCAAGAAGATCTCGACGTCGAATGCGATGGTCATGCAAAGCTCTGCCCAGTCAAGAATGCACAGCTTCTGCGGACTGCTATCGTCCGTCTTGAGGGCCTGGAAGCAGAGATCGAGTAAGACGAGCCCGATCCAGAAAAACCGGGTTTTGTTCCACAGTGTACTTAAGCGAGTGCTTGTAGCTGGTCGCTCGGCCGTAGGGGTGTTACTGATTTCTGCAGAAGACGTTTTGTCGGCAAAAGCAGATTGATTATGGTCCCTGATGGTGCCAAAGGTGTTGGTGATGACAGCTACGAGTAAGTTGATGAGCCAGAAGTTGCACAGTATAATATTGGCCAAGCTCCATAGGCAGGAGATAAAGAAGTCTGCGTCCATCATTTCGTACATGACGCTGCTCCATGTGTTGGCAGACGCAACGACAAAGGTCTGCAGCAACCCTGGCACGAAAAAGTCGAAACTTTGTGTTCCATTGAACGGATTGCCGGTCTCCATGCAGAGCTGACCGACTGGACAGATGAACCCTTTGGCGTTGGGCGTGATGTATGTCGAGACTGTCGAGATGTAAGGCAGCGTTTGTCCGTTCGTCGTGATATAGCCTCCGCAATGCTGACCGAGCGTGATATTGCTGAGACCTAGCGGATCCACGAAGAGACAAGATCGCTTGAAGCTCCCTTGGAAGGCTTGCGTACCTACAATGGCGAAGATGAGCAGAGCGAAAGCCACGAAAAGAGCAACGTTGGCAAGCATCGGGCCTGCAACCTTGAGGGAATGCAGGATGATTGACGTGCCAGACGTGATGGCCAACAATCGACTGGCCCGCAGGACTGACACTGCACGGAACACATACAAATCGTCGCGCTGCTCGATACCAACGCTGGCCAATATGAACGATAACCAGAAGCAAGAGACGGCGACGAAATCGATCCGATTCCAAGAGTGTCGCAGATAGGCTGTCGAGACATTCTGGTGCTGCTTTTGTATTGCTTCTTGGAATGGTCTGCTACGCCAGGGCATCGAAGGGGGCGGATAGCTGCCGAGATCGAACGGCGCAGCAGAGTCTAGTGCTGTCGCAGGGGAGTAGGCATTGCTTCTGGGCGCCTTTGAATCCAGAAAAGACTCGACTGTCTCAGTCTTGTGTTTGTACATGGCGCGCGGCGGCGACCACTGGAGTGACTCTGTCGGTCTCGCTCGACTTTGCGCACGGTCATCGATGCGATTGCTGATCAAGCCAGACACGATTATGCGGGACGCGATTTCAAGGCTGGACAACGACATCGTCAGCTGATAGCGAGCAGATGGAGATCGACGCACGTGAAGATGCACATGACACTGAAGCGCGCATAGTCTGTCCAGTCCTGGAAGTAACCTGCTCTTGTTGGCCTGGGGTAATCATAGACGCTTCGAGAATTCTGAATGACCGCAAACACAGTGTCTGCCACGATGAGCAGCAGTATGATCGGCTGCGCGCATATCAGCGTAGCCCGACAAGCGCGCATTCCCCTTACCTCTGTCCATGGCAGCTTGAGTACTCTGAACGCTGCTCGGCGTATGATGTTCTCTGGCCCAAAGACGAGCAGCGTATTGCCTTTGAGCGGCGAATTTAGCTTGTATGTGTAGCTGAGTGTCACGACGGGCGTCTCGAAGCCGGACGTATCGAGACTGTCATCATGATCGGCCAATCTCTGAGCGTGGCGGGAAGCCTCGACGACATCGCGCCCAGCAACGTTGACGACGCGCACAGAAGCTTTGCGTAAGGTCTGAGCGGCCGAGCTCAGCAGTGTCTTTCTTCTCGACAGTCCGTCATGCTGTGAGGCTGTCAGACGCCGCTGCAGACCGCGTCCGAGGGGACGAGATCGCTCTATGCGAGCGCCTTTTTCGAGGCCGTTGGTATACAAATCAAATTGATCTTCGTCTAGTCTATCGTTGAATGCGTCATGATACGTTGTCGATGTTTCGTAAGCTGCTATGTCGTTAGAATCATCATGCTCTGGGTCGTAAAATTGGTCGGTGCTCTCAGTCGTGAGATTGGACCATGAGGGCTGCGCCGTGAGCCGGGGTTCGCGATCGTGGAAAGTAGGCGTGGCAAGCTGAAGTACAGTCGAACCTATGTCTCCCCCAGCGGATGAAGCGACGCTGGCGCTGAGGCGATGGCCTCTTGCAGTCGTCGTGCCAAACGCGTCCTCACTTTGCGAGAGCTGCGCAACCCCGCGAGGAGGCGAGCGCGGCGAAGCAGACAATGTACGACGCTTCAGACCAAATGTATCATCCGTAGGCGTGTTGCTGCTAGCAGACAGACTCGAGCTGAGTGAATGTGACGCAGCATGGGCCTTATGCAGGTTGCTCGTCGAGATTGTCAAAGATTGAGCGCCATGCCGCACTGCCGGATCGGCCGAACTGCCTCTCGCCCGCTCGTCACCGTACAGCAGATCTTGTGCGGTCTTCATCGTCGTTCATGGGCGCCAAGCTGTGCAGCTGGCAACCAAATTCGCCCAAACGCTGCAAGACGCGACAAGATCAGCGGAAAGATCAGCCAGCGATCAGCGATATCAGCGCTCAGCCTCGTCGGACGCTCAATAGGGCTCGTCAGCATGACCGTCACACTGCCCATCGATGTCCTCGGCGAGATCTTTATCGGGTTTTGCGCTTCCGCGTTCAGCCTGCCAGATGAGGAGCTGCTCGATGAGGGCGATGCCGGCGCACGCACACTGGCGAAATGTATGCTTGTCTGCAAGGCGTGGCAACAGGAGATCTCACGCAGCGTCTATTGGCGTATGCTGCTGCAGGGTCTCTTTCCGCGAGCCTATGGAGATCTGATTGACCAAGCGATCGACCTTGACACGCAAGCCGAAGCCGAATTCAAGCGGCTTATGCGCCTGAGATCCGAGACCGACCTCTGCATCGATGCAGTCACAGCTTCGGGTACACTCCGAATAGACGCCATAAAGACGCTCCACCGTCTCCAGAGCGCTCGAACGAAGGATGAGATTATGTACGCGTGTCTGCAGCACAAATCGGTCACCGTCTCAGAGGAGAGGCGGAACCGGCCTGTCTTTCGTAGAATGGGCCAGAACTGGTTGTCACGCCGCTACTGGCTCGACCAAATCGTGTGCCATCTTGCTCGCCAGCGGGTCTTTGACGTATGGCAAAAGCTCAGCCAGGGTGGTGGCGATCTCATCGAAAGCGTCGCTGGCCTATCTTGCATGCTCGAGCCCGACTGCAAGTATCTCATGTCGACGTCGTTGCAGTCCTTGAATGATCTTGCGGCAGCGCTGATCACCTGGCCGACTTTTGATCGAGGCTCACCGGTTGATGCTCAGATTGTCGCTATACATGAAGTCATGGTCCAACATGGCTATGGTCCGGCAGCGCCGGAGCACTACCATGATCTGACCAATCACTTCCTTGGCCACATCGCAGATAATAAGAAGACACTGCCAATGACACTCGTTCTCATCTTTGTCCACCTCGCGAGATCGATCGGTCTTTCCGCTTTCCCCGTGGGATATCCCGGTCACATGCTAGCTGTCGTTTTCGATGGTTCAAGTCGACACTATGTCGATCCGTTTCAGGGCACTCGCCAGCTGACAATCCCATCGCAAACTCTCATAGACCGCCTACGCGCCATGGGTGCAAGCGCAAACGATGTCAATGGTCTCATCGCCCCATCGGATCCCGTGGACATTTTGATGCGCATCTGTCGCAATATCAGAGTGTCTATTCGACAAGCTCCCGAAGCAAGTCGTCAGCCCTCTGCAATCTACATCAGCTGGTGCATCGAAGCTTTTCTCAGCACCAACGGCGTCGCTTACCTACTCTCGGAGCGAAGCGTAGGCTTTCTTGCCGAGCGTTGGCCGCTCGATCTATACTCTCTGAACCGGTTCGCACTCACTGCGCCCCCGTATCGTCGAGCGGAAGCCCAAGCTCAGACGTCGAGGCTCGAGGCTGCCCTGCTCGAAACGTCTACGCCTTTGCGCCGTACCGCGGGCTCACCTGCGTACACTATAGGCACAGTCTTCAGGCACAAGAAGTACGGCTATACAGGCGTCATCATCTCTTGGGACCTCACCTGTCAAGCACCTGACCGTTCGTTCTTTCGCTACACCACGCGCAACGTGCTGACTCCAGCGATACAGAGTGGCAAGCGCAGATGCAGATCCATCGTCTACCACGAGGAGCCGATCAGCCATTTTACCAGGTGCTCGACGACATGGGCCCTTTGGATCAAGATGGCAGTGCGAATCGACATCGATACGTGGCCGAAGAGAACATCGAGCCACTACTAGTAGAGGATACCGCAGCAGTTCACAGACTTCTTGGTACTCATCGTGAATTGGGCAAGATATTCGACAGCATCGATCTCGAACATGGTGTGACCCGTCTGGTTCCTGCGTACGATACACTGCGAGACAGACCCGATGATGGCTCTGCCTTTCCTGGCCTCATCATAAATGACAATGCACTCGTTACACTCAATACGCGACTACGAGCGTTGCACACAAAGCCAGCATGATTGCTCAGGACACTCTGCGGCCTACGACTGGGCCGCATCTACCTTGCATCGATCGTCAATGTTGTACTATTCAAAGGACACGCTTCGCTGGAAGGCGAGCTCGACGCTTTTGGCGATGAGCTCAACAATCTCGGCGTATTTGCCGGGGTCGCCAATGAAGCGCCTCTACACGTAGTCTGATCTGGCTGCTACCACTGGACAGCTTGCACTTACGCATGGCGTATGCGCAAGGTACGAGCCATCCTCGACCCAGCGCGTTTGGGAGTTGAGCTCTGATAATGTAAGGCAAAAACGTCGGTGGCAAGTGTCATGTAGTTGGTATTAGACAGCTGACTTCGCTGCGACCGCTGAAACTTGCTAGAGCCGATTCATGAACGTTTCGAGCATGCGTTACCCGGTAGGCAAGCCGGAGTGTCTGCCTATGCTCTCAAATCAAGGGGGACAAAAAGTATTGTGATTGCCAGTCTTTCGTTTAGAACGAAGTGACGCCTGTGTGAGTGACAATCTTCTTCATGCCCCGGAAGCATAGGAGTATTCGACTGGCAATCGCCTCAACACGTACTCGATAGCAGCCGCTAACGCTCCCAGCTTGGTTGGAAGAAGCTGTCCCAAGGGCTTTACACGCGTACGGACGCTTGTAAGCAGGCCATGGCTATCGAAGCCTAGTGATGAGGTCTTCCTCTCTCCAGCGTCGCCAGATATTTCGATGCAATTTCGGGTTGTGCAACGCGTTATTAATAGGCACGCTTCGGCTTGCGGACACAAATTCACTTCCAGCTGGTGAGGGAGAAGAAAGCGGCGATGATGTCGATGAAGAAGACAGATGAAGCGTTTAAGACTGTTGATGAGTATAGGGGTCATTGTCAACCTGCGCTGCGACATCGATGCGTTAATCATGGATCGTCGCTAGAATCTGCCAGATCGGATCATCCAAGCGCGTGATCATGTGACAACCCTGCGCTCAATCGTCCAATGTTAACGAGCTCCAAGGTCATCTTTGGAGCGCCTTGGAGCGCACGAGGATGGTCAGCAGTTGACGACAGAGTGCGCGGGGGTTCGAGCATCTCTCACCTTGATCCGATCGATGATGGCCGGCGAGCGCGCTTCTGGGGAACCTTGGGCAAGTTTGGACTCCATGAGCTGACTGACAAGCTAATGCGTGCTTTTGCAGACACAAAGACACTCGGAGGAGCTGGCTTCGCGTCTCAGTCCTACCTTGGCCGGCTCAGACTTGCCAGGTCTTCTTATGCCGGTTTGGAAGTCCGATATGCGGCCTCCACGGCCAAAGAGGGTCAACCGACTCGATTTGTGATCACGCTCAAGCAAACCGAGCCGGAGAAGCGATCTGATGGTAGGATAGAGTCTCGAACGAGCTACGAGTATCGCTTCGATGCGGCTTCGACGAGCTCGAGCACAGTCACCAAGCTCGCATTGTGGAGTGACTTTGAGCCGACTTACCGCGGCCGAGCCCAGCCTGATGCACCTGCACTCGATCCGGCGCAGATCAGAGAGCTCTCTGTCATGTGCCGAAGTGACTTTGCCCGTCAAGAGGGCGACTTTGAGCTCTTTCTCATCAGCATCAGCGCGGTGAGCGATAGAGCAAACTCAGACTCAGAGAAGGCAGCCAGTTCCGGATGGACAACGAGACTGTGGGTTTGGCTTCGTGCGTGGTACGACTACCTTCTGGTGCGGCGACCGCGAGATGGTCATGTGAAGCTCTAGTGGTTGACAACAACAAATGCATGAATGAGCTTACTTGAGCTCCCAAGAGACACCGCAGCCGCAGCCTGCACCTTTGGCTTGAGGATTGTCGGAGACCCTGAAGGAGCTGCCGATGAGCTCGGTCGCAAAGTCGACTGTTGAGCCTTTGACGAGACCGAGGCTCATTGCATCAATGATGAGTATTGGCGTGTCTGGTGAGCTTGGCTCTGAGGAGAACACACTGGCCAAGGAGCGTCAGACGGGGCTCGTAAGTATATGTAGCAGGAACGCACTAGTCATCTTCTGCTTTGGCGTTGATGTCTGCTAGATCCATCTTGTACTGATAGCCGTGGCATCCACCGGATTCGACTGTTATCCTCAATGCAAGGTTCGCATTTGACTCTCTCTGCTGGATCTTCTGTACTTGCTGCCGGCCCCTCTCTCGATGAGCATGCACGAGCAAACACACCGGTCCTGAAGACTGACCTTGACCGCAGAGGGCGTAATATTGAGCGAGAGCGCACTTTCATCGAGCGGAGCAGGCTCTGCAAAGGGATCATCTTCACCAGCCGCACTTGCTTGCCCCATAAGATCTCCATTGAAGTTCGGAGAGACAGCGGGCGATGCAACGAGCGTAGCCAGTCTGCTACGCCTCGCGGCCCAGGCTTCGTGCTGACTGTGCGTGGCAAGTCGAGATGATCGGTCGCTGGAGCCCAGCAGCGCCCTTGAAGCCGATACCGCCCTCTGTGCTGCCGTCGAAGAGCTCAGCGTGCGCACTGATCGCTGTAGCGGCAGCCTCGAGCGGCACAATCGACACTGAAGCATTGCTGATGATCGCCGTCAGTCGCGAGGAGAGGAGAGGAAAGGCAAGTCGCGAGCAAGCCAAAGCCGCCGCCGAGCCAACGCACCACCCTCACCGTTCACGGCTGCCCCCTGAGCGGTCAGAGAGGAATGGCAGCATACCTCTCGGCAGCAGTGTCGGCCTCTCAGCTGTTTGCACGCTCAAACTTGTCGACCAATTATGTCAGCCAATCCGGTAGCGCAGCCGACAGGGCAGAGTACATCGGCCTCTGGCGAGTCTCACGAGCACGACACAGCCGCACGGGAGCAGAAGTCTCCATATGGGAATATGACAAGTCCTCTGGCGCGGTCAGATCATCGCATGCCTCATCGGCGTACAAAGGTAAAGCTCGTGCTCTCGAGCTCATTGGCGATACGATGAGGAAGGATGCTTCGAGTATCACCCGCTTGAGACATCCTTGTGTGCTCGAGATGGTTGAGCAAGTCGAAGAGACCAACAAACTCATCACTTTCGCGACTGAACCAATCACTTCATCTCTTCGCACTGCGCTCGAGCGACAATCTCCAAGCAAAGCAGGCACTCACCCTGTCAGCGCAGACGGACTCGATGAAGTAGACGTACAGAAAGGTCTCGCGTCGGTCGGCAAAGGCCTGCAATTTTTGCACGAGCAAGCGCGACTCGTCCATGGCAATCTGACACCGGACGCTATCGTCATCAATGTCAAAGGCGACTGGAAGCTCTGTGGCTTCGGTCTCTCTGTCTCAATAGCGAGCGACAATGCGGCGCAGTACGCTTTGCCGGCGTATGATGACCGGTTACCGAGTGTGCTCCAGCGCAACCTTGATTATCTCGCGCCCGAGCTCGCACTGGATGCGCAGATGGGCCCCAAATCGGATATGTACGCCCTTGGCTGCATACTCTTTGCAACATGTACCGCCGGTGCTCCACCCGTTCGCAATCTGAATAGTGTGACCCGGCTTCGACAGAATGCGAATGAAGTCCATCGGCTGCGCTCAACCTGGTCTGGGCTAGATGCAGCTATACAGGACGTACTAGGCCAGCTCCTCACCCGATCGCCCACATCACGTTTGACCGCTGCTGCCTTTCAGACTTCTGGCTACTTCAATTCACTCTTAGTCTCGACGCTTCGATTCTTGGATCGCGATTCATTCAACGCCAAGGCCAAAGAAGAGCAAATCTCCTTTATGCGTGGTCTGCTGACGATTCTCCCTCGCTTCAGCGATAAGACGATCAGACAACGCATCTTACCCAGTCTGCTCGAAGAGACACGCAAGACTAGCTTGATTCCTGTCCTGCTGCCCAACATCTTCTATATCGCCAATCGAATGACGGCAGAAGAATTCCAGTCGGATTGTCTACCGTTGCTCATGCCGCTCTTCACCGCCAGAGACGCCTCACAGACCAGCCTGCTCGCCTTTCTCGATCATCTCGAAATGCTACAGAGCAAATGTACTCCTGAGGTTTTCAGATCGGATATCATGCCTATTCTATACGGCTGTCTCCAATCTGAAGACGTCACAGTCCTGCAGCAAGCGCTACGTATCGTGCCAAAGCTATCGGAATCGCTCGAGTACACTGAAGTCAAGCAAGTCTTGTTCCCTCGCATTACGACCGTGTTTAGCAAGACGACCTTGCTCGCAGTCAAAGTTGCCACTCTCATATGCTTTCACGCAATGGTCACAACGCTCGATAAGTGGACGCTGACGGAGCGTCTCGTACCTTTGCTGGCAAAGATCAAGACCAAAGAGCCCGCTGTTATCGTGGCCACGCTGGCAGTCTATGAAAAGATGGGCGACAAATGCGAGATCAACTCTGTCGCTACCCTCATCCTGCCTCAGCTCTGGGCAATGAGCGTCAATCCGCAGCTGAGCACAGATCAATTTCGCAACTTTCTGCGCGTCATCACCAGGCTCGGAGAGCGAGTCGAGAAAGAACATCTGCAAGTTCTGCTCGAATCGCGACCCAATGAGCAGTCGAGTCTTCATCAGAACGGCACAGATAACGCTATCTTTGCAAGCAGCAGTGGCGAGCTCGACTTTGAAACGCTGGTACGGGGAATGGCTTCGACGAGCTTGTCGAATGGCAAATCTGTCGCTGCCGATCCCTGGGACACTCCGACGGATTCACCTAATCTATCTTCTCCTGCGACCGGCGTGCCCAACGTAAGCTCTCTTTCTAGCTTCTGCTTGGACAACTCTGATGGGTATACAACAGTATTTTGCGCCGACGCCCATGGTTCCGCAGATGAGTCAGGAGCGTATCGCGCCAACGCGACAGACTGCATCTCGAACCGCACGCACAACCGCCACGCGGCCACTCGCTACACGACTTCCGGCTAGCTCATTCGATACGTCCTCCTTCGATACGGTACAGCCGGATGTCAACAAGGATTCATTCAGCAATCTCGCTTATGTGCCGCCCAAGATCGCTGCGCAATCGCCCTGGGCAACGGTCCACTCTCCTCGCGAGAGCATGTCGTTCCCTATCGCTGCGCCTGCGCCTGCACCTGCGCCTCAAAATGGACTGCTCAAGCCCATGCAACCCAAAAAAGTCATTGTGGAGAGCAACACGAGCTCGTGGGCAGATCTCGATCCTTTTGCAACAAACAACGAGTGGGCATCCTGATACAATACATGTCATGGCTGCTCTTGCATGGTTGCGGGCGCGCGCGTGCGTGTGCCAAATAGGTCTTGAAACACTCTGAGGCATCGCATGCGAACGCCTTCAAAATTGTCTAGCGCTGGTCTGACGTCTAGATGGAACGCTAGCCGAGGCGACAGACCCACTGTTGCTGGTGCTGAACCACCCTGGCCGGTGTAAAAGTCGATGACATATCGTATACGGGTTCCGTTGCGATCGACGAGCCAGTCGTGGCGGTCAAAGGGCGCGGAATACCTGTGTATGCTCATAAGCTGATACTCAGCCAGGATAGGAGTGATCCCACCCGACGAGCGTCTTTAGCCATGCACGCGGGCTGAGGTCTTTGGGTCGGCCTTTGAAGCTGACGAGCTTGACATCATCTTTCTTGCTCTGACCTGGCCCAAGCTCCCAAGCGAGGACGTCCTCCCAGCACTTCTCGTTGACCGCGTTGTGTATGGGCACGACAAAAGGCATGTCATCTCTGGAAGGCGCTCTGTTCTTCCTCTGTAGCGCTTCATAGAACTGAGACGGCGAGGGATAGACCCAATTGCCATCGACCTTGCTTGCTTGGACGGATGTCGAACTCGCAGGACAGGCATCATCCGAGACGGCTACCGAAGGGGCGGCCGAGTCTATGAGACGAGGAATGCTGGAGATCTGACGCTCTCGGCTGAGTTCTTCGGGTGTGAGGACTTGCTTGCCTTTGCCTTTGCGATCGGCTGGCTTTGCGTAGGCTGCCAGTACACGGGCTGCATCTGGCTGATCATGCGATGTCGGACTGTGCTGCCTGAGCCAATTGGCCCGGGTGGTGTGGTCAACCGGGCACTTGTCATCGGTCATGGCGTCGCAGACAAAGTGATCGTCGCCGCACGTCCGCATCCGAACTGTGGCGATACGATCCTCCCACGTGGCAAAGGCATAATAACCGGTCTGGTCGGTGTGCGAGGACGGGCGAGCGACAGATGGTCTGAGCGAAGAGAGGCGACCATGTCCAACGTCAAGCTGACCATCAGACCGCTACCCCACAAGGTCAGTCGGACCGTTTGCTCATCAGGTACGAGATATATGCAGCTGCTAATTGATGGCATTGTCTCCTCACTGCTGTCTCTTCCACCTCTTTCCTCGGCACACAGGACTTCGTACAAGGATGGGTCGGAGTCGCAGAATCAGAGAATGGCACTAGACCGGCAGCGCACCTGGCAGGCACAGTCGAGGTCAATGTGGGACCCAAGGGCGTCAAAGCGCAATGGCTGCGAGTCGAGTTACGCAAGACAGAGGTTGTCCCGTCCAGCGCAGGCAGCAACAAGGCAGGCAAGAAGCACCGAGAACTCATCGGCGATGGTCCCACTGAGCTCTGGACCGCACGTCGGAAGAGCGTCAGAGAGACGCCCAAAGATGCCAAAGTGTCTGCTGCACCCGGCAAAGATGACGCCTTTGAGTTGCTCAAGACGAAAGAGATTGCCTTCAAGATACCCTTGCCCGAAGCACTGCCCAACTCGGTGTCTGTTGACCGACGGACGAGCATAGGCATCACCTACGATCTCGTCGCGACTCTCTGCGCAAAGACGAAACCGTCCGGCTTCTTCTCGTCCAGCTCGCGGAAGCCAGATCTACTCACCGAAGCTGTCCCCATCAGTATCGAGAAGCATGATACCCATCCAGACTGGCCCATCTACACATATCGAGCCGAGAAAGAGGATCGCTCGGTGTCAGACCATGGCTTGACAATGACCGTTCAGCGTTCTACAACTGCATATGGCCCGGGCGACTCGATGTGGGTCCGTATCAGGATCACAAGCACTCGTGCCGATCCCGTCAAAGTGTGTTACCTCGAGTTCAGCAAGGGCTAAACTGACATTTTGTTCTCAGCTCTCACGAATCGAACTTGGCTTGCATGAGTATATCACGTACAGACCAGAACAGCCAGCAGATGCGAAGAAAGAGAACGTCAAAGTCGACCAGCGGCATCACCTGGTAGCAGCAGCCAACGAAACGCTCAACGCAATTCTCTACCATCAAGAAACCGGTACTTTCGACGTTCGAGGCTTGCTGCCTCGTGAGCACTATCGCACGACGATCCGACAAGCGAAACAGATCGATATCGAATATCAGATGCAGATCACTGCCGTACTCGAGCGATCACAGCAGACACGTGCGCCCATTGGTAATCTCGTCGTCCAGCATCTACCTTGCGTCGTGGGAAGCTATGAACGAAAGCAAGCAAGTGTCGTCATAGATAACATACTCAGCAATGGGCGCGCACCTATACCCTACGAACTTGATAACCCTACTAAGCGTCTTGATCCCAATCCAGTCGTCAATGCCTTCGATGCGGCGCAATTCAATCTCGGCACACCTAGCTATCCTCCTCACCATATACACAGTATTACGCCCACCATGCCAGACACACTTGCTCCTCCCCGTCCAAAGCCCAAGGCGAGCCAACGACGCTCTGCCGGACCTCAGTTGGCCAGTCGATTTGTTGGCCACGGTACGAAGAAGTACCAGCCGACCGGTCACAAACCACCCGTACCCGCTTCAGCAGCTCATCATGCTCGAGATAGTGCAATGAGAGGTGTTTCGGATCCTTATGACCTAGCCGCTTCGATGGCAGGCAGAGGCAAGCAGAGCGCTTATGCTCAGGCGATGGGCAATCCTACCAAAATGCCACGCCACGATCCAGACATCAATCCTTTTCCAGCTGTACCCACTCGAACGACTGAACCCGTCTCCCGCGCGGAAAGAGACAGAAGAACCGTCTCTGCACCTCAAGCGATGATCGCACCTATGCCTACGCGGCAACTGTCTCGACCCGGCTCATTGGCGGATTCGCTTGGGGCGCAGGACTCAGACATCATCCGACCGGCATCGCGGCACAGTACAAAGGTCATAGAGGATGCCAAGCGTCGGCTTGCGGAGCGGCGGATGACGACCGAGCCTGATCTTGCGCGTCAGATTGTGCCAGAGCATCCCTCGGCAGAAGACGAGAAGAGAAGGCTGTATGATGCCGCCAAGGCTACTGCCGATCGCACGCAAAATGCTGCCGGTCCGTCTGCACACGATCGTGCCCCGTCGGCCTCACATGGCTACGAGACCGCAGAGTCAGAGAAGGCGCGACTGTATCGCGAAGCTGTCCAACAACGAGACAATCCTACGCAAGACAATGCAGACAGCGCAGAATCCGAGAAGATGCGGCTGTACAACGAGGCCGTTGCTGCACGATCCGGTACGGGTCCATCGCTCTCTCGACCGCCCGCATTCGAGAGCGCCGAAGCAGAGAAACAGCGTCTGTACCGCAATGCCGTGAGCCAACGGGATGGCACATCCGCGCGATCGTCTGCAGCACCGATTCGTTTCGAGACAGCAGAACAAGAGAAAGCAAGACTCTATCAGTCAGCTGTAGACAGACGTGATGGAGCAGAGCCTCCCGCGCCCGACTATTCTGAGTCCTCCTCACCCACAAGTGCGCCATCTGGCTCTGCCAAAGCGGAGAAAGCCAATGTTGCGAGATGTAGGTTCTCCTGCATATTGTCCGAGCATCTTTCTTACACGTGCCGTAGACTATCAGGCTCGCGAATCTCAGGCAGGCCTGGACAGCGGTATGACAAATGGCTTATCTGACTCTAGTGTTACGAACAATCCGTATCGTCAGTCGGTCACGAGCAATGGCAGCTCAACAAACGGCAGTCCGCGCACATCTGAGAAAATCAGAACCTCTTCCCTGTTTGCGCCAACGGACGCGCCGATCAGCGAGGAGATGAAGCGATACCTGCAGGCAGTCCGACAGCGAGATTCCTTCCAGCAATCTATCAACGGTGGTTCACCGTCTCGGAATCAAGCAGAGCCTTCGTATCCTTCTGCCGCTGAAGAGAAGGCAGCTCTGTCGCGCAGTATCGGTGCAGCGCCGGCACAACCTACTCAGTTCGTACAAAACCCGCACAATCTAGCATCATCGATACCCCAAGCCGGTCACGACTTGTCGCCCGTCAACGAATCTACCGAGCTATCCTCCTCCAAACTATCTCGACGCGCGTCGAGTGTTCGCGGACCCAGACCTGCCCGCTATTCATCGCCGCCGTTAGAAGAATCGGCAGTCAAACAGGGCAAGCGACCACAACAGCCTGTCGCGCTCAAGCCACCTATCGCACTGGCCCAAAATGGAAGCTCGAGGACTTCCTCCGGCGGCCGAGATCAGGCACGTCCGGGCCGACATTCGCAAGACTCGTCTCGGCGGTCTTCGCAGGAATCGGATCGACCATCGCCCACTCGGGGCAAATTTGACAGACGGAGTCCCTCCAAGCCTAGGCAATCGAAACGTGCATAATGGCACATACTTGTATACAATGTTGTCTTCTTACGTGTGCATATGCATGTCATTGTCGTCTTGTCGCAGTCATTGATCAGGGTCCCGACGTATCGTCATACACCGCCGGTTGTCGTCAGCCACGAACTAAATGCCTGACAACCGTCTTGACCCTTCCGGACCTTGCCATATCGTGTTCATGATTGCTACACTCCTTGCTCTGACGAGCATCGCCTGTTCATATCGAGGCGCCACCACTACCACTCGAGCGCTGCAAGGCGAAAATTGGCCTGATCCTGTACCATTCGGGAATCGACAGCTGTACTCTATTCGTCGTCAGGCTCGCATGCTCAATTAGCTGGCGCGTAACTGACCGTTCTTCGCAGTCAGTTTCAGGGTATGTTATGCCAGCATAGAATGAGCTTCTTTGACGCCCCCACAAGTCTGACTGCACGCCATGGCCCTACGGTGTCATTGTAAGCGATGAATCTGCAGGTAGTTCGACGGCAGGCTCTTCAGAACAGGCTGATTGGCGAGGAAACAGCGAGTGCGAGCATCGATGTGCGCAAGCTACCTGACGGCGAGATCAAGGTGGAGTCGCTGCAATATGATCGCGTTTCCACGATCGAGAAGATCAGTCAGGAGGGAGACCGCGCGCATGTCTTGCTCCGGACAAGCTTCAAGCCACGTTCGGAAGCTTTCGGTCGGTGCTGTCGAGGGTATGCTTCCGCGAGTGAAGTCAGATGACACTGATGGCGAGCAGAGTGTACGCAATCAAGTCAGTCAGTCGCGCTTGCGCGTTGTCAGTCGGGCTGATGATCAGCAGTCTCGATCTTTCAGCCACTCGCTGTTGGTCCAATGAATGTAGAAAGAAGCGTGCTGAGCGAACGCGGGTGCAGATGATTTCCAGCACGATCCGCCGACATTCGTATTGTATTGCTGGCCGCACGCGCTTGCAGAGGCATGCCCAGGGATTCGTGAGTGGTCGATGTGCACGCGCTGATGAGGGCTGCAGTCTGGTTCGACATGTGACGAAGCACTGTGTACATCGGCCAGCTGCCCTCAGCATCCTTCCATCTGCCAGCTGCATTGGTCGCACGTTTCGAGCAGTCCACTCAATGCGAAATTTGAGCAGCACTGAGGGCGCAGGATGCATTATTTGTTTTGGGCTTGCAATGCAGCAGCGTTGGCAATTCGGCCGAGAGACGCTCAGGAGGTGTCCTCGCAGTTGAGAGGCACATCACAGTCTCGCGAATGCTTGCCATCGGTGCCCTCGATATACTGTCAGGAGGTATCACTGAAAATGCTGGAGAGGCGGCGAGCAGACTACGCACGCACACAAGACAGCCTTGGTTGACATTGATCGGGTTGCCGTGCTTATCTATGACATGACCGCGGACCTGATGATTGTCTCTGCGACATCAGCTCAAGTGTCCACTTTGTTGCGTCAACTTACGTAGGGCGTCGTACTCGAGCAGTACCAGGTAGCTGCACAAGTACACGAGGCCCCTGAGGAATGGTGTAAGCGGAACTCGGTGATCTCCCACTCGAACCAATTACCGCGTAGACCGAGAGTACCAGGGAGTGAGGCTCTTTCTGCTTGCACAAAGAAGAAAGCCTGATTGCCTCCGAAGAAGAACTCGGCCTTTGTGTTCTCGGGCAAGCTCTTGGGTAGGTCGACATCTAGTCTCAGACAGGCATAGCCTGTCTGTTCGGCTTGAGGGAGCGCCATTGCAGCCGATACAAGCGCAACGAGAACGATCTTGGCCAACATGTCGGCTCGATTTCGTAGTGTCTAGGGTGTCACGGCGGTGTCAAGTCCACTACGCCGCGGTTGATCCATGGAGTAGCTACGTTGCTTGGCGTCGGGCAAGGGGCTCAGACGTGCGAGCGCGATCGTCGCAAGGCGACGAGCAAGCGCGACGAATCACACGCTCCGAAACCACCGTAGCGAGGGGCTTGCATTGACTGACATCGCGAGTGGGCTAGAAATAGTCGACGCATGGCGAGTGGCCAGCGCAATCCGGCGAAGCTCTGCCGTCGGTACCCTCGATATACTGTGCTCGGCTGAGCAAAATCGATCGTGAGACAGGCTTCCTATACGTACGCACACGAGGCATCCTTTGTTGATATTGACGGGATTGCCGGTCGAGGAGTCGATGACATGGCCGCGAACCTTCCGGGCACGTGAATATTGGTGCAGACCAGTATGAAAGGACGTACATAAGGCGTTTTGCTCGAGCAAGTCCACTCCTTGAGACAGAAGCACTGAATCCCTGGTTGACGGAGACACAATCAGGCCAATGATTGTAGGAAGCGAATCGAAAGCCGACCGGCCAAACCGAGTACATTGTCGGGGTAAGGACGTTCGGTCTGGACAAAGTACCAAGCGTTGTCGTGTTCGAAATAGAGCTGCGATCGAGTATTGACGGGCAAGGATTTCGGCAGATCGGCCTTTAGGTTGAGACAAGCATAGCCAGTCTGACCGAGGACCAGAGTAGCTGACACAAGAGCTGCGAGGGTGAGCTTGAAGATCATCTTGACGTACTATCGATGTGTCGCTAGAACGTGGATGCAGGGCGCTATCGAGGCAAAGCCGATGCAATCCTTTGCGATGGCAACAGACGACGAGGAAGAGTCTCAGATCTTGATAAGGAGACTGCACAAGTCGCAAAGGGGCAGCGAGCCACGTGATGGCAGAATGCCGCGAAGGCTGCATGTAATACAAGCCCAGCGACTGGATCAAGTCAACGAGTCGATGCAGTTGGCAACTAGACTGAATTTGGGCGAGCAGTTAGGCGAGTAGACACCACCGTTGCCCTCGACAACCTGTCATAACAAGCTCAGCCTACGGCTACGGTGATGGTGGCAGCAGACGTACACAAGTCATGTAGGCGCCGCTGTCGAGGAGGACAGGTGACCCCTTGACAGTATCGATGGCGATGCCTGCAACGCTGTCCTGCGTGCTCGAGCAGACGTAGTCGCGCAAGCAGGTGCAGGTGAGGAAATGCAGGCCGAGGCTATTACTTGCATAGGGCTTGGGAGAGTGTGCAAAGAACCTGGAGCGGTGCTCAGGCATAGCATCGTTTGGCCTGCCGGGTTGACTCACCATTTGCCACCCATGTAAAGCTCGGCCGAGGCAGGATCGGCCTTGGCAAAGGTGCCATAAGTCGAAAGCAGGACAAGGCAAGCAGCAAGCAAGCTGGAGACAAGACGCATCATCGTTGCTCGTGAGTCAGATTGAGTCTGTCCGAGCGGAGTGACGATGAGCGCTGGGCGGTGCAGTTTCCGAGAATGTTGGTCGGTAGCGAGGAACAATCGTTTCATCGACGACTCCGACTGTGCTAAGTAGCGGCCCGGTCTAATCAAGAATGAGCCCGGCGGGCCAGGGCTAGATGATCTCCACTTGAAAAACTTCATTGGAGTGGAACCCAGCTCAAGACAGAGACCAGTCGGAGGAAAGCAAGCCCACTTGAGCATCACAAGCTCAGTAGAGACGCCGAGGGCGCGTGTGCGCTTTCCGAGCGAGAGGAAGAGGTGGTCTGGGGCTACGTCTGCGCGATAGAGGAACGTCCAATCGACGGCTAGCCCAGGCAAGTGGACAAGATGCAGACAGACCCGCCTGCTACGACGACGACGTACTATGCCGGCTATGGCTACCATCAGCCCTTCATGCCCTACAAGATCGCGTCACCCTGCGCGACCCAGGCGATGGCCGTCTCGCCTCCGCGGAGTGTCTCTTACCCCGGACCGACGTTCGCTTCACCCAAGACGGACAGGAAGAGACGCACCTCAGATCGTAGAACACTCTCCCCTTCGCCTTCGCTGTCAGACAGAATGGACTTCTCCGGTGAGTCGCGCTTCTTACATGCTCGTCGTCTGTGTGCGAGTGCTCATGCCGGGCCTCGACAGTCTATCCTGACCGCTCGCCTCGGTCGCCCTCGCCTTCGCCCAAGCTGGGACCTACCAAGCGTGCCAGAACAGGCAGACCATTGTCGCCGATCCAGCCGATCATGGAGATGTCGGAAGATACCCACGCACCTGCAGCTTACAGGCAAATCTACGCGACGCAGAAGCAAGAGGCGTTCGCGGAGCAGCCTAGCTACTTCCAAACATTCGCAATGACGCCAGACGGCATGCCCCTCTGTCATTCCTGTCAGCGCCAGCCTGCCGTCACGCCTGGTGCGTCGACGCTCCAGCCTAGCGTCTGTCAATCTTGCCAGCGTCCCACTTGCCTCATCTGTCGCCGCATCTGTGGCGATCTCGAGCCCGGCGTAGATCCGATCGCAAAAGCGCGTCACATGCTCTCAAAGCCAGAGCCAGCTAATCCCGCCTCGCCTGGTATACCGGGCATGCGCGCTCTTGGTCAAGGCGATGGCTTCGGAATTGGCGCAATGGACGAGGACGATGATGATGAAGAAGAAGACTCGTGTTGCATGATCAATCCGAACGAGTACCGCAATAGAGACCGCCCAGCTCGTCGAGGTTGTGGACGGTCTATCTGCCGCCATTGCACCGGCGAAGCGTGAGTCGCCGTCATGCTCTTTCGCAAAGCCATGCTGAACCAAATATGCAGGGATGGCTACCATCTCAAACATCTCTGCGGAGGTTGCCGTGTTGGTCTGTGAAGAGTTCCAGACTGCCCAAAAGAAGTTGCTTGCTGATCTACGAGCTGCGCTCGAGATCTGCCCGCGCTGCCGTACGTGTATGTCTGCCATCCATGTCGCCCTTTGCTCGCTATCAATATGTAAATGTATTGTCACAACATCATCGCACGGCCTCACTTCACTGCTCTGGAGCAATCTGCATCTCGTCCTTGATCGGCGGACTCGTAGTCTCGCTCGTCACTGCTGTGCTCGTACCCGAGACGCCGGATGAATTACTTGACATGCTTCGCGCAGACAAAGGACTTTTGAGCGGGCTTGTCGGCGTCGTTGGACTCTTGAGTGACCCGTCTTCAGCTTCAAGCCGCCTTCGCTTGCTCGAACCGGACGGAGCAACGCCCGAGAGCAGTTTGGCAGAGTCATTCGCGGTAAAGTTGATGAACATGTCCTCAGCTGCAGCTGACGATTCTGTCGCTTTGGCTTGCATCTTTCTCGCAAAAGTCTTGCGTGCGCCCGACAGCGGTGCCGTCACTTTCCGTCTCGCGCTAGGTCGCGTAGGCGTCGATGGAGGTTGCCTATACTGGGCGGCAACGGCACTCGTCGTCGAAGCTCGGTCTAGACTCGGCCGACGCGGTGCAGTGTAGGTCGCTGCTGCTGATGTCGAAGCGCGCTTCATGAGTGGTACTGATTGAACACCGACGGGATCGAAGATGGTCACTCGCTTGACGGGCGTGATTGGCTGATCGATCGAAGCCAGAGCTGCCTCTTGCGCAGCATAGTATGATCCCGCAGTCATGAGAGAAGGTGCAGCGCGGGCGCTTGTCATTCCGACGGGCACTGGCAAGTGATTACTTGACCACGACTGACAGCTCGGGCCTTGCTCTAGAGTGCTCGCCGCTGCAAGACTGATCGCTCGGAGGCTTTTGCTCAATTCGTGAGTCGCGCTGAGAGGCGGTGAAGCAAACACCAACTCCTCTGGCGTTGAATGAGACGACAAGGGTAGAGGCACGACGGGAGGTCCGTTGAGCAACTGCAGATCTTCGGGCTGAAGCGCTAGATGCTGCCGCGCGCCAAAGTCTGGTCGTCTGAATGGCAGCGTCGGCGATAGGGTCGATCTAATTGGTGAAGGTGGATTATTTACAAGTGATGGCCGCACTGGCGTCTGCAGCGGAGAGTGTGTGAAGATAGGCTGCGGCGGTGGCATGGCATATGCGTCGTACTGGGCTGGAAAGGGAGGCAAAGGCGGCGCATCTGCCCATGCACTACGTTGATACTGTTCGAAGAGAGAAGGGGCCGAGACTGCATGCTTCAACGCTTGATTGCGAGGGTCTCGAATCTCCTCGTTTGCACGCTTGCCGCTGTCACGACTCGCTTGCCTGAGTGCGTGCGCCTGTTGCAATTGCATCGGCATGCCTTCTGCTAGACTTGCTGATTTGGGCGCATAGCTGCCGAGATTGAGGTGTTTCGAGGTCTCAATGATGGGCGCGCCCATGGACTGTCGGCGTGGGACAGGACGCGGTATATGTCTGTCGGGCGGGCGTTCGACTGGCCAGGACGTATGCTGCGCAAAATAAGCCGGGTCATTCTGCTGTCTACTCGCCTCATCGAGTGCAGCTGCGAGCTCTGAGAGCGGCGAAAATGAAGCACGCCTGATTGGTATTTGGGCTTGGCTCGCCAGATCTAATCTCGGTATGGATTTAGTCTGACTTAGCGCTGGCCACGGAGCAGGAGCGACAGGCTGCGACTGCCGCCGTTGCCAGAGCGAATTATCTGCATAGCTTTGCTCGCCATACGAGAGCTGTTGGGCAAAGTAAGGCTTGTGCTGGTCAGAGCTCGTGAACGGATGTTGCTGGGCCTGATGAGAGTACATCGGCGTCGATGGAGTGAGCGGCATCGACTGACGCGAAGCAGTCAGCGCGCTGGAGTCTGGCGTAGAAGGCGACAGGCATAGCTCTGGCAGCGCAAGTAAACTGCTGTCTGTCGTCAAATAGCCAGCAGCCCAGTCGTTGCCCAGTGACATATCGCCCGGCAACATTGCAGGTTCATCGTAGCCTGCCTTTGACACTAGCGGCTGACCAGTAGTGAGATGATGTTGGAGCTCTAGGTAGCTTGCAAAGCCGGCATTACCGTCATCGACCGTCGTCATTGCGGCTGGCAACGTGCTGCGCACCATTCATCAGCACGGCCCTCTGATGCAGACAGAGCCAGGACGCACTACACCTACGTGCAGCCACTTTCCGAGCGACTGGGTTGATCGGCCTCGGACGATAGATGTGCTCGTCGAGGACCCAGTAGAAGCAGATAGGCACCCTTGGGATTGGTTGAGTCGTCTTCGACGCAGGCTGGCCAGCAACGATCGTCGGCTCGTAACATTGTGCCTGAGCATTGGGCCGTCTCGATCATCAGGCAAGAAAGGGCGATCAATTCGTCAGGTGCAGCGCAAGAGCGAATTAGCAACCCGATGGCTTACTCGCCGCATTTGGCGCACCGAAGCTAAAGACGCGTTTGGGGCCAAAGTATTGACGCGCTGACGCCAGGCATTGCGTGTTTTGCTGGAATAAAACTCGGAGAACATAAGTATCCTTGGGACCTCTCATATTCCAATCGTCCGCGAACACAATTGACTCAAACTGCTCATCATGACGAACAGAATGTCTCCGAGACTGATGCAAGCGAGCTCGAACTCTGGACTTCTCACTTCTCCGCCGAGGTTCTGCGCGCACTGCACCTAGCGCATTGCCCGATCGTTGAGTTTCGACTTCCTCGCACGATCAGAAGTTAGTATAGCAAAGCGTGCGGCCAACAATCATGCTACTTGTGGCCTGTATCTTTGCCTGTCTTCCCCTCGTCAGATCCGACAACGCCGATCCTGACCCAACGCCAGCCGAGATCTACATGGAGGGCAAAAGGCCAGTCACGCTTCGTTTACGGCAGAAGAAAGACTTGACGCGAGTTTTACCCTTTGTCTAAGTACTTCACTCATAACGTCCTTTATTATGCTACGATTGTCAATGTTACTACCAACATTATGGATGCTCAAGCTCCTAATCTTTTGTCGCTGGCATCGTGCTCGGCATTGCCTGCCAGAAGCCTGTCTTCCTTGCAAAGGGCGGATATGTCACTTGCGTGAGCCCTCGCTTGCCGGACTCTTGCGGTGTCTGACGGCCAGCAACAGGTCATCGAAGGCGACACAGGCTTGTCCACCCGTTGTGCTCACCATAACCTCTCAGACTGTCTGCCTGTCGTATGAATTGCTATGGCTACGAGGTTTTGCACTGCATTGCAAAAGTCGATAGGCTTCAATAATGACACTATGCCCCTTTTGATGCCATGTTTCTCCTGCTCCTGAGTCGATCTGCACGACCGTCAAGTCAACGCTTGGACAGAAGCTCACGAGCCAAGCATCAGAAGATGCGCGCAAGGACTCTGCTGATGCTTGCATGCTCTGGGCTCGTCAGAGCCAATGAGCCTGACAAGACGGCAGCGGAGATCTACATGGAAGGCCACTGGCGAGTCGAGCGGGATGCGTTGCCAACACCGGAGTCTCTGACACAAATGACACTCCAGGTACTTTACGCACAGCGTGATCGGCTATGGCTCGGATTCCCTCGGGTGGCACTTCTTCCAATGTATGTGCTACAAACAACATTACGCATGCTCTAGCTCTGTGCCCTTTGTGGCTGGCATCATGCTCGACATCACCAATCAGAAGCCTATCCTGCTTGCCAATGGTGGCTATGTCACTTGCGTGGGTACAGCCGGACGGGACTTTTGCCTTGACTGACGCGCTTTGCAGGTCCTCGAAGGCGACACAGGCCTGTCTGCAGACTGTCCCGCGACAGACGAGGTAGATTGTCTCATGCATGTGTAGACTCCTGCAGGATCCTTCCGGTTGTCGCGACGCCGCGCGAATTGCATCGCAACTTTTGCGGACATCTGACCCCTCTGAAACATCACGACGCTGCTGTGCTCTCTCTCCCGCCTATCGACCAATCCGACCAAGCTCGACCGATATAAACAGTTCGAGATGCTCTACAAGTCTATCCTGGTCGCTCTCGCTGCAGCCCAGCTGGCTATGAGTTGCACTCCCAAGTCGGCAGACCTTACCACGCTTCCCCAGTAAGAGTGACCAGGTCGTCGACTGCGCAGCCTGACAACGCGCCGCAGGAACACCCACGCTCGCGTCTTCCTCAGCCCCGGTAATGACGTTGCCAACGGTGCCTGGTATGACATCCAGCAGGAACAGCCAACGTGAATGAACTCACTAGTCTGCTTGACAAATCTGGTGCTCATGCTTTCGCGACAGCGTCAACCCCATTGCTCTTGGCTTGCATATCTGGAACTGCTCGTGCATCAACAACGTCGGTGATTGTTCGATTGGCCTGACACTTGCGCTGACGCGATCGGGCAGTGGTATTGCGATGCAGTTCCTGGGGCCAGTCGGATCTTACTTCCGATCGCTGCCTTTACTCATCTTGCACAAGGACAGGCTCAGGGATATGTCCGTGATCGTACTACGAAGGAGCAGATCGGTGTCGGGTCAGCGATGACGGCATCGACTGCGTCCCGTGCTGACTTCTTGACAGACCCCGAAAGGCGTGTGTGGTCTGCAAAATCGCGAAAGGCGATGGTCTCTCCGACAAAGACTGTGGCACTCCTTTGGCTGCAGATTGCTCAGCAGGCAGATAAAGTCGGTTCATTGTCTGATCAATGCGTATCAGAGGGAATCGATAAGTCAGTCTGTCGGCGTGACCGCGTACGTCTCATATTGATTGTAGCTCGTCGTCGCGTACAAGCGCGTCAATATTAATGACTTCTCGTGTCCTAAGCGCCTATGCCCCAGACAGGGGCGTGAGATTCAGGCCGCTCTCGGTCCTGCTTCATTTGCTCTTTGGGAGCTCCCTTGCTGCTAGCAAAGCTCGAAAAGAATGGCGCGTATATAGCTCGACGAGTTCGAGCTCGATCAGCGGCGTCTGTGTAGCCGCACCGTCCATGTGTGCTCTTGGCCAATGTCAGAGCTTGCCACGCACCAAGCAGCGACAGCAAGGTAGGACCAGAGCAGCTGACGAGTCTCCGGTAGCTTCTTCAGCCGTAGAAAGTCCACTCAAACAATGCTTGCAGCGCGGCTGCCCGTCAGGAAGCGCGCTCTCACTGCAGACGGCAGCTCAGATGACGCTCGCTCACTCAGTCGTTCCACTTCGCCCCACTCTGATTATGTCCAAGGAAGCTTGCGAGGTAGCAATAGCGATGTCATCTCGAGCTCGGGTCGCTCGAAACGATCAAGAACCGCGACAGACTCAACAGACTCGCTCGAGGTCAGACGAGCGTCAGACTCACCAATGGCACAAGACACCGAAGACACAGATCTTCCGACAAAGACTGACGGCGTAAGAGTCAGACAGTACCAACATGAACTCTTTCAGAAAGCGAAACAGTCCAATACCATCATCCGCATGAAAACCGGAGCAGGCAAGACGCTCGTCGCAGTCATGCTCATTCTGTACGAGGCAGCAAGGCTGAGACGCGAGATGATGGTCCAAGAAAGGCCTTCCAGAAAGTTGCTCTGCATGCTTGTGCCTACCGTTACGCTCGTGAACCAGCAAGTCGCGGCCATACGCGAACAAACGTGCGCTGCTTTATCGATGGTGCGCCGCAGGCTAATTGGCTACGTTTGCAGATCGCTGCAAGTGCGTGGGTTTCGAGGCGATATGCTTGTCAGTGCCTGGGATCTTCGAACTTGGCAAATCGAGTTCGATCTCGCAGACGTCGTCGTGATGACGCCACAGGTACGCCCTACGCTTACAGACGAGGCGCGTAGATTGATGGTCTCATAGATCTTACTGAACGTGCTCAGATCTGCCTTCTGGAGAATAGAGAACATCGCTCTTCTGATATTCGACGAAGCTCATCACGCTCGAAAAAAGCATCCCTACGCGCATATCTTGGACGAATTCTACCATCCACTAAAGCGCAAGCTTGCCCGATCAGAAGCTGAGATGTCTGATCGACTGCCTCGCATCCTCGGCTTGACAGCCTCACCTGTGTGGACAGCTTCTGATCTAGTGTCAGCGATTTCCGACCTCGAGCGCCGAATGGACGCAACGCTCGTCGAAGTCAAAGAGCATGCAGCCGAACTCGCTCAGTACAACCGCAAGCCAAGCGAACGATGTCTCACGTATCGTCTCGATCGTGCTGGCATCAAGACGCCCTTCGAAATCCGGCTAGAATCATCTTCCATTGCGTCTCTGCTGGATCTCAAGTTCTGGCAACGAATCGATCAAGTCAAGGAGCGTCTCGGTCTTCTTGGCGTCGATATCTACATCTGCGAGGCACTCGCACAGGCTCTTGCAAGATCGACAAGTGATGCCGCCGTGAAGATCGACTATGTCCCGCAAGAGTATTGGAACGAAGCTTGTCTGTTGCATAGCAGCTTCGTCGACGTTCTCGAGCATACCACGCTGACCGAAAGCGGCAAACGTCATATCTCAGATTCCCCGTCGACGGCATGGTACGGGCATTTGGCTTCTGCCGACTCATCTTCCTCCGACATCAGTCAAAAAGTGCGCATACTGCTCGACCACCTGGAGACCTATCGCGCGTGCAAAGATTTTACAGCCATCATCTTCGTGCAGACGCGCTACCAGACCGCCGTGCTACAGCGCATTGTCAGCAAAGCGGCCTGGCTAGATTTCCTCAGTACCAACTATCTCGTAGGCTCTACGACCGGCAACCCGGCAGACATGGCCAAGGGCGTAATGCGACCTAAGCAACAGCTCAAACCTGTTCAGAGTATACGCGAGGGCCGGTGCAACACGCTTTTCGCTACTTCGGTCGCAGAAGAGGGACTCGATCTCTCCTCTTGTAACCTTATCGTCCGCTTTGATCCTGTCAGCACCCTTGTGGGTTACATCCAGTCCAGAGGAAGAGCGAGAGCTGTCAACTCGGACTACCTCGTCCTCGCAGAAGCCGATACCAGCGAAGAATACGACTGGCAGACATTGACGGCCAGTGAGCAGCAGATGCTTGATCATACAGGTCAGCGCGACATCTTCGAAGAAGGCGAGCTCTCAAACGGTGAAACTGTCAGCGCCACGCCAACCTATCTAGTACCCTCGAGCGGAGCTTTGCTTACGTTGTCCTCGTCGGTCATGACGCTGAACCAAGCATTTGCTGGTCAGCGATCAGAAGGTACGCAACTATTCAAGCAGCCGATCTACGAGATCGTATCGACCGACACCGGCGACTATGCTGCCACCGTTATTCTGCCGCCCGTAGGCACCCTCTACGAGCACCATCGCACGATCACAGGAGCTGTAGCATCTTCCCGGAGCGCCGCGAAAGCTCTTGCCGCTTTCGAAGCCGTCATCCTGCTCTTCAAAGCGGGTATCATCAATGAACGCCTGGTTCCGCATTACGAAGAAAACAATCGAGCTGCAACACGAGGCGTCAAGACGAGTCGCGACGCAACACTGGACGTGCACGATGCAGATGGGCGCAAAATTGACGTTGGTGCGGTGCCGGAAACCATACGCATTAAGTCGGAAGGACTCTACGGCAATGCTTGGCGCAAAGACGAGACTCTGTATCTGCATGAGATCATCTTCGTTCGGATGCAAGGCGAGCAGCAGCGAATCGGGTTTGTGTGCGGTCGCAACGTCGATCTCGACGAGCGTTTGCACATCTATGAAGAACCTGGCACAAGCACGCCTTCGACATCTTTCACGCTAGAAGGCTCCCGCACTCTCACATTCGCGACGGAAGAAGCCCGGCAGGAAGCTCTGGCTGTGCTCGATGCCTATACGCGTATTCTGTACCAAGTTGGCGTTTGCCGTCGCGATGTCGAAGCCAAGCTATATCACTTCTTTGCGCCTCTGGTCACGGCGGACGATGGCTTGGACATCGATTGGGCCATCGCAAGAGCACCTCTCGTGCCCTTCAATCCTCTTCAAAGACACACAGCAGGCGAGCTGATTGTTTGCCCGTTCCGTCGGATGACCACCTCGCGACTCTGGAATCTTGTTACTGTCAGAGAGGATTTGAGTCCGCTATCTGCGCCTGTACGGCTCCTGCCACCCGGTCAAGTCAAGTTGCAGACGGATACCAAGATGCTCGCGTGGGACTGCTACCAAACATGGCTCAAAGTCGTCTTCAACTTCCGTGACGGCGAAGTCGCATCTGATGAGATCATGATTCATCTCGATCCTTGGCCGCAGGTTTGCAATAACCTCTTGCCTGTCGATCTACATCCTCGCAAATTCGGCTTGCAGTGCGCGGTCCCGGCATCAATGTGCTTCAGTAGCCGGCTATCAGCAGCAGATTGGAAGATCGTCATGCTTGCGCCCGCATTCCTACGCAATATTGGTGACTGCCTGCAAGCACGCGCTGCTATACGAGACTTGCGTTTACCACCAATTGCGATGCATCGCATGATCGAAGCGCTTACATTGCCTGGCAGCGCGGTTGGACGATCGTACGAATCTATCGAGACGCTCGGCGACTCCGTTCTGAAAGTGTTGACATCAGTGCACCTCTATCTCGCTTATCCGCTCAAGTCGGAAGGCGCCCTGACATGCTTGCGAACAAATTCAGTCGAAAACGTCTACTTGCACCACAAAGCAGTCGAAAGCTCGCTCGGCAAGTATCTGATTCACGAGCGTATGCGACTCAACACTTGGCTTCCGCGTGACGCCGAGCATTCCGCCGATATGGGCGATGGCTGCGAATTCGAGCGCAAAATACAACGCCGTGCTCTTTCCGACTGCATCGAGTCGATTTTGGGAGCGGCGTACTTGACGGGCGGACTGTCCATGGCGATGGACACTGCTCGTGCTTTCAATCTTCCTCTCGGTGACGGCGCCAGCTGGAGATCTCGATCGATCGAAGCAAGGCGCAGAGAGCGATCGGTCAGTCCGCGAATCGGCGAGCTTGAAGACCTCGTCGGCTATTCGTTCAGCAATAACGACTGCCTGATCCAGGCACTGACGCATCGAAGCTACCTGTCGCCGACTACACCGAGTTACGAGCGAGAAGAGTTTCTCGGCGATGCAATGCTCGACTTTTGGGCTATCACGCGTCTCTATGCTCGCTTCGATGGCATCACGCCGCAACAGCTCTCGCGACTGCGAGCCTTGCTGGTCTGCAATGGTACGCTGGGCTACGTTGCCATGCTGCGCCTCAGACTTGGCGAATACGTTTTGCACAATGCAGACGAGTTTACAGATCAGCTCGAGATCGCTCAGCAGCAGGCCGAAGCAATGCCGCCCGCAGAATTTTGCGAGCAAGTCTGGTTTTGGGACCCGCCAAAAGTCTTGGGCGATTGCGTCGAGGCAGTGAGTCGCGCACGATATGTGCACATTGGTCAGGCTGATCACGTGTCTTCCTGTCAGATAGCTGGTGCAATCTTTGTCGATTCTGGTGGCGACCCCGAGCTCGTCTTTAAGTACTTTGATCGCATCCTGGGGCCCCTCATGCAATACATTTCACCCAATATGCCAGCCGATCCTGTGTCACGACTCGCTCATCTCAAGCAAGGTACGATATGCTACTGCATAACGGATCAGACTGATGAACCTCGTAACAGAGCTGCGAGCGGGCAAAAGCATGGTTCTGCGCGGCGTCAAGCGTTCGCTAGACGCGCCTCACGAATTTGTCTTTGAGGTTCGCAAGCAAGAGATTTGTCGACGCTCGCATCGATCCAAGGCGGTTGCCGAGCAGCTTACGGCAGCAGCCGCCCTCGAACACTGCGCTGCATGGACAGAAGAGGACAAGCTCAATCTGATCGGCGTCGATGTTCACGCGAACAATGTCACGCAGCTGCGAGACTGGAAGACCGGAGAGCTCTCTCGCATTCGCGACACACCCGAAGCCGATGCAATCGACGTATCGAGAGGGGTACCCGGCCTGAAGTCTGTGCGCAAAAGCCCAGGCATCGATGTTGCGTGCAGCACGGACGCTGAGCTTTTCGACAATCTCCCTGACGAGGCTGGCGACATTACTCACGTCTATGCCCATGATAGCGCCCTCGATTCGCATCTCAATCTGGGACGTGCGCCAAAGATTGCTCTCATGACCGACAGCGATGACGATCTAGAAGTCAGCGCCATCGCTGCGTCTCTACCCAATCTGACAGTCAGCACAATGCCGTCTTAGCCGATCTTTCTGTGTATCGCTCTTGTCGTTGTATATCGCTCTAGAAGCTGCATGTCTGTGAATGATGCATCAAGTATCGTGCAAGCTAGGACAGGACAACAACGAATCGTGATAGTGCTCCTCAGATACCTCCGCCGCCTGTGTTGCAAAGGATCAGCTTGACCAGCTGCAGAGAACGGCAACATACTCCGCAGAGTATCGGGATGACCGATATTGCCCTTGTTCATCGCTTGTGATTGAGACTTCTGGAACTGATAGTACGCAAATGCAAGAGCCGGCAGTCCGAGCACTCTGCCATCGCCAATCAGCACGGATCATGTGCCCTAGCTGCGGGGCACTCACAGTACGGTCTTTCGGCCTCCTCGAGAGCTTCTGATGGCTGTCGCTGGATCCGCCATCGTGCAACGACAAGAAGAGTGCTGTGCTCACACGACCTCGTATCGCCGCGTCACCAATAATATAAAGACGCGGAGGCGGGGGTGGCAAAAAGGGGAAGTGAGGAGGGCTACGAATACGACAGTAGGAATGCATCTACTTCTTTCCGACAGCCTTTGTGAGCTCTGGCGCGGCATTGAAGAGGTCCGCAACGAGACCAAAGTCGGCGACCTCAAAGATGGGTGCCTCGGGATCCCTGTTGTCTTCACATGAGCATGTTGGTGATCAAAGGGTTGGAGGAGGTAGACGTACTTGTTGATTGCGGTGATACACTTTGCATCGCGTATACCTGCGAGATGTTGGATAGCGCCAGAGATACCGACGGCGACGTAGAGCTCGGGCGCGACAACTTTGCCTGTCTGACCTACTTGGAGACTGTTGTCTGCGTAGCCAGAGTCGACAGCTGCACGAGATGCACCGACGGCAGCGCCGAGTGCGTCTGCAAGCGGAATGATGACGCTATCGAAGTTCTCTTTGTTCTTGACACCCCGACCGCCAGAGACGACGCGAGCTGCTGAACCGAGATCGGGCCGCTCAGACTTTGTGAGCGATTCTGATACCCATTCGGCGATGGCTGTCCAGACATGCAACATCAGCGAGCTGCCTGATGAATGCACAGGTTAGAGATCTCACCTTTGCCAACCTGACCGGATTCGCCCTTTTCGATCGAGGCACCTTCGCCAGATTCCTTGGCGGGGTCGAAGCTAGACGTACGTATGGTGAAGACCTTGATCTTGTCGCTGCTCTTGACGGTTGCAATCGCGTTGCCGGCGTAGATCGGTCTGACGAAAGTATCCTCTGATTCGACTTGCATGACGTCGCTGATCTGGGCGACATCGAGCAGGGCTGCCACGCGAGGGAAGATGTTCTTGCCCTGTGCTGTGTGAGCTGTCGTGACGTGGGTATAGCCTTCCTTCTGAACGAGTGCGACGATGAGAGGCGCGAGAGGCTCGGCGAGACTGTGCGAGAGCGTGTCGGCTGACATGACCACGATCTTGCTCAGCGGATACCTGAACGTGGAACCCCATGAGCAGGAGCGCTTGCATAGCAATGTGTCGGGACAAACTTGGCAGCCGCTTGAGCAACGGCGTCGAGAGAATCGGCTTCTGCGCCCGCGACGAGTCCAGTGATCTCTCCTCCCAGCTTCTGAGCTGCCGTGATGGCATTATACACGCCCGGGTTGAGCTTGCCCTCTGGTAAGCGCGGCAAATGGTGAGTTCCGATGGACAGACTGATCCCTTCACGGGTCACTGACCTTTGTGTTCGATGTAGAGCAGTGTCTTTGCTGCTTCTGCTGCCTTGCTCGAGGAGAAAGCTCTTGACCGGATCGCATGAGACTGTAGGGGAGTCCGAGCCAGTCGCAGAGCAGTCTGTGAGCATCTCAAGCCCGCTCTTGTCGCCATGATCGTCGGCCGTTCGAGGCGAATGAAGCCGAAGCCGAAGCCGAACTCAATTCGATTCGATTCGCGCTCGACTTTTGACTTTTGACAGGCTCGGCGGCAAAGTCGAAGAGATGTCAGGCAGAGGGATCAACAGCCAAGCGCAAGACGGCCAAGAGGTCAAGTCGTACTTCCAACAGCTGTGGAAGTCAGAGACGACGGATCCGGAGAAGAGGAAAGCCAACAGCGAGCTCCTCGTCGCCGTCGGTCTCTTTTCGGCCGCCATCGTCTTCTTCAGACAGTACGGTGAGATGCTCGCACCTAGCTTGTGATCGAATCCGTGGGTATGTTAGCCTCCTCACACGAGTGCTGCCCTAGCTCATCGCCCGCCGGGTCAGCCTGTCTCAAGCATGAGAGAGAACGACAAGGCAAGAGGGTGTCATGTACAACAGTGTATAGAATGCAGTCGTCTACTCGCTCGGATTGGCGACAAAGAGGACAGGCTTCCTCGCCAGTCCATGTTCTATCTTCGCGCGTGCTCGCTCAGGCGTCCGTGGACTGCCCAGCACAGGGCTCGACGAACGAGACTCGATCTCCCGCACTCTTTCTCGCACGCCCTGCCCTGGCCGAACAGGCACGACCTTGCTCCTCGAAGCGTTTGGCGAGCTTGGCATGGCCAGTGCCGGCAACGCACGAGGTGGCAGACCCCGCCCGATGCTCGCTTGACTGAATGTTGACGCGCCCAGCCCGACGCGAGGCGTGGCCACCCAATCGGCTCCATTCCAGACCACGCTCCCTTCGAGCTCAGAAGGACCCCTATCTGAATTGATCGTTCCCGTCGAGACTGACAGATCGTCCTGACTTGGACTGCGGACCCTCTGAACGACTTCGAGGTAAGCGAGCCTGTCCTCCAGATGTGCCGTCCCATCCGATCGAAGCGATACAGCATCAGACGCCACAGACTGTCGTATGCCTCCCGCCAGCTCAGTCGAACCTAGAGCGGGCGAAGGCAGCTCCGGTACGATGGACAACCGAGTCGGGTCGCGTATCATGGCATCTGCGCCTGACGCCTTCAGCATGGGCTGGGAAGCTGCACCGGTCATCTTCTCCCACCAGCTGTGCGATCGCACGAGCGGCTCAAACGTTCGTTGCTGACTCGCTGTCGAGTTGCACAGCAAGGCAGGCGAATGGCTGCTGCCGGGATAGACACTCGACGAGGTGCTATACTGAAGAGCTGCGGCTGTTTTGGGCGGTCGCCCTCGGGCAGATTGAGTAAGAGGTCTAGCAATCGGTGCAGGCTGGGTACGATTGATCACAGCGGCTAGTGCCGATGCCGCCGTCTTGCCTGACCATTGACCGGCATTCGACTTTGCTCTCATCATGCGCTCTGAGATCTCCTCGTCACCATCGCCCGTGAACGAAGCTTGCCTGCCCATCAATTTGTCTGCAACCGATCTGCCCAGCATAGCAGCACCTGCGCCTATGCTCTGTGACAGCGATCTGTTCTTTTGGCCCGCTCGAACGAGATCGTCGATATCGTCAGGCTCACGGTCTGAAGGATACAGGCCCATCTTTTCGTCCACTTCGCCCTGCTCGCTTCTGCCGACATGATGTCGTCTCGACCAGCTCGTCACGCGCAGACCGCTCGAACCCGGTGCCGCGTAGGGTCCCTCTTTTTCGTCCTCCTCGTCGCAAGGCGATACTCGTCCAATAGGCTCAGAGTGCAGTGACTCTTCGTCTTCCAGCATGTCCCACCTCCGCTGCCCATTTGTCGATCTACCCAGCGTTGAGCCTGCCCAAGACTTTCGCAACCTATTGACGCTTGCTTTCCGCAGACCTCGATTTTCAAAGTCCGCTGATCGCATTGGGGGGCTATCGTGCAAGGTAGGCCCGTCGAGGAGCATGCGCGGTTCGTCATAGCGTCTCCGCCGCCTGATAAAGTATACCGCTGTTCCGGCCAAGACGAGCAGTGCAAGAACGCCGACTGCACTTCCAGCGGCTATCTGCATCGTCGAAGTTGACTTATTGGCTTGTCCATTTGCGGCCGAGCTGGAGTTACCGTCAAGACCGCCAGACAGGCCGGGAGTACTTTGTGGCGAAACCTGGCCTGCGCTTGCGTTCGGCTGCGTTTCGTCCGGTACGATCCATGCAGAAGTCTGCGCAGAGGCAGGGCTAGCAGTCTGAGAGCCGCTCAATGATGGTGCGACTGTGACTTGTCGGCTGATCGAGGAGGTGGCAGCAGGGGCCGCAGATTTGCTTGCACTCGATGCGCTCACGGGTGTGAAGGTGCTCTGCCACGCGCCTTGCACGAGATCATAAGCATATGTCTCAGTATCTGCAGGGCCATCGCTGCCGTATCCTGCATGAACGCTTGAGTATGCTGTCCGGCGAAACTGTGAAGGCTTACCAAATGCAACGATCACTTGAGTATCGACGAGCGCAGCCGAGTGATAAAAGCGCGCAGATGGCGTCATAGATGCACGCTTCTTGCTTTGACGTGGAATGGTCCACGAAGCAGACGTGCTGTCGCTCGAGAAGGTCAGCAGCGCACTGTCTGCGTATGCTGTCGTTGAGACCAAATTTGTGCCTCCATGGATCCAGATGCTTGAGCCCTGGCTCGCGCCAGCGATGTTTGTGGCGATCGAAGATGGCACTGCTAAGGCAACGTGACCTTGACGTGCAGTGGGACTCGTGGATGTGGTGTTCAATGACGACCAAGTAGCCAGACCAACATTGAACAACCAGACTTGCGCAAGAGTTTGCAGTCCTGATGGCGCGCCGTAGCTCGTGCTGATCTGACCGCCGAGAAGGACCAATGTTGGACTGTTACCCAGCATGATCGCCGTCAAAGTATGACCCGAGAGGATCGGAGGCCAGACTGTGCTTGCAGCCGTGCTGAGCGAGTTCCAGGTGGTCGCGAAGGGCGATGAAGTTGCTGTCATCGACCAGAGCTCAGCAAAGCCGATGCCCGAGCCATCATCGCGCAGTCCACCGTATAGGTAGACGATGTCCTGCTGTTCGTGTTGCAGCGTCGTCGTAGCTGGCCGTATCCTACGCGAGGGCTGCAACCCATCGGCGAATGAGGCAATGGAAATATCAGAGGCGCCCTGTGAGAGCGCTGTGGGTGCTGAGAAGCTGATAATCCTGCTCGAGTCGTTGCCGGTCGGTAGCGCTGCCGCTGCATCATCCCCGCCAAAAAGGAGCGCATTGCCCGAGGAGGGCAGGTTAGCGAGTGAAGCATAGGACAAGTCATCCCATGTGTTTGTGGAATCAGAGGGCGTATAGACCTGCCATGGCGCATTCGATAGATCGAAGGTGTCGGAAAGATCGAGTGCAAGGAGATCGGCTGTATTCTTGCCGCCTGTCAAGCCAGCGCTACCGCTGCCGGATCTGCCGCCGTATACCAGCAGATATGAACCGATCAGCGTTGTGGCTTGCCCCCATCTACATCTTGGTCATCAGTACAATGCTGCTAACCATGAAATCTAGCTTGCCTGGCGTGCATAGTAGCATCGTCTTGCCAGTCTGGCGCAGCTTGAGCCACGGCAACAAAGAGGACGACGGTCAATAGGTGGCATAGCGACAAGCTCCTCTCTTTCATGACAGCATCGAATGCAAGCACAAGTGTCACTTGCACGAGCTCTTGAGATCTCGCTTGCCTATGCAAGAGGCTCGAGCGCCTCGCATCGCTTGCGGCGGTGGTTTTACTTTCGGTCGCGCGTTCAGAGCACGTGACCAAGGTCAATCCAAACTGTAGGCTCGTCGAGGCGGAATGCACTGACTGTCTGCAATGGTGCGCGATGTGAGCAGAGGCGTTGCGCTGCCTCCAGCTCGGTCGGCAGCTAATAAGACACGTGCAAAGCCAGCAAGAAGGATCCTGAGCGACTCTGAAGACGAAGCATCTGACGAGCAGCAAGCTAGCGTAGCGTCGACTAGCGGGAGTGACAGCTACGGCGAGGCCTCTCCTAGGCTTTCAAAACCGTCGAAGAGCGTGTCAGCAGTCGTCAAGGGCAAGAGGCCTGCGCAAGCAGCCCTGGGAAAACGCGCACCCCTAGAGCCAGTCTCACTCAACCGTCCTCCTTCGCGACTGGAGACTGCTACACGACTGCCATCGATTAGCGTGTCACATACGAACGGAAATGTTTCCTCCCCGCAAGGTGTAGCCAAAGGCAAGAAACGTCTTAGCGGCAGACCGTCCTTATCGGCCCAAAGACGCGTCTCGACTGCCGCAGGATCCAGTCAAGCAGATCCGACAGAAGCCTCTACGTCTCAAGTGGGTTCCCCGTCCGGATCGTCGGCGGCAATTGGCATGGGTCAAGCTCCCGTGCATCGCGTAGGCGCACTCGCAGCCGCCGCCGCCCGGCGCGTGGCCTCGAATGTGGGATCAGCAGACACAGGACCGCCACTGCCGTCGATCAGTGTCGAGGTCATGAACACGAACTATGAAGAATGGATGAAGCTTGCTACCGATAATGTACGTCTGTATCCGCAAGCACGTATGTGATGCTGACATCGAGTGGCGGTAGAAAATCAATTCGAGCAATACATGGGCATTTGCACTTATTGACTACTTTCATGACATGTCGCTCCTGCGCAATGGACCTGGCGATTCGTCTATCAATTTTCAGAAAGCAAGCTGCACACTCGAGGGTTGCATAAAGATCTGGACTTCTCGTGTCGATTCCGTCGCGACAGAGACGGGCAAGCTGCTGTCTGGTTTGGCAGATGACGCCTCGCCTTCATCGCTCGCCGACCAGGATGACGAAGCAGAAGAAGGCGACGATCAGGAAGGCGAGGGTACGAACAGGCGGCGAAAGCGAGCCAAACGAATAGCGCCTACGCTCGCAGATTCATATGACAAGCTCAAAGTCAAAAGCTTCGATCTCGAGTTTACAGTCGATCCACTGTTCAAGAAGACGAGTGCAGACTTTGACGAAGGGGGCGCAGCCGGCATACTCATGAACCACCTGGGCTGCGATGAGAAGTTGCGCGTTGTGTTCGACTCGGGCGACGCTGCTGTCGATGATCAAGAGCAGGACGAGTCTAGTGAGGCGGCAGGGAAGCCTCACGCCGAGCCAAGCCTTCAGCTGGACTTGACAGACCTCTTCAGCCTGCTGCCTCCCGATCTGACAGATCAGGGCGAATTTGCCGGGATGAGCATTTGTCCGAGCATGGCTGCCTTCAAATTCTCGGCAGACGATTCGCTTTTCGACTTGTCTGCGCTCAAGACCGCACTGGGTGCTAACCCTTCTGATGCTTTACAAAGCATGGCAGCCGATTTGACTAGCGAGCGAGGTGCCTCCCTGGGACCGACCATGGACTTCTTCGACGATTATGATGGCGGCGGCGGGGGCATGAGCGGGCCAGAAGGTGGCGCGGATGAGAACGATGACGGTGCCCACACTTCTCGAGCCAATTCTCAAGGACCGCTAGAAGCCTTTGATCCTCGTACTGCGCCCAACGAGCGCCAGGTCATGCTGGCCATGAACGAGCGCCAAGGCAACAACGGCGACGAGATGTTCGACTACTTTGACCATGCCTTTGCGAAGAACTGGGCTGGGCCCGAGCATTGGAAGATGCGGAGAGCTCCTCCGCCCAAGAGGGTTGTGATAGCAGACGGCGAAGCGAAGACTAAGAAGGACAAGGCGAGCTCTTTGATCGATTTCTTCAGCCCAGCTCCAATCGCATCGAAGAAGCTTTTCGAGACATCCTCTGCGTCCACGACTTTGCCAGCAACACGTCGCAAGTCGAAGAAGACAGCCGCTCGGTCGCGCGATGATCACACGCTCCCAGACGACATGCAATTCAATTCACGCCAGCTGCTGAGGCTATTCCTGAAGCCAAGAGCGGAAGTGACAATGCGGCGGCATGGCTCGCGCATTGCTACCGTTGTCACTGCTGCGCAGAAGGATACTGAAGAGATCGATTCGGATTATTGGGCAAAACAGGCGAGCCTTAACAATGCAGCGCAAGTCGGAGACGACTTTGATGATGCTGATCAGGGTACGCTCTGTCATGAACAAAGGAACGCAGCTGATTGGTGATTGCAGGCATGCCCGCTTTGCCCTTTGAATCCCAATTCTTCCACGAGCCAGGCTACGAACCCGACGAATTTGATGATCTACCGATGGGCATGGGCGACGGCGCAGAAGGCGAGATCGGCGCGGACGCGAGCATCAAGGAGCAAGGCGGTGACGACCTACTGGCAGCGACGCAACATGAAGTCAAGCGTGTCAGACCGGAATTCGTTGAGTATAGCAAAAAGGCAAAGCGAGTTGACGTCAAGAAGCTCAAGGAGAATATCTGGAAAGAGCTCAACATCTTGCCTCCGCTCGAAGCTGCCCCTGTCGGTACTGTTCAGCCGGCGCGAACATTCGACAATGTCATCACTGGCTTGCGAAAGACATATCCAAAGGACAAGATGGAAGAGATCAGCACGAGCTTTTGCTTCATTTGTCTCTTGCATCTCGCCAACGAGAACGGCCTCAACATCACGAGCGTCAAGGATGATGATGATGATGAGCAGCTGGATGACTTTGCCGGCAATCCCGACCCAACGGATGCCATCATTGGAGGTCTTCAGAGCTTGCGCATCTCATCGCAAGTGTGAATGCATTGTTCGTTGAGCCTACCGGTCTCCGACCCGCCGCATCTGGGTTGGACTGTACGCGCATTGGACTCTTTCGCAACTTTGTATGACTGCCGGACGATGAGCGAAAGACAATGGTATCGGATGTGCTTACACGCTCGTGGGTAAACTTGCGTACAGATTGCCGGGTAATTCGGTCGACCGCCACATCTGACTGTCATCGTGCAGCCTTGGTCCTGGATTCGGTCTGTTTGAGCTCAGCGAGCTTTCTGTTACTTGGCAATAGCGAGCTCACGCTCCGACCAGCTCGCAATTACGCGCTGTTCGAACTGGACTTCGCAGCATGTATGGAACGCCGTCGCTGCGAGTCTCCATTAGCCGATAACGCGGATCAAAGATCGACCTACGGTCCATGTCGGGAAACGAGGTGGGCACGACAGACATGTAGATAGCAACAAAGTAGTCATCTGTACCGGGCTGTATATTGGGGAAAGCGTAAGGCAAGCAGATGAACGGTTCTGGTTTCTGTTGGGCGTACTTTGGTCCCCTTGTGTCAGATGATGAGCTACGAGACCCAACAGCAGCTCACGATGTACGGATTACATTTGAAGCCTGTCTCTGTGCTTCCGGGAGACAAGGTGATAAGCTTGATGCGCAGGACAGGTGTCTCTACGGAGTGGCGCGTCGTAGAGCTTGCAGAGGGCGGACACCAGCCTGTGCCGTACATCGAAGGCGTGTAACTCCGCTCAATTGGCTGAGTGGGCCATGATCGGGCAAGCAATGTCGCACAGAAAAGCAGGAGGGCTTGGGCAAACATGAATCTGAGAGGAGACTGCGTCGTCAAGTTGACATGAGGAGGTCGTGCGGCAAGGAGAGTGGCTCCTGATCAGATTGATGGTTACTGTCCTCTCGTTCGTTTCCTTGATCGCCTTGCACGATGCGATTCGTGCTCTGCCTGCTGGTGCTGGCCTGTCTGTGCTTGCAGGGCAGGCTTGCCGAATATGTGACGTTGGAGCAAGCGAGAGGGCTGAGCGAGACTGCGGATACGGCAGAGTATAGGGCTGCGTTTGCGCATGTAGCAGACCATATCGAGCGACAAGCAGACGTCATGCCGAACGAGGGCAGGCCAGGATCAGCCTGGGTGCAATTTTACCAGCTCAAGTGTGAGTCTTGGCAAGCGGCGGCTGATTGAACGAACGCTGATCGCAATGCAGTCGATTATGATGTCGGAGCAGTGTGACCATCCTGCTGTGACCGGGTTGACACGCCGAGCAGTGCTATTGCATCGACGACATGGACTTTAGCATCTCTCACAGGCACCCGGGCAGCCTGCTGATCACACTCGTCAGTCTTTGATATGTCAGCCCCACTGGTCTGCTAATCTCGGAGCAGGCCTATGCCGGCCACCTACTCAGCGTCAAGGTCGCCAACAAGTTCTTGGTCCACCGGCTGAGCATTCTTCAGAACACGGGTGACGCGGTGACTGTCTCGTTGACGAACATCGAGCGACCTACGGATCCGGGCTGGGTTGATTGCTGCTCACATATCCAAAGATGGCAGTGCGTCGCTGATGCTCATCCTGTCGCATGTCGCTGACGTCAGAGGGGGCCGGGGTTCAGCATCAAGTTTGAGGCGTGGTATGGTGCGTCCCTGATCAGTTTTGTGTGTAGACCGACAAGCTGAAAACAGATCCTGAACAGATAGCGCGACGATGGTGACGGAGTACTCGGCACTCTACTGCTATCCGAGCGAGGCGAGCTTCTACATGAACACTTGCACTCGAAAGATATTGCGAGAGATCATGCCGGAGACGGTCACACAGTGCTCGTGTCCTCTCAACGAAGTCGTCAACCCTGCCGCGGGTGCATACGGTGCCAAGATTGGCTGGAAAGGATACGAGTTTCGGTCGAGTCCGGACTCGACGAGCTCGCTCAGGGTTCGTGGAGTGCCTATGGAAGAGATTGCGTCTCTGGCATGATGATTCACGTGACATATGCATATACGAGGACGCTTGGCTGATGTGGCCGGTCACATGATGGTGAGCAAGACTCGTGCCATTTTGAGGATTCGAAAGAGTGGACAGGCGGACGCCATGCCGCTCGACATCGTTGACATGTTGACACCTGTCAAAGCTTTCAGAGACGCGCGCATTCCGTTCAGCGAACGCAGAGTTCCCCTGGCATGAAGACATGATCGGCAGACATGACGAACGATGACGCGCAGAGGGCTCTTCAAGCGACGATCAGGGCCGTACCGCCATCGAGCCAAGAGAAGCCCGCGCTGCTCGATGTCGAACTGACGGCGTTTGACGCGGTCCATGTGGTCTCAGTCGAGCTGACGGTCGATGGCGTGCCTCAAGAGCGCCTCAGACCTCTTCAGAAGACGCATCCGAGCGATCTGAGTGACGGCGACGTGCTCGGACTATGCTATCTTCTCGATGTTGGCCCGACGACGATATTCGAGATGGACGAGCTCGCGGAGCAGCCCAAGCAAAGCGAACCTTTGCTCTCTGGTGTCGGGATGACCAGGTCACTCAGTCGGCTGTCTGCCATAAGCCAACATCGTCCGACCGAACGGCTATATACCGTGCGGCTGAGCATCAAATGGAGACGAAAATCGGAGGAACAACCCAAAAGCGGCGACTGGGTCTGGCGCATACCTGCGCCCGAGCGACCAGATGCACCAGACAAAGACCTCATCCTGACCGTATCGCTCGTACCTCTGGCAGATTCGGTCGAGATGGATGAGCAAGTCAGTCTGCCAATTCCGGAACACATTGGGCTACTCGACATCTTTCTCATCGAGCTCTTTGTCGTCAACCGCACGCAACACACCTGCGATCTCATATTCGACTTTACAGAGCCGGTCGGCGATGCTCAAGAATCAGATGAGAGCGATACCACGGCTATCGTGCCACTGGAGAATCGGGTCAAGCTTGGCCCTCTTGCGCCTGGAACGTGCCAGTCTGTGCGTGTACGGTGGCTTGCAGTATCACCGGGCAGACATGCTCTGCGCTATCTGCGAGTGATTAGCAGCTCTGGCGCGACGACAGAGCTGAGAGATCTGCTACACGTCACTGTCAAAGGCCAGCCTGCGCGAACGGTCTAGCTCCTTGCTTGAGCTGTTGTCCCAATGTGCGACAATGCATATGCTCTGTTGTTGTACCAGTACAGGAACGCGCTGCGTAGACGAACTATACCAAGCCTACGTGTCCATCTACCTTGCAGCTTGCAGCGAGCAACGCTAGCGACGCGCCGCAAGTACTTCAAGTCAGCGAAACCGTGACGGCGAGCGAGAGAGATGGTCCGTCGATTGGTATCGAACAATCTTCATCACTGAGCGTACGGACTTGCGTGCAGGTGCCAGGACCGAACAATGCGGGCGACAGTGCTTCTGTCCAGGTGGAAACGCACCACGAGGATATGATCGTTCGTTGTCTCGCCCTTGACCTTTTTCGATTCTACAGCTCATACGAGTCACTCGCAGCACGATGCGCAGCTCGACTTCCATGGCAAGCGGCTAGCGACTGCTTCTAGCGACCGCACAGTCAAAGTCTTTGACGTCACGCCCAACGGCCAGTACGCACTCGTCGACACGCTCAGAGGGTCAGCTTTGTCCCCGTACGAATGTGGCAGGCTAGGCTGAAGAACAGAATGCATGCAGGCACGACGGGCCGGTATGGCAGATTGCATGGGCACACCCCAAGTTTGGCGGCATCCTTGCCTCTGCTTCGTATGACGGCAAAGTGTTTGTCTGGCGAGAATCACCGGCACCGTCACAACCGGCTCAGTCTGCGCAAGGCTATGGCTATCAAGCCGGACCATACGGTCATCAGGCGCAAGCCGGTCTCGGAAGTTGGTCAAAGATCAAGGAGCACACGCTGCATAATGCCTCGGGTAAGTTCAGGAGCTTCACGTATCTTGCGATTTGCTCATGCTTGTTACACGAACGTCAGTCAACTCGATCAGCTGGGCACCGCACGAGCTCGGACCGATACTCGCTTGCGCTTCGAGCGATGGTAAAGTCAGCGTGCTCACGTTCAACAGTCAGTCTCCCACCCTGTCGCGCCCTCGTTACGAGCTAACAAGCACGCAGACGATGGGACATGGGACGCGTCGCTCTTTGTCGCCCATCTGATAGGCTGCAATGCTGTCTCTTGGGCACCTGCTACTATGCCTGGCTCGCTCATCCAGCCCCAATCCGCCGCGCTCGCACCGCAAGCGCAGAACGGTCAGGCTGGGCCAGGCGGGGTGAGCAGCGTTCGTCGATTCGCAAGCGGCGGATGTGACGGCTTTGTCAAGATCTGGGGATGGAGGTTTGCCAAAGTCATCCGCTCGTTGCGAACGAGCTGATCGTACGGCCGGCCAGAGACGACACAAAGACTTGGGCAGAAGAAGAAGTTTTAGAAGGACACACAGATTGGGTTCGCGATGTCGCATGGGCACCCAATATCGGGATGCCGAAAAGCTATCTCGCCAGCGCAGGACAGGTCAGCTTTGATCCTCATCAAGATCTCAACGTGCTAATCCTCGAGTCACGACAGGACAAGCAAGTCTTTATCCATATTCAAGACCGACCCGGTGCGCCATGGACGCGAACGCAGCTCGATCCTAGCACAGCGGCTGGCGCGACATCCACGATACCCGGTCAATTTGCAGAGTGAGCTGCAATGCGGTCTGTGCTTCAAAAAACAGGTAGCTGATGAATTCGCGCAGTGTGGTCTGGAGAGTCAGCTGGAGCATAGCCGGACAGGTCCTGGCAGTGTCGGGCGGGGATGGCGTGGTCACGCTCTGGAAGGAGAGTCTCAAAGGCTCATGGGAGTGTGTCAGTGATGTCAAAGCATGAGCCTAACGAGACTATTTGTTTGTGACGCGAACACGCGAGCCGAGGAAGCGTCACGATGCCGGCGATGTCAAAATGATATTTGACATTGTCCGACTTTGCTCTTGACCGTCAAATTGCCGCTCCAGCGCTCATCGCATCGTGCGATCATTGGCAGACATGAGCACACACCCGATCATGGGCTCCGGTGAAGCTGGTGATGATCCATCGGTCGCACTTGCGCGAGATTCGGCCGGATTGCCCAGCACTTATCTCGTCGCCCTGACTGCTACAGCCGTCTCTGATCAGGAGCCGGTCACGAGTACATCCGAGGCCAGACGCGAGAGCTCACCGAGCAGGCAGGACAATTCTGCAGATTCTCAGAGAGCCAACACGAACTCCGAGATCGAATCGATTGCCGAGCCCTCCGAGGCAACGAGACTGCTCGAACGCTTGCCATACTTTTCCAGGGTATGGCCTCGAGCAAACGAAGCTCATACGAGAAAGGAGGATCCGATCGATATAGAGGCATGGCTCGAAGAGGAGCAGGCCATTGCAGAGACGATGCAATATAAGACACAAGGGCTGCCCATCTGCTTTGAGGATCTATCTGTCTATGGCAGGGGCACAGGAGAGCGATTGAGCGATACTCTCGGCTCAAAATTGTGGCCCTTCACGCCCTCCTCATTTCGATATTGGATGCGACGACTACGCGGTCAGCGGTTAGCAGAGCGATGCATCTTGCACAATCTCACCGGCGTCGTCGAACGAGTGAGCCGAATCTGCCCCAGTTTGGTCATCAAGTAGACTGACGTGGACCAGAGCGAGATGCTGCTCATCCTCGGTAGACCGGGCACGGGCGTCACGACTGCTCTGCGCAATCTCGCGGGTGACCAGGAAGGCTTCTCCCGCATCTCGGGCAAGCTTCATTTTGGTGCTTTCGATCGTGCCAGCGACCGTATTGATCAGGCAATCCTGAGCGAGCTGTGCTTCTTACCCGAATCTGACCAACACTTTGCTTCCCTCACAGCGGGAACGACGATAGACACTGCTCTGCGGTGTCGCACGCCACGCGATATACAGAAGTGTCGCGATGTCGGTTCGGCAGCAGAGTGGCGCCTGAGGCAATCTCGCGCGATACTGTCAGCGCTCGCCATCGAACATGCGCGCAATACACGCGTAGGTAACGAGTACCTGGTCGGTCTATCGGGCGGCGAACGAAAGAGATTGAGTATCGCAGAGATTCTGGCGGCGCGGCCCTCTGTTCTTGCGCTCGATAATGCCACATCAGGCCTAGACTCGTCTACTGCGCTTAATGTGGTCAAGCTGCTCAGACTGATGAATCAGCGCTTGCGCCGAACGACCTCTGCCGGTCTACGGCAAGTCAGCGATTCCGTCTTTGACCAATTCGACAAACTCCTCGTCCTCGCGCCTGGCGGCGAGCAAGCCTATTTTGGCCCAGCACAGGATGCTTGGGGTTACTTTGAATCCATCGGCTTTGAGCCGATACCAGGTCAGACGAAAGCGGACTTTATACTCGCGTGTACAGACACATATGCTCGCAACATACGGTCTGGGCAAGAGAGCAGCGCGCCAAGGACAGGCCTAGCAATGGCCGAAACTTTCAGGCGAAGCGAGCAACACCAGCAATGTCTGAATGGGCTCTGCCAATATCGCGACACACATCGGCCAGGCACAGAGAACAGCTGGCTCACCGGCGTGCATAACGAGAAGGACCGCATGCTCAAACCAAGCTCCGCGCTCACTATCGCCTTTACGAGTCAACTCGCTGTTCTGACGAGACGGCAATATGCGCTCATACGATCTGATCTCGGACCCTACGTGACAAAGACAGGTGTCAACATCCTTCTGTCGGTAATCGTCGGGACTCTCTTCAAGGACCTGCCACGGACATCTGATGGCGCCTTTACCAGAGGCTCTATACTGCTCTTGTCTATCTTGTTCAATGGCTATCTGCAGCTCGCTGAGTTGAGCAACGCTCTCGTCGGACGGCCGATAGTCAAGCGACAGAGGCAATATGGCTTCTACCAGGCATCGGCGCTGTCCCTCGCGCGGACCGTGGGCGATCTACCGCTCATTGCGCTGCAATCGTTCCTTTTCGGTACAATCACCTACGTGCTTGCAGGCCTCCAGCGCACGTGGTCACATTATCTAATCTTTTTGCTATTTGTCTACGCCACAGCCCTCAATTTGACGACAGTCTTCCGACTGTTTGCGGCCTTCAGTCCAAGTTTCGATGAGGCGATGCGCTATTGCGGCATCTTTCTCAACCTTGCCGTCGTCTACGCAGGCTATTTTATACCCATGCGCTCGATGAGGCCTTGGCTGAAATGGCTTCACTACATTGATCCGATTCACTATGCCTACGAGAGCGTTCTTGTCAACGAGCTGTCAGATCTGGAACTGACATGTTCGCCCGCGGACACCGTGCCATATGGCCCGAGCTATAACGACAGTCGCTATCAGACTTGTGCGCTCGTTGGTTCAGAGCCTGGACAACTCACCTTGCAAGGCGCGCGTTACCTCGACATGTCGTTTGGCTATCGTTATGAGCATCTTTGGCGCAATCTCGCTCTCATTCTCGTGCTAGCCGTCATCTGCCTTGTTGCCGGCACAGTAGCGACCGAATTCCTACATTTTGCGCCTGCTGGTTCAGTGACACTGTTTGCTCGGACGCCAGCAGCGGTCGCAAGATTACAAGATGAAGACAAGGCAAAGGACAAGGACGAAGAAGATCAGATGCATGTGCCAGGGCACATCGAGCGACCACTAATGGGAAATGGCGGCTCGACGTCCGCAACCTCGACGGACAGAGATTTGAGTTGGAGACATCTAGAGCTCTGGGTCGAGAGCTCGAAGCAGTGCCCGAAGCTTCTCGATGGTATAGATGGCCGACTGAAAAGCGGTCGACTAATGGCACTAATCGGTCCATCCGGCGCTGGCAAAACAACGCGTACGTCTGATCTTTGTGGAGCCAAAGACGATGCTCATCCTCACACAGTGCTCAACGCGCTTGCTGGCAGGAATGAGACGACGCACATCACCGGGACGATTGTGTATGGTCAGCAGTCGCCAGATGCTGCTTTCTATCGCGCAACTGGCTTTGTTGAGCAACTCGATACTCATGGCTAGTCAAATGTGCTCCATTCTATTTGAATGCTGATATCGATAGACGCAGATCCCACGGCTACTGTTCGTGAGTCGTTGGAATTCTCAGCACTTTTGAGACAACCGGCAAGCAAGTCAGAGCAAGAGAAGCTTGTGTCTGTCGAAGAGGCGCTCGATCTGCTTGAGCTGCGTGATTTGGAAGACGCAATGGTTGGCACGACCTCAGCCGGCCTATCGCTCGAAGCTCGCAAAAGGCTGGCTATCGCTGTCGAATTGGTCGCGCAACCAGGCGTGCTCTTCCTGGATGAGCCTACGAGCGGCCTAGACGCACAATCAGCAGTCCATATCGTCGACCTTATGCGCAGACTCAGCCGTATCGGGCTTGCTGTGCTCGCCACGATTCATATGCCTTCTGCAGAGGTCTTTGAACTCTTCGATGACGTCTTGCTCCTTCAACGCGGCGGCAAGCAGGTCTTCACAGGCTCCAGAGAAGATGCGCTTGAGTGGTTTGACTGCCCAGCAAATGCCAACCCAGCAGAGTCGATTCTTGATGCCATCAGCAAGCCTCCGAGCGATCAGCAACGCACGCCATTAGCAGAGCGATGGCGTCAGTCTGAGAGTCTTCAAAAGCTGGATGCGTCGATACCGACCAAGGCCGATATACCCGGCAGCAACTCTTTAGATCAGCCTGATTGGCTTCAGCAAACAAAGCAGGTTCTCCGCCGCTATTCCCGGAATTTCTATCGCGACACGGCCTTCAGCTTCACGAAGCTCTTCACGGCTACAGCTGTTGGTTTCATCGTCGGCTTGTCTTTCTGGCGGCTGGGTAACACGATCGCAGACATGCAGAACTACATGTTCTCTGTCTTCCTCGTCCTCTTTATCCCGCCTGTCTTCATGAATCAAATGATCATGAAGATGGTGTCGCTGCGTGCACTTTGGTTAGCACGCGAGAAACCAGCTGGTACATACGGCCCGGCCGCCTTCTGCTTATCTCTGGCCCTTGCAGAAGTGCCTTACATGGTCGTCTCAGCAGTCGTCTTTTTCGCGGTTTGGTTCCTCATGGTGGGCATCGTGGCGACAGCAGCGCGGTTCTTCTACTGTCTAGCAATGCTGCTGCTCTTCTTCTTCTTCCAAGCCTACTTTGCAATGTGGATCACGGCATTAGCGCCAACTCTCGGCATGATCGCCAATCTACTGCCATTCTTCCTCGTATCGATGGAGGCATTCAACGGCTCGCTCATATCGTATGCCAGCATGCCGACATACTGGCGATGGATGTACTGGCTTTCGCCCTTTCAGTGGTATGTGAAAGGCATGCTCGCACAAATCCTCAGTGGTTTGCCCGTCGAATGCTCGGCCACGGAGCTTGTGAGCTTCTATCCACCGGCGGATCAGACGTGAGCTTCCGCTCTCCGTGCATCGATGTAACGCTAACGTATCCCAAAAGGTGTATTCAATACGCCGCCAATTTCTTAGAAACGCATCGCGGCTATCTCGAGAACCCGGATAGCACAGACATCTGCAAGTATTGCAAATTCGCAACAGGTGACGAGTTCCTGGCAAGCATCGCCGTCAAGCATTCAGATAATGCGCCGGCGATGCTCGTCTTCGCGCTCTACACGCTCCTCAACATCGGCCTCTTCTTTGCGATCTCATCTGGCAAGCTTTCGTTGAAGCCAGTCGTTCGTCACTTGCAGCTTTTGTACAACAAAGCAATCTAGACGTATGCACCTAAAAGGCATGTTGCGTAGCAGAATCGTAGAATGAATCCTCTGAGCCTTCGCTGTCTGGTGCCTGTGGGTTATGTTCAAGACTGCTGGCCCTTTGCTTGATCGCTGGTCGGCGCGAAATTGGCACGCGTGCCGAAGTAGAATCTGAGGCCTTGCGTACCGGGGGCTGTGTACCCATCGCATATTGCCTATTGATGTCGCGCGTGATCACGCGTCTAGGAACGCGGTAATCAGAATCATCTGCTTCATCCTCATCGACTTGTGGCGTTGTACTTCTACCCCTCCGCCAGCTTAGTGCCTCTGCCAGCAGCTCTTGCTCGGATTTCTCTACTACGTCATCGTCTAGTGCGACGCCATGCGTGAGCGGGTTGTACGGGCTTGGGCTGCGAGGGGTAGCGCCGTCGAGGAAAGCACTGCCCGGCAAAGGCGACGAAGGAGAACGTGGGGACAGGCGTTGATATGAGGATCGTCTGGACGAACCGGGTGATGGCGAGTCTGCAGCACGGGCGGACGAACTAAGCAACAGAGGTCTCGGCTTGCTGTTCGAGACTCGTCTGTTACCCTTGTCCTCACTCTGTAGCTGACCTGACGCGACAGACTTTATTGGCGATGCACGTCCATTTGCATGGTCAGGAGGGACGAAAGGCTGATCTGATTGAACGCTTGCGCGGCGCAGTCCGTTGCGAGTCGTGTCTAGTGTGACACCAAGTCCTTTGTAGCTCGTAGTCATATCGTCTCGCAATTTCTGGATGGCTCCCGGAGCCTGTGCGCGCAGGTTTGTGGTCGCTTTCGACAAACTGGCCGCAGTATCTGAGCGCTGGAAGGCATCGGCGTAACGCTTGAACAGACCGCTAGCGGCGGTCATGGGTGATGGTGACACGCTGATTTCAGGCGTTGAGCTTGCTTGTGAAGTACCGAACAGTCTCGACCTTGCCGTGCTGGAAACAGCCGCAAGACGAGCTTTTGCAAGTGACAGACCATCCTGCAGATTGTCTCGCGCAAGCACATCGTCAGGCCCTTGACCAGAGATTGACGCAGTCAAGCGCCTCTCGCGATACGTCCCTGCCAGCAAGACCAAGGTTGCGACATCGTTGTATTGATACCTCTGCAGCAAGCGCAGCGCTTCTTCGAACGTCGTCGCATCGCCTATGAGCACATCACGCTTCAACGTGATCATGGCACAGCAAATGTCAACAACATGCGCCAGGAATGGTGACAAACCGTTTTCGATAGCGTGACCTTGTTCTGGCCGAGCAGGTATCAGAGCAAATAGTCGATCCCATAGTGACAGGATGTCCGGTATCCGGAAACACTGCGCAAAAAGCGACACAATCCACTGAAAGGCGTAGTATGAGGAGGTGATACCGTGACTGGCGAGAGCGTCTGCCAGGTCGCTGTCCTGCCATCGCAGCTGTGCGTCAAATTTGCGTAGGATGTACCCTATTCCGACAGTGGCATTCGACTTGGCAGCAGATGACTTTGTGTCGATGACATCTCCGTCTAAGCTTTCGTTAAAGCAATCCGACAGCTCGCCCATCAGGTGATTGAAGCACCAAAATGTGTCTGCCTCTGCATGTCCTGCCAAGACCTGGATGCTACTCCGCTCTTGATGAACAGTGGGAGGCCGAGCAATGGCAAAGTAGAGCGGCGACAAGACGTCTGCCATGCCTTGTACATAGCCGAGACCTGGGTTGAGCTGGGCGAAAATGTATAATAGCCTCTCGAGGACTTCCCAATGGCGATCCTCTGCTTCCGTCGCGTTGCCATTCTGCGCGAAATGTGCGGACGAGCCGGCGCGAGGCGAGTGATGCTTGTCACGGTAGCCCAATCCAGATGAGAGCTGTGCTATCCGCTCGAATACGGCTCGTCGGTGATTCTGCGTGTGCTCCGGCTGGGATGCGCGTCGAAGAGGCAGACGCGATGTGAGCGGGCAGCCGGAGCACGCAGCCACAGGCTGGGCAAAGAAGTCGAGTGCGAGTTGTGTACGTTGTATGTCTTTGTCTATCTGATCCAACCAAGCATCCTCTCGTGATAGCGCTTTCGAGAGATCAGGCTGCAGAGGCATCAGACCGGCGCGTGAACCTATCTGACGAGACCGACTGGAGGCTGAGCAGCGATCTTGACCCCGAGATCTTGCACAAAGTCATAGTAGGCTTCACGCTTCGACTTGATCTCGGCCTGCCAGCGTGACTTGTCGGCGGGCAGCAGGCCTAGCAGGATCCGCCATGCAGTCGCTCTGTGCGAGTCAGGCACGCCTGCATGTTCGTCAGACACGACGCTGGTGCAGTAGACCGTGTCTGTCGATACCTTGTGCGCATAGATGACTGTATGAATATAGCTCCAGTCTATCGTCTTGCGGCGCAGACGGTGCGCATTGCGCGTGAAGCTTGGCAAAGAGCTCCAGCCTGGCCTTTTATTTTAGCAATGCGGCTTACGCAGGCTGACAGGCTTACTTTGCGTGCTGCTCGCTCTCGATGGTCATGACTGCTCGCCGTGTCCGCACGAGGCCGTACTATCGGACGATCACCTGTCTTGGCCTGTCTTGTCTGTCGCGTGGGCAAGACAAAAGTCGAAGAAGCTCCCGACCAGCTATGGTGTCCCAATGATGACTCTGTTCCGTGGAAAGGCTCTAACAGCACGCCTCGCATCGATAGAGCGACTTCCGAGCTTGCGAGTTGACAATGTTGATCGCGCTGCGTCTGGTGTTCTGAACGCCCATCGACTTGAGCACCCGAGATGGACCACGTCGCCGTGACACTACCGGCATACGTCATGCCAGCATTGTGACTTCTGTCACGACCTGTTCGGAGATGCACACGTCAGACGGCTGATCAAGATGGTTGGCCAGAAAGCATACATGCGATCATAAAGCGGCGCGATCTGCTACCAGACACTGGCCTGGCTCTTCGCATCCTGACGTCTCGAGCGAGCACACAACAAGGCTGGCAATACACGGTAAGAACGACGCGGAGGAGTTGTGCGCTCTCGAGCTGTGTTGACGCTTCAAGCCCTTCACGAAAAGTCTCGCGATAGGACGGTTGCCAGCGACGAGAGCGCTCACTCAGCCAGATGTGTACATCATCAGCACTTGCGCACTGGCGACACTGCACACATGCCTGGTCAATCTTGATTGCATACGCGATATAATCGTGAGCAGGTCGCGGAAGATGATTGCCGCCTTTGAGGTTGGCCTACACGGTCGTCGCACTGCAAGTTGGGCGTTGGACGCGTCGAGGACGTCGAACTCGCGTGGCTTACGTACGGATGCTCTTTCTTCCCGCGCACTCTTCCTTGCTCGGTTAAGATCCATCGGCAAGATCGTACGATTCGGCGGGCAGGGGACATATAAAAGGACTGAACATCTCGTCCTTTCCCCCAAGTCTTTGAAGCCCAAAGAGATTTACTTTTGCTGGACGAGAGTACCTTTCGCGAGCCTCAAAGCATCATACGAACGTATTATAAGCTGCATAAGCCTACNACTATAATGGTTCAAAGCTTGCTGTCAAGACCTCAAGTCAAGATGGCGGGTTGTGCGGTCATGTCGCACTTTGCTCAGACGGCGCCTATCCAGATCTATCCTCGCTCTGTCGCACGTATCGTCGTCAACCTACCTCGCTCCCGCCGCAAGCCGACTTGGGGTNGGGAAGAAGACGTCGTGCTTCAGTCAGCATGGCTGCGCTCTTTCACTACCGATGGAACGCTGGCCACTCTGGATATGGACAGACCACCCAACAAGTCCATGNCGCCTTATGTGACGAAGCCGAAGATAGAGCTCAAGGCAAAGGCAAAGAAGTCAGTTCGTTTTGACGAGACGGTGACCGTGCATAGNTACCCTGCACCCATCACCANGTCGGTCGCTTTCAGCAGCCGCATTCAAGTCAGAACTTACCAGCCGGCGAGACCTCGCCCGGCAGTGATCTCTGCGCCTGCGATCCCCAAGATCGTCCTCACCTCACCAGGTTGCACGGAACGCACTATCTTACGAGCTCAGCCTGGGCCGGGGGCCAATCCGGTCAAGAAGCCTGCCGTCGAGAAAGTGNTTCCATTCAAGGACATCAAGTTCANNACTCGCTTCTCGAGACGGTCAGCGCTTTAGTGTTGTCGCATGCTTGCTNGCGNGAGTCGCGTCGCCGCGCTGAGTCTGAGGGTCTTGGTCTTTTCTGGGTTTCTTCTGAATCTGAATGAGCTTGCTCTTGTGCTGACTTGCTCTTGTGCTGATTTGCTGATGTGCTAGCTCTGCTGACGTGCTGACTCGCTATTGTGCTGACTCTACTGACGTGCTGACTTTACTAACGTTCTGACTTTACTGACACGCTGACGTTGCTGACGTACTGACATTACTGACGGGCTGACACTGCCATCGTGCTGACTCTGCTAACGCACTGACTTTGCTGATATGTCGGCTTTGCTGACGTACTGATTTTGTTGACACTGACTTTGCTATTGTGCTGACTTTGCTAACGTAGCGACATTATCAATGGAATGACACTGCTAACGGACTGACTTCGCTATTGTGCTGATGACCGGTTGTGCTGACCACTAATAGTCTGACTTCGTTGACATGCTGACACCGCTGATGTGCTGATCTTGCTGATAGTGATAACGTGCTGTGGATTGTGTCTGCCGTGCTGCCGAGTTGGCCATAGTCCTGAGTATCGACGACAATGAGACTTGGAAGAATGATGGTGGTACACGCATGCGCTGAAGATGCCATCCCACAGCGATTGGTCGCAAACACAATCAATCGGGTTAACGCAGTGTTAATGTCGGACATCGTGCCGACAGTCCTGAATAGATGCGGTAGCAGATCCTTTGGTCAGATTGCATAGGAGCTCGTCAGAAAGAGGAGGATAATGATTAGGAACATGAAGTGAAGGGCGACCCATATCGGGCGGCATAGACGATGCGATGAGATAGGCACGCGACGCGGAAAGCGTCATTTGCATTGGCATTGATGCAAATTGATGGACCATACCAGCGCTGCTGCACACAAGCTTGCAGCATCAGCAGAGCCCAAGCGAGCACTCTTATGCGAATACATCATCTGCGAAGCTTTTGGGGAGCTTGTCGGCGTCAGTTCATCTGCTTCCAGAGAGCCAATCTGTGCTCATGTCGTCGAGCAGGATGTCGCTCGTGTTCTGCTTCAAAGGGGCCGAATCACGCTGCATACGCTCTGTCGGTGCTTGCCAATGCCGAGTAAAATCGTCAGGAGCGCCTTGGTGACACTCATTCAGCATCATTGCTGCTTTTATGCCACGCGAGCAGACGACCCTTTTCCGCTGTATGAGATCAATCAGGAGAATGTCATGCTCAGGCTATGGCACGATGCCATCATCAATCAGCTCGCAGACGAGCAGTGCTTTCTCGTCGCTACTCTCCTCCAGAACGGCACCATGCGCGGCAGTGATCTCGTCGAGGCCCTTTGCAGCAGTTCGTCATGGCAAGCATGTGCGTCAGCAGTCGGACGCAGAGCATCCTAACTTACTGACTGTATGCTGCAGCGAAAACAAGAGCGACTCAAGCGCTTTCCGGTCTTTGCCAGCGCGGCTACTTGGGCATCATGACTGCAAACCTGACAAGCAGTCCTCAAGACGAAGCACACGACTATCGCGAGAGGAAGCTGGCAGAGATGCCCAAGAACAACACGCCGAAAATGCAAAAGGCGCTTGCAAGCGAAGTCTATCAGTTTCTACTCAGACGAGTCGGCGAGGATCACGACTTGGCGCAAGAGGACGCGTTTCTGGAGCCAGCAGATGAAGAGGAACATGTCAGAGTAGGTACAGCCCCAAGGATATCAAGATCATGCTGAGAAGGTTCTCGACAGAAGCGTCGCAAGGCAGACTCGGACAGGCACGCTTCGAAGAGGCCCAATATATTGCAGACCAGCTTCAACGTAAGCGATCCTCATGATTGCAGCCGGCAAGGCACTGATAGCCTGCTGCAGCCCGAAAGCTATTACATGATCAATTATACCCGCTTTCTGATCAAATTTCGCAACAAGGTGCGCACAACACTTGCGAGTGAATACGAGCTCATGCTGTCTGACAGATGGTCGAAGACTCAACGCGCGCGCGCTACAACAGAGGCGTTGCCCTGGTCATGCAGCAGGCACTTAAGCTTACCGAAGCCAAACAGAGACGTCTACGCGAACCGCTGTCCGGTCAGTCATCTGTGCCGGATTGTCGAGCTCGCTCACATAGCTAGCAGAGCGCTTCCGGACTACAGAGATTCTGGAGGAATTGGCTGTACGCCGTCATGGAGAAAGTCGTGCGGAAGTGATGCGCTCCTTCGTCAGCATGGCGTCAGAGTTCAATGTCCTCAACCCGGAGTCTTGTGAGATTCAAGAATTTCGGATCGATCAAAAGACGACGCAGGAACTCGTCGGCGAGATACTCGTGCGACTTGCGCGAGAGGACGAGGACTTTCTTGAGGCGGGTTCGGGAGGCGTAGCGGAGCATGCTTGGCTCGAGCGTTCCGGCGGTCCGACGGTGAGAAAACAGAGCACCAATCGAGATGGCGAGACCTGGCGTATCAACTTTGCTGCTATTCGCAGCTCGCTCAAGCTCGCCCTGATCGAGAATTACATTCGGCACAGGCTCGACGCCGTCTGCTGGAGAATCTGGTTGCTCTTGCTTCTCAAAGGCAATTTGGAGGAGAAGACTGTATGTCCTGTGCAAGGCCATGCTCATCACGCTGACTCGATGCAACAACAGATCTGCAAGCAGGCAATGATACCTGCCAAGGAATGTCGAGACGGACTCCTGAGCCTGTACCGGGCCCAGCTGATCGAATCCCAAGAGGTACCGAGAACGAACGAGCGCATACCTCAACGAACTGTCTTCCTCTGGTTCGTCAATCTCAATCGCGTCGAGACACAACTCGTATCGCAAGCTTACGACATGCTGGTCAACATCAACATCAAGTTGCAGGGCCTACTGTGCGACAATGGCATACTCGTCGCCAAGGGCAAGCTCAAGAGCGTCCAGGAGGACCCAAGCCTGCTCAAGGACTCCGAACACGAGTTGATCAGGACGGTCGAGTATGCTGTCGCCGCGCTCAGAGCCAACAGCCAGAGGTTGGTGCACGACATTTTTATCCTGAGCGGAATTTAGGCGCAGATCGATCATCGGCGATTTGTGGTCCCGAATGCAAATTTGAGATCTTTTCGAGATTCCAACTCCGAAAGATCGACTTTGATACCAAGAAGTCTCGGCAAGTAGGCGTGCCACGCTGCCTGAGCTCGGCACGAAGCACGCACAGTCACCGCATTGCACTCCAAGAGCGCGCAGAACAGCAATGTTGGCTTTGACGGTGGATCCTTGGTCTCCTTGATCTCCGACCCAGCATAGCGGAATATCGCGTGCGCGCTCTTCCAGTCATGGGGGACGCTAAGATGCCCGGCTCGCCTCGAGAGATTGGCAAGGCCATCTTGCCGACGCTGGCAGCCAGACGAAAGCTGTCGGTTGACGAGACAGCGGCCAGGGACAAACTTCTTATGTACAACGGTCTCAATAGCTACGCTCCCGTTGCTGGTCAGGAAGGAAGCTCCAGGCCCGGCATTGATCGACTCATCAGTACAGAATCGGTAGGCAGTCTTATGTCGCAGCACAGATCAAGCGTTTCCGAGTCCCTCTCCGGAGGTAGTCCGGCGCCCGCCGCCGTCGCCGCCTACGCGAGCCGGCAAGGCGATGAGGCCCGCAAAGCATTGCAACACTATCATCTCCACGGTCACTTTGCGGCCAAGGCATACCGCGCCGGGACCGATCCTCAAGCAGTGCTTCAACGGTACGTCCACGCGAATTGCCGGCCCTCAGCAGCTAATCCAAATCGCGTCTGCAGATTTGCGCTCAGGGACAACAGCTCACGCGTGGGTATTCTGAGAGCGTTACGCATCGTGAAGAGCGTCTTTAGCGTTCCTGCGGTAGCGCTAGTCCTGGGTGATCTAGAATGCCGTGCTGTCGTGGCGTCCATGGGGCTGTCGGCCCAGCAAGCTATATACCTCGAGTCACAGGACATTTCGATCTGCACTAGCAAAGACGCGACTGTCGAGCACCCCGAAAGCACTGGAATGCTGTCAGCACCTGGCGGCATAACATGCTTCGTTAAGCAGCCTGTCGAGGCAAATTTGGAAGGCCCAGATAAGCCTACACTTATCGGTCACCTGTGTCTCATAGATCAAGGTCGACAAGATCAACGCTTCGCTCCTCTCAGCGGAGCTGACTTGTCCCTGCTGAACGATTTCGGAGAACAAATGGGCGCGGAAATTGAAGTAGCTCTCCGAAGGCGTACAGCGGATAGAAATGAATGCATCAGGGACGACTTGTCAAGCTTGCTGATCAAGACACTCAGCGAGCCAAGTGACGGCGCGGCGAACGCGCCGGCAGAGCTACGCAGAACATCGACAGCGTCCGCGTCTCAAGCCGATCGACAGTCGACCGGTCTGCCTGGAACTGTACTGTCCGAACCGTCACAGAGCGACACCCTCGAAGAGACGGACATGACTCTGTTCGATCGCGCAGCTGAGAGCGCCCGTCGATTGCTACACGCTGACGGCGTGCTCATACTAGACGCTCGAGAATTCCATATATCTAAGCACGGGGCAACAGACTTTGCATCGCAAGCGCGAAGCGCGACTTCTGACGTCTCTGCCGCGCCGAAAAGCAGGGGCAAGCAAGCACGCAAAGCGCGTGCCACTGCTGCGCTCGATGGCACGAGTGTCGGCTGGTTAGAAGACGCGCCGCAAGAGCACGAAGGGCCTAACGATCGGCCGCAATACATGCTTGATGCGAATGCATCTGCACGAACGCGCATCCTTGGGAAATTCGAATCACTAGAGTGCGACGGCTGGTCTCAGCGGTTGCGCAACGATGACACTAGTCAGCTGCTGTCCGAGGTCTTGTTGCGCTACTTGCAGGACAGTCGCGTCAACTTCAGCTGGGATGAGCTCACGGTTGTCCTAGCTAAATTGCTTCCTGCAAGGACACAAGAAGCGCTCGTCATGCCCTTCTTCAACAATGACACGCAGCCTCAGATGATCCTGATGGCGGTCAAATCAGCTCCTTGGTCACCGTTCGATCTAGCGTCTGAAACGATTGCCAGAGCAATCGGCGCGATCTGCATGTCGTCACTGCAGCGACGCCAATTACACCAAGCTCAAAACGTACAGTCCTCTTTCATCAGCTCCATCTCACATGGTAGGTGCATTGCAGCTATTGCTTTCTCAGCTGACCCCTTGGCAGAGCTGAGGATACCTATATCGTCGATCATGATGCAGATCGAGGCAGTTCAGGAGGCGATCGCACCCAATCCGGACAGCGATTATGTCTTATCGCTGCTCGATCTCATGCACGTTGCTTCGACTTCGCTTCGCGACATTCTCGAGGATGTACTCGAGTTCGGTCAAGCTGGCAGCAAAGCAGCCCCTGCCCCTACTGAAGTAGATCTTGAGGAATTGCTCATCTCAACGGTCCGATCCTGCGCCGTCAGGAAGGCGCACTTCGATTCATTGGTCGTCAGCGATGCCAACATCAACACGATCGTTGCAGAGCCTACACACGTCGAAATCATTGCTGAGATCGAGCAGCGATCAGATTGGCTGGCTGTCATCGATGCGACTGGTCTGCGACGCATCATTCTCAACTTGCTAAGCAATTCAATCAAATTTGTCAAGTCTGGCTCGATTCGTGTGACGTTGCAGCAATATCAGGGCGCGACAGACGGGCCAGACTGTATTCAGCTGATCGTTGCCGACACGGGCTGCGGTATGAGCGAAGAGTTCGTCGCCAAACGGTCTTATTTCAAACCATTCAAGCAAGAGAACCCGTTGCTCGAAGGTGCAGGCTTGGGTCTCTCGCTAGTCCTGAATCTCGTCAGGCGGATGCATGGTGAAATCGATTTGCAGTCACAGCTTGGCGTCGGTACGACTGTGTATGTCACCTTGCCGCTTCGCTTCCGACATGAGCGACAGTGTGAACACCGACAAATCGCCAGAGCATACAGCAACAGTGCACTAGCCCGCGAGCCAGATCGCAGAAAGCTGCATCTCGGCAAGGAGGCCGATCGCCCGAGCACACCCCCCAAATCAGCCTCAGGCACAGAGTCCTCAGTCGATGAGCAATCTGAGTCTGCGGGCCTTCGCGTCATGGTCGCAGAGGACAATGTGGTCTCGCGCAACATCCTTGTCGGTCTGTTAAAGCGCAAGAAAGTGCAATATATCGCAGTCGATGACGGCTCTCGCCTCGTAGAAAATTATCTCACTTTCCGGCCCCACCTCATCTGGTAGGCTTTGCTGTGATATGACTTGCAGCGGACGTTGATCGAAGGTGACGGCAGGACGGACATACAGATGCCCACTTCTGGCCTGGAAGCCGCGGCGCAGATACGCAAACTTGAGCAGGCGTATCGCTTACCACGCGCCAGGATCGTTGCCTTCTCTGGCTCGAGCAAGGAAGACTCTAGCCGAGAGGGATTGCTCGGCACAGGAGGTGGGTCTACTTGCACAAACATAGCGCCAAACTAATGTTAGTGCTCAGAGCTTGACGATTACTTCGTCAAAGGGTCGATCAAGCTTGTTGAGCTGTCTAGAAGTCTGGATGCTCTTCAACAAGCCATCAATAGCTCTCAGAAGCAATCACCTCGACCAAAG